AAATTAATTAAAATATTATTCTAAATAGTATAATTAGATTATTATAAACTATATAATATAAGTTACTATTAATATATAAATATTATAGAATTAGTAATAATAGATATATAGATAATATTATTAATAACTATTTAAAAGAGTATTCTAACTAATAAAATAAATATATATATATACTAGAGTTATTACTTACTTATTACTTATCTATTACTCTATTTAAATAATAGGTTATAGTTTATTAGTTATAGCTTTCTTAAGGCTCTATATTATATATAACTTTATATAGCCTAATAGAGGTTTTTATTTATAACAGAGTATTTTAGACTTTTAAAGGCCTACTTTAGTAAAAGTCTATATCTACTTTACAGTCTACCTACTAGATTATATTAAAATAAACCTCTTATTTAAAAATTCTTTTAAAATCTAATTTATATTTAGAATATATAAATTAAATATATATAATTAATATAAGTATTAGAATTTTTTATTTTTAAAACCTTTTTTAATAAGATTATTAATATTTAAAAAGGTAGAATTTCTATTTTCTAATTATAATAGACTTATAGGGGAAATATAGTATTATTAGTTCTATTTTTCTTAGTAGTTTTTAAATAAACTTACTCTTACTTTTTAAATCTTAATAACCTTTTCTAAAAAAAAATATAAAAAAAGAATAACTCTAGGCTTAAGGCTAACTATTATTATATTCTATATATATTTATTAAAGATATATATTATAATACTTAATATACTTATAAAATATTATTAGTTAATCTCTATCTAGATTTATCTCTATACCAATATACTAGATAAGTAGGATGTGCTTTCTAGATTATTTTTCTCTCAAGGTCTTTACCCCAGACTTCCTGGTATTTCTCTCCACAGTTTAGTTTTCCGGTTCTAGCAAGTATATATATATACAGCTCCTGATAGAAGGAGATTCTAGAAGCTCCCAATCAATTAAACTTACTAATACTCGATTGAATTTACTTAACGCAGCAATCGTCAAGCAAGTGCCGGTTCACTTACGGGGACTATGCCACCCTCTCTGATGTTAGGGGAGACCAGAACAGCACCCGGGCGATTACTGCCTAATTTGTCTGAAGCTTTTGAAGCCTTTTTAAGAATAGAGAGTTTGAAGGCAGCTTCAACTTGTTGGTTGGTCGATGCTGTTCTTGTTAATTAAGAATTCTTAGAGCAGCGTGCACTACAGTTAGGCGATATCTATAGATACCTGGGCGAAGAGAGTTTCGAAGTAACGCAGCTTTACGACTCATCTGTAACCTCTCCGCCATCAGCGAAGCAAGTTGCGGCAGTCAAATTGAGGCCTGCCTGCACAACGAGCCGAGCTTCTTGGAACATAGCGTCTGGCTGGCATTCCATAACTAGGCAAATATTTTTCATCCAGCCTATTTATTAATTAGATGCCACCAACGCTCCCCCACAAATTAAAAAAAAAAATCAGCCTGTAACGCTCCCCCCAATTTAGAAAATCAGCCTAACAGCCTAGCACTATGCCTAAGTACATCAGATATAAAACCAACGCTTGTACCCAGAGGCCCAAGGCGTGTTTAAACACAGGTGGAATTATTACGATCTCACAATGGGACCGATCCTGTCTACGCTTCTCTCTTCAGTCTTCACAGTTTTGTGCATCTGGGGGTGGTGGTACTTGACGGGACATGTTCGGTCAATTGCTAATAATTTATATCGTAAGTTGAATGTCCTGTGTACTCCGGATTGCCCTTTAATTGACGTCCTATCTCAAAGAAGCGTACGACCCCAACACCGGCCGACCGTACAGCGCTGTATTATTGCCTGAGGGGTCATCCCTCTATGCCAACCTTAAAATATCGGGCAGGCAGATTAGGCTTCTAACGATCCTGTCCACCGAGCCAGAAATTTCCTGCAGGCTGGAGGTCGCCGAATTGAAAGACGAATTGTCATTCAATGCGCTATCCTACGTCTGGGGGGATCCCACTGTCACCAAGGCCATCCTCGTTAACGGGCACAGAATCCTGGTAACGATAAATTTAGTATCGGCTTTGGAATATGCTCCCTATCATCTGCACAAAGCAAAACACGCAACCAGCAAAAAACTATGGGTCGATGCTATTTGTATCAACCAAGAGGACATCGCTGAGAAGAGCCGCCAAGTTTCCCTGATGAAACATATCTACTCGCAAAGTGGTATTGTTCTTTGCTGGCTAGGATCCCCAAGTGATCTATTACACGCCGCGATGGATAGCGTTGAGGCTGTGGCTCGTGAGCGATATATCCGTGATGCTGATATCGTGGATTACGAACATCAGCATGAACTTGTCGGCTGTTTTGAACAATTGCGGAGTCACTTGAAAAAGTCCCACGCTGCAGGTGCTAAATGTCGTCTGCAATTCGTTGAAGAAAGGTCTGCGATGTCCGGCATTGTCGGGGATGTTGAGATTCATGCAGTCGCGAACGCTCTCCAGCACATGACAAAGGTGATATTCGGAGTGCTGCAAGAGCCACATGGCGTAGAGCTCGGAATTTGTCAATCGATGCTACTAAGTGTCTTTTATGAAGTTAGAAGCTGGCACGATCAGTTTCGTAAACGGGCTAGCAAACTCGATGCCAGTCTTAGGGAATACTCTCATCCCATTGGTTTTCTCCTGGCCTTGCTGTCCTACAGAGTACGCAAATTTAGCCAAATATGCCAAGAATACTGCCTCCAGGTGTGTTGCGATGAGGCATACAACAATTTACTTTGGCTTAAACAGTATCCATGGCTCTACGAAGTCAAAGAGGTTGTAGGGGAAAGTTTTACAGGCCCCGCTCAGCCACTTTTTAACGTACTGTACTGGAGCCGTATATGGATACGACAAGAAATCATTCTCGCTCACCGCCCCGTTTTTGCCTGTGGATCTCGGTCAATTTCATTAGAGACCTTAGAATCCTTTGCAACTTGGGTAAAATGGATAGTAGATCCATCTCATTCTAAGATTTTAAAGAAAGCGGAAGTCTCCAAGTTAGGAAAGGCATATCAGCTTATTTGGAAACTCCTTCATCATATCTTCGAGAGTCGTGAAGCCATAGGTTTCCCTGCACCTTGTCTTTGGCGCCCAGACAACCCCAAAACTAACATCTGGTGGGCTTCACCAGACGCTCGTGCAACAAATCCCAAAGATTATTATTACGGTTTTCTCGGTATTACGAATCTCGACCTTGCCCCTGATTACGATCCGAATAAATCTGTTGGACTTGTTTGCCAGGAGTTTATGATTGAATATATTAGTTCGACTCTTGACCAATCTAATCGCCCCTTAGGAGGACCTCTGGGCCTTCTCATGTTCGCCGGTGTTGGATATGGCTGGGACGTTGATCCCGACATGCCTTCATGGGGCCCAAATTTTCCAGGACAGGCACAAGCAAAACCATCTTCCAGGGGGGATTCGGAGGCAATCCCTTCACAAAACCCACATGACTTTGATTGCATCTTTAAGTCAAGATCGGACGTAATAATCACGGGCTCAAGAATGGATGTCTCAGTGATTATTCTTGATCGTATTGAGGCTATCGGACCTAGGGTCTCTGACTACGGTAGACCTGAATTGCTACATAAAGCAGGCTTGCCGATAACTTGGTCTTTTGATTTCGCGTTACGCCATAAGAGTTATGTAGCAGGGGGCCACCCACTGACCGCATTACGCTTTCTTCTGGAACCATCGAGTATATCTCACAGCGATCGAGATAGATTTCCCATCGAAGATTGTCTAGAATTTGCTAAATTTCTAGCCAGATTTAGCCTTCAAGACATGGATAGAAGGTCTAGAGCTGTTTTTGCACGTTTGTGCTACCTGAAAGATCTATTCGATCAAGTTTCTGTCAGTGTCTAGTCTAGCTGTTAACTATCTCAACTAACTTTCCTAGGACCCCGCTGACCCCGAGGACGAAATAAGCTACTGCGCCAACATTTGCACAATGAGCAGGCCCTATAACCATGCTATAGCAGAGACAAAGAAGGGTTACGTTGGGAGGTTTCCTCCGAAGATACAGGAGGGCGACTCGATATGTTTATTAAGTGGGCTTGACCAAGTAGCTGTACTCCGGCAGAAGGGTAAGCATTATGAATTTATAGGCACTTGCTTTATTGCGGGGGTAACATCTGTGGAACAGATTCAACCGATGGTTAACTTACATAGGTTAGAAGCTAAGAAAGTTAGTATAAGGTAGTTAAAATAAAGGGAAATCACTTGCTATTAGTTAATATTAATAATAGAAGCGTTAGACTCTACTGTCGGCATTCCAATAACAGTGAACGCAGCTCCAATCCGAGAACTCCTTTGGTTCAACCCGTGACGTGTTCATCTTCATAATCCAGGCTTTCCAAGCGCAAAAATCCTCATAGGAGACACTTTTGTGGGCACAAACGTTAATTCGACCTTCAGCGACAATACATCTTGCCGGTGTAGACCCTGCAGTGGAAAACGACGATGTGAAGGGATTCCGTTGCCCGCGGCGTCTCTGGTAGTAAGGGAAAAGCAACAGCGGATGGAGGCTACGACAGTAGCCACAATATTGCGTCTCTGTACGTAGCCGACGAATCGTAGCCTCGATTTTCCTAGAGTTGATATTCTGTCGGCAATTCTAGCAATAAGAGATCAAATTTTCCTGACACAGCTTTTCCATCATGCGTTTCTTCTATTTTTGACTCATGGTGTGCTGCGATACATGGAAAGCGATGAGCTGCGAAGAATTCTCGCTCTTGTAATACCATAGTCGAGGGTGATCGTAAGCTGCGAACTCGTGGTCGGAAAATGCCAACGCAAATTGAAAATATGTTTGCCGTACCATGTAGATATCTACTAGGTCATCGAGACGTCGCATAATGGCAATCAAGAGATCGCGAGGGAGCCTTCCGAGAGGCGTGTGCGAGTTGCTTGTCCTGCCTGCCACCCACTCAGGCGTTCCTACAAAGGATGGCCGTCGGACTACTGTCCTTTTCCACTCTTTCGGTTCCGTTATTCAAAGACAGGCTCTGATTCTGTAGGTAACTCTCTACGCCTCGGGGTATTTCCGAGCGAAAGACTTCGTAGACTCTGCAGTCAAGTGCCTCGCGGGGTAATTGTTGTTTTTATGTCTTATGAGTATTCCTTCTGCACTCGCTGTGAATTCAAAAAAGAGAACAGTATTAAGTGGTGGCAAAGGAAAAGCTAAAATTAGGGCTTATTGCTTGGCTGTTTCGTATTCATTTTGTTGAGATGCCGGGATCTGGCATCTTCCACTCTTGTTTATTAATTTTATCCTCATCTTTTTCTACGTCTCACTTGACTACGTCGCTGGGTAAAAGTTGCACATAAAGGATGATATTCAGGGGGCTAGGGGCAGACAACTGCCTACTACTCCTACACAGTATCTATCAGCCGGTCTTTCTTCTCCTCATATCTCTCATTACCTGATCCCCAGAATATAATGCGCTCCCAGAGATGGGAGAAAAAGTGGTACCAAATGCAGGGCGACGAACTTACTGGAAGCGCAAAGTAAGATGACCAGCTCAGCAATGTCACGAAAAGCTTCTACTGAATTAACCTTGATGATGACCATGCCAACCTTTGTCGCTAAGCCAGAGACCCATTATCCTTCTAGGCTGCCACCAATAAACCGAAAAGTCAGGCCTTTGGCCATATTCATTCCATCGCGGGTCTCCAGGTAAATTTCACATCTCACCACCTCATACGCGCCTGTTTCATAGTATCGGAGCGCATCTTCTTCCTCTTTGTTCTGTACCAAGAACCCATGTCCGTGAACCCTTCCCCCGCCAAAGTCGTCCACAAGGGCTTTGTATTTACCTGCCCACGTCCCAAGGCGCCCACCTATGACCCATGCTGGTATGAGAGAGGCGGAGTGGCCAGGGCCCAGAAGTCGGCCTAAACGATCTCCGTCTGCTAGTGTACCGTAGAAGAAATACCAGACAGGGTAGTCTTCGTTACCCGGTTGGAGCTTTTCGTGATCAGCAATAGGAGAAGACAGTCTATTTTGTGGCAAAGTGGTGTCGAGGCCCAAAATCGGATAGGCTGAGTCGTGAGATAGATACTTGCAGGCTCTTGATACAGAGATAATGGTCGTTGAGCTTCCTGTTGGTAGGTTTGCGAGGAGTTTCTCTTTGTCCTTCCCGTTAATGACAGCAAACAATTCGGTCGTCTCTCCCTGGTCGGTTTTGATTTCCGGGGGCGCTGGAAGCTCTGCCAGTTGCTGAAGAGCGGCGGCGTCAGGAATGCTGCCTTCTAGCTTCACAAGGTATATACTCCATGCTTGAGTCTTGGAAGAAGAAGAAGAAGAAGTAGGGTTCTGAGCCCTGGCCTGGCGGGATAGCCATCGAGAAGACAAGCTGTATTCGTACGCTTCCTTATCGTACCCAAGACGTTTTTTCTCCTGGCTGATCTCCTGCCAAGCCAAGAGGGGGATGGAAGTGCGGCCAAAGTCGGCCCTCCAGCTACCAAGTTCCTTGATTGCTTCCTCTTCTGTGAAACCAAAGAGATGCTGCCATCTCTGTATTTGATCTTTGGGGATCTCAGCGTCGGAGCATTCAAAAGGATCAAAATAGCCAATGTTATTAGCAAGATCTTCGCAGGCTTGAAGTGTATCCATCTTGTCTAAAGTAGAAGGGATTTCGATTGATGATATTGAGGTCTGTTAAAGTGGATGAAGAAGGAGGGTAGAATGAATTCAGATCTGTTAATTTGGGTGAAGGAGGGCAGGCTAAATAGAGATCTGACGAGCGGGTCGGCCCGACGGCGAGGTAAAGCACCGGCGTCAAGGTTTACAGAGTTTGCCTTCTTCATGGCTGCAGCCTTGGACTAGCAACCCTTTCTTTTTTCTTGTGATATTCCTTGCATAAGACTTCAGGTTTATTCTATTACTGTCTTCCAATACATGTCTTTTAATATAGGTCTTGTACCACACGAGTTAAAGCTACTCGAACTCTGAAGCCTAACTATCTAAGAACCTATCTAGCTACGAAGTAGAACTACACCACACGTGTGGTGGGTGGTTAGGTTAACCCAAGTTTGATTGTGAGTCATCGGTGAAGGTTTAATCGTTGGCATGCGAAAAGGTTAGTATATTTAGATACCGCTACCCTAGCCTTCCGTCCATTAGCCTACCCTAGAGCTAGCGCTACGATGATTGTATCAAAGCATGATCAAATACGTTTGCTAGCAGCTATATTTAATGAATTATTTTATTATCAATATCAAACCCTTATCTCAAGCTTTGGGTATACTCTTCCCACATGCGGTTATGAGTTGGATGGTTGTTTTGAATGGTTGCTTTGGCTAACAATCCAGTCTAAGGACAGTCCCTAGATCAAGATGCTCATCCTAATTAATCGCTCAGCACCGCAGATAGAGAAATTATAGAAGGAAGCCACTAATCGCGATATACGAGCGACGACAAACAGGACCTTCAAGGAATTGCTAAGGCGGTGGGCAGTGTTATCCCAGTCCGGATGGATTTTGGTTGATGATTTCAGGAAACAAGACCCGGAGATAACGTCGTAGTAATGCGCTGTTTAGTCACATAGCATTCATGAATGAATCCACTCTGATTATAAATCAGTAACGGATCTACTTAAGTAAAGCACTATAGGTCACCTAATAAATACAGAGCTTAGCCCGCGCTGGCTGGAAATTGGCAACGAAGCGTGCAATCCTCATCCGGTTTAGCAAAGCATTTATCCAAGAGCCCAATTATTTACTACTGCAATTTCCACAATGCCTTCCGACGTCATTTGGCCTGAGAAATACCTTCCAGGTACAACAGACAATTATATATCGAACGAGGTTATTGTCAAGGGCCTTACCGCCGCGCAAGTTTGGCCGTTCCTTGTGGACATCAATCAGTGGGAATCATACTACGACAATTGCTCCCGAATTACACCACCATCATCTGGGTCTATTCTTAAACAGGGGGATAATTTCAAATTTTCCACTTTCGGTTTCGAGCCTCTTCCATCCCAGGTTCTTGAGTCTGTAGCTCCAACCGAAAACTCGCCCGGTCGTATCGCCTGGCGAGCTTTGCAAGATGGCGATGAAAATACATCAATGGATGTTTACCATGCTTGGATAGTGGAGGATCTCGAATGGGGTGTAGTGCGCGTTTTGACGCAAGAGTCCCAGATTGGCAAGCCTGCGGTGGAATTAGCCAAGCAGAAACCGAATCCGATATTGCTGGGACATCAAAATTGGCTGGATAGTCTGGTTGAATATGCAAGGAAGAATAAGAAATAACTTACATCTTGCATGTTGCAAGTTCCTATTCAAAGTCATGGACAAGGTGCGATTTGTCAAAACCCTGAAAATATCACGGTACGGATGCCCTTCCGGTCTAGGCCACCGTTTAGAGCATTCAGGGAAACGCCGTAGGCGGGATTACATTGATGTGTCGGCCGGCAGCTACCACGAGAATGGGATTCAGGCTACCGCTTGAAGGGGCAACATAGCGTTCTACCAGAGTTTGTCCCTTACTAGATCGGCATCAATGAGCCTTTAATGAACTCCTTCTGGAAATCTACAACCTTTCGCTCTGAACATGGTCAATCAAGTTGCCTGACGCATTCCATATCACTATATATAACGTGAGTATCTATTGTACTAGATCACACGAGTTTCTGCCCGTCAAAGAGGGAAAACTTGACAATTCCCCACTCATTTAATTGATAATTTGGAAATTATCAGCTTATTTCATACAGCTATCTACTCTCACGTCTTTCCTTTTAAATACCTAAGTAGAATCTCCTACAAAAGAGGTTTCTCAAGCAAACTCCTTAAGTAGGCGATTCACATTTGAGACCATATTGCTTCCACAAGCCCACCCAGCCCAAGATCGATCGTTGCTTGTCTGACCTACAGCAAGGACGCCCCAAATATATCTACCGCTATCGAGAGTTTCCCAGAATGGGCCGCCGGACTGACCACCGGAAAGGTCGGTATCAGTCCAAAATGGGCCATTTCCATCACAGCTCCATTCCTTGTCCAAGAGTTTGTTGTTATTCTGGCGGTATGGCCTCATCGTGTTGTCCTTATCCCCAGGGTAGCCCATGTGGTCGAAGCCGACTTGTCCAATCTGGGACTTGTCGGGAGTCTTAACACCGAAGTAGCCTCGCTCGTCACCTAGACGCTTGTTGATGATGATGACAGCCCAATCTCCCTTGTGGCGACAGTCACCCGTCGCCTCGTCGCCTATGGTAATAACGTGCGTTACATCACCATAGCCCAGCTTCGCCGTCTGGTCAAAACCAGGAGCAAACTTTCCGCTCACGCCACTCTTGATACAGTGCTTGGCAGTCAAGACATGGCGAGGGCCGACTAATGCGCCGGAACACACGGCACCATTCGACCAGTAGAGTCTGCCAACTGATGCGTAAGGAAAGGAAGTGCTTGGAAAGAGGACACGGTCATCTGGTCCCTCAATATAGTCACGTTTGTCTGCCTCTCCGCTAGATGGTGAGCCTGGGGGAATATACGGCTCAATCTTGGAGAGAGTTTCGTTTGAGAACTGCTCTTCGCTCAATTTGACAACCTCTGGAATAATATCTTTTGCCGAAAAGAGCCGGACATACGAATTGTCGTAATATGTCAAGTCTGAGGTCGTTTGAACTGTCTCCCCGTTTTCAGGAATGGGGTTCGCAGAGATACAAGACAGGAAACTGGCAAGTGTAGCTGCTGGAAAAAGGAAGTTAAACATTTTGAACTCGCTTTAAGGCTCTGTCTTGATGAAAGTGACAGATCGTAGCTGTTGCTGGATGTTTGAAGGCTGAGCTATAGCGGGAATGAACGGTTCATTATATAGTAGTTTCAGTATTATCAAGGTCTTGTTTCCCCTCCCTCATTTTCTTAAGTTTATGGTGTATTTTGCGTTAATTTTACAGAGTCATGGTCAAAAAGACCTTTCGACGCAATGCTGGGTGCGCCAAGTCTTAATCAAACTGAATGCAACGCTCGCACATCCCGGAACAAACTACATTAAGGCATACTGTGACCATCCGTTGCTATTCCGATAAATTTTATTGACTCACGCGACCCCTGGCCCAACTTGGCATGCTTTGAGATAATTTGAGTTACTAGGGGCAAATGAACTTTGGTGATGCTGATTCAATCCATTCTGTCAAGGGAATGCCCAGCCACATGATCCTACGAATTGCCTAACAAAATCCTTAGGGGGCATGAGAAGTTCTCTTTGTTATACACTGCCGACTATATGGCTCTTATACTTGTTGAACTGATGGTTGATGGTTACGCTTTCTGGAATCGCCCGTTGCAAAGCGATATAACTACTTGCTGGATTCGCTCACCAAACCCATGGGCACTATAAAATGAGGACAGAGGGGCGTCTCACAGAAGAAAAGTCATGCCAAACTCTGACAAATAGCATGTACGTAAAAAGAAGCCGCGGAAATTTCAGATGGATCATAATTTTAAGTGATATAGGCAAGAGCATAGCATATGTATGAAGTTGGTTTATATATTACATAGAAGAGCTGCATACCCAAGGGAGTAGATGTTTGTATTATATTTAGTCAAGTGAGCTGTTTAGTAATTTAAGACTTATTAATCGTTTCTTTAGGTCCCACTCGATACATGAATCCTCTGTGGCAAAGCCAACTCGGCTATTGTCAAATACAGCAATCAATGCTACACTTTTTAATCCTTCCCGCTTTCAATGGTCACGAAGGAGAAATGCGGCGTCGGCTGGACAAGGTTCTACGCTCACTCCATTAACTGTCACTCAAGAAGATGCCATTTCCGCAAGATTGCATGCTGTCGAGCAGTTGCTGTACATGATCTCACATCTAGTGTCGATACTTATTCGCTTGGGGTTTGACCAGTGATAAATGAGATCACAAGCCGGATGTCACTACAGTCTCTCTTTAACTGAAATGACTACCAAAATTGATAGCAATATGAAAACAATTGTCTACTCGTCCAGATTCCAGTGACAGACACATGGAAGCGTGTATCCTTTTTATCCGCAAGAACTTCTGAGTGGGTAATCCACGAAAGGGTACGAATTTGCAGCTTTGTCAGGCGCAATGAAGTCTTGCATTGGGAAATTTATATAACCATGGATTTTTGAATTGGTTGACTGCCTGACTGGCTTGAGACGGCTGAGAGCTGACGGCTAATTCGAGTGTCATACGACAGCCATTCGCGTTACAGCCGAAATATTATGGCGCAAAATATAACATTGTGTAATCCCAGTAAGAAGTATTATTAATCTACCACGACCCCTGTTTAGGCTGTTACCTCTTTATTCCCCCCTCCCCCGAAAAGCACCATTATTGTTCAGACATGGTGCTACAGCTCATCATGGATAGAAAGGACAGGCATCTCCTTACAGACACGGACCATGATATTGTCAAATCAATCAGCAGCCGTTGGCTTGCCGAGGGCTTCTGGGCTATCGCTGAGCTGGATGGATCGATCCCAAACAGGCTGAGCCCAGAGGAGATCGAGCCAGAAACAGCGGTAATCTCGGGCATGAGCGATGAGGCCTTGCTCAGTCATCATAGAGAAACGGCTGCAAAATCGCGCTCATTCGAAAACAGTGGTCACTGGCTATTCCGGGCATTCTTCACTGGGGAACAGACGCTCGGTAGATTCCAGCATGACGATACTGTCAAAGCCGAGGTCTTGACAGATATGAGCGATTCTTACTATGCAAGGTCGAGACATGTGCTCACGCATGGCGTAGAACATTCACAAAAGCTGCTGGAATACGCCGTTATCTTGCGGGAGATTGCTTTAAAAATGCCGCAATTCCGCGAGGCAAATGTTAGAGTACCAGAGCTGAGGAAGCTCGCCGAAATACATTCTGAGAGGCTTTTCAGAGGGGGGCTTAGGGAACCCTTGAAGGTCACCAACATAGCAGCTGCTTGTTTTGAAGAAGCCGCCAGCTTAATGACAAGAGAAGAAGGGGGAAGGCTACGCGCGGCAAGTCGTGCGCTGAAATTCATGGGCGGTGATATCAGAGCCATCGATTGTGCTCTCGAGATTTCTATTGACGAGATCATGGAACGGCCTGTATCTATGGATTCGGTAACACCGCGCCGATTTCGGTTCATTGACTGCCAAAGCTTCTGTAAAATGGGCGCCCTCCGAATCTTGGAGCTTCCTGACTTACCAGAGTCGTACTATGTGGCTATATCGTACGTCTGGCAAGGAGGTTTGCGCGCGGATGCTTGCCCCAACCATGGCCCAGTCATCAAGATCAACAATGCTGCCAACGCAGATCCCATATCTATCGACGTGCTGCGGATCGCGTGTAACGCCGCGCTGACACTCAACTGCCCTCTCATATGGCTTGATGGGGTTTGCATCATGCAAGGGAACGACCATGATAAAGATTGGCAAATTCAGAACATGTTCAAGATCTACAGCCTGTGTAAGACGTGCTTGATCATTCCCGGAGGATTGTCAAGACTCGTCGCTATTGACGAAGAGACGAGGTGGGTTCACCGCGCCTGGACTCTGCAGGAGGCTATTGCTCCGCCATCGTGCCATTGCCTCTTCTCATGGCCGCACGGCGACTGCGTGCTGCAAACAGTGAGCTTTGCTGGAGTCCACGAGGTGGAGCCGGGCAGGGCTGCCATCTCTGAGATGAGAAGTTTGTTGAACATAACACATAAGAAGTGCGATATAATAAAGGGCAGACAGAGAGATAACCTAGGGAAAGTCACGATACGACTACTGGGTAATGAAATCGAGGATAAAGATAGCGTTTCCCTAAATGCCCTGATCGGTGCCCTAGACCGGAAGGGCAGGGAAGGCATGGGCAACGCCGTCTGGAGGGCAGCCTTGACAAGATTCTCATCACGACCTGTTGACTTTGCCCTGAGTATCATGGGTATATTTGGCATAACTCTTGATCCGTCTCGATTCGCACCTGATGACAAAATAGGTGCAACGGTTGCATTGATGCAAGCAATGATTGTCGAGGGACAGAGACCGGAGTGGTTGGGGATAATGGAGAAGCTACGTCCGGGCCAGTATTTGACAATGCTTCCTGAGTTCCCGCAGCCAGACGTGGATGGAAGGGCCGCATTTGGAAAGACCTTGTGGAGTTCGAATTGGTGGATCAAGGATGTCCCTCCTGGCTTAAGGATGGATGATGCCGGGTATCTGCACATCTCGGCATTATGCTTGCCAATTCAATCCGTCCGCCCTGGGAGTGCCGATGTGATATTTGAGAATACCGATGGGCAATGGGCTCTATCTTTGAACAAAAGCCCACAGATTTATGCGGTTCGTCTCGGAGAGAAGTGCCTTTACACAGCTATCAAATTCCCCCCTCAGGTCATTCTGGACAAGTATTTGGTTCTTCTTGCCGAAAAGTCCAAAGAGGAGAGATTTCATTGTCTTGGATACGCTTCTGTGGAGGAAAATGTCATCAACTTGGAGAGTTGGGGAACTCTGACACTTGTAATAAGATAGACTTTATAAGTATATCATATACAAGAAAGATAACACACAATGAAGGCAGAAGGAACATATTCCTAGCTACCGGGATCGGGAATTGATTCTATGTAAGACTAGCTAGGCTGACCTTTTTATCCTCAGTGAGTTACCATCCAAAAGACTCACAATGGACATCTATGCTTGGGCCCTCTGGTGTCATATGTCGGGTCGCCGCGGCCGAGACGGCTGCCATAAGAGACTTGGGCCCGCATGATGCAATCAAAATACGGCTGTCGCTTCCAGCTGTTTGGATTGACTCATGGATCATGGCTTCCGCCCTCAATTTTTCATACTTGAGACCATGCCTGTTGTTTACTTCAGCCGTATTGACTGAGTTCATGTTTCCTTGCGTCTCTTTTTCAGCTGGCATTTCGTCGGTCTCTAAGGGACTCCCAGACTCCGAAACGTGTTTCTCTGTGATCTCAGGCGTCTCAGGCGTCGGTGTATCATGAGGTGACGCGCTGAAAATAGAACTGAGATTCTCGTCAGATGACATTTGTACATTGTCAGTGGTAATGTGTAAGCTGAGAGACACATGTGATGCATGGCTTCTGAGCTTTTCCAACTGCTCTGAGAACCAAGCCAGGTTTTCTGCGTTTTCTCTTTGTCAGCGGATTGATTTAAGAAAGACGAGGCCAGCCATTCATACCCTTTGTCTTTACTGCCCAAATAAAGTCGATAAATTGAGTCGAATCAGGCCCAAGCGACTCTAAGACTGTACAAGCCAAGCCCATTGTAAAGGTAGCACCGCTCCCTCCTGCAATGAGAACAATCCTATCATAACATGTGAGATCTGGGAAGGACCCATAGGGCCCATCGAAAGAGACCCGGATACTGGCACCTGGTCTTGAGACTGCATACTGATAAGCTGCTTTGGTGAAGCCACTGTGAGACTTCATAATAAGCTCGAGACCAGAGGTCGTGTTAGATACTATAGTAAAAGGATGCGTCTCGAATGGCCGGACACTCGGGATCCAGACGAAGCAGTGCGAGCCTGGGGCCGCCCACGCAAGCTGCTTTGTCGATATCAGCTTCACGCCGCCGTTTGGTAAGGCATGAAGCGTGGCTCTATTATCGACGAAATTGAACATTAATCTCCATGCCCGGATCAAGCGGTCGATGATCCAGATGCAGGCGGCAAATAGACTCGCTATGCAGATCTTCTCGACCCAATAGGGTCTGTGTAATCCCACGAAAACAAGTGTCAGGATGCAGCCGATGATGTGGCTTATGTAGAAGACCTCGTATCCAAAGCGCCTGAGGAACCCCATCATGAGAACCAACATGGCAAATCCCGCAGCGATTCCTTCCCAGTTCTCGGGCTCCAGAAATTTGGACCAGGCTTGATGCATGTCCTCCCACTTCATGTAGCAGATACCGTGGAAGACCATCTGAGCAACGGCAGTGTAACCGACGATTCGATGTAAAAGATTCAGTCCATCATAGGAGAAAGGACTAAGCAGAGCCAGTGGCGTGTTTTTCAAGCCAAAGAAAACGGCCAACGCGATGTTACCCATGGACATCCTGTAATAGACAGTGTCAACAATTGCTTTATCTTTAGAGTTTGCAACACATACCACCCAAACCTAGCAGCAAAATTGCTGGGCTTATTGAACTCGAGATTGACGAAGCAAAAGATAAGGTTGATGGCGCAATAGAGGAAGATGACTATAGCATGACCGACAGAAGGGAAGTTTGGGAAAGGCCGGAGTAAGAAAGCTTTGACGTTTCTTGAATCTGTTAGTTGAATCTTGAATTGGACTCACTTTCGCATACCGGGTAAGGGTTCTGAAGATCCAAAACCTTGGGATTCTCCTCGATTTGCGTGATGAGAAGCACTTCCTAGTTAAGAATTGCACCCAGTGTGCAAGAATAAAGAAAGCCATGATGCCCGCTATCACACCTGCATAGACCTTGATGTTCCACTCATTCATGAGCTGCCTCTCATCGGGGGTTTTCGCTCCTTTGGCCCTTTTCTCGAGCATTTTGAAGGCGATGAGGAATTTTATCGGCGATGGATCTCAGGCGTGTGGTCAAGGCATGACAGAAAGGAGTCTCAGCGGAGGTTTCATTTTATATAAAAAATAAAAGAATAGGAAGATATTCTAGAAAAAAGAAAGCCCCAATAAAATTTTCTGCCATGCTGAGAAGAATGACATCGAAGCTTCACTGCAAAATCCTTTCTGAGGAATATTTCGGAGTCCGAGTCAATGGTACGTGGATCGTCCCATTTTCGACAATACTAACACGACAATAGCTGATTCTGATTTCTGCAACTCACTACGCCTCCGCAACCTCTCAGGTACGTCCACAAGGCAGGTTCATCCTAATGGATCAGTGGCTTGTTTCTCAGCTCCCACTGCCGAGTATAATCCCTCAATAGAGGTATGAATCTAATCAGATCGACCCATTGGATAAGATCCGCCATCCAAACTAAACACACTAAGCTCTTGTTGTGTCCTCGGAGTACGAGTGCAACTCGGAGCAGGGTGGATGAATCTGGCTGCAAAATTTGGCCGCTGAAGAGTCAATTGTTAGGCTGGCTCATCATATTCACAGTCTGATAGGCTCTTGGGAACGTAACATGCTGAAAAAGGCATGCGAAGATTCCCGTATGTGGATTACATCGTCCGAGCATGGTCGTAAGCCGAGCATCCACGCCACGCAGAACTAACACGATAGTTGCAAAGTGAGTAAATGGACGGATTGATAACGGCGAGATGTGGATCAACAAGTGGCATCAAAAGCGGACCATCCCACAACTAATGGTCATTTCACCGCTTCGTAGGTTTCGAACCTGTGCCGAAATCCCGGGCCAGGGAGTGATGGTTGAGCGTGTTGTTTTGAGACGGGAAAGCACTCGACTTGCTGAAAGATGGCCACCGCTGTCGTAACATTGAAAATCCATATTTTCACTCAACTTCAGATATTTTTAAAAGAAGGCAGCTATTTGATATACATAATGCACTGAAAAGAACGCCGTCTGAATTACGAGCATTCATCAATAGGGGACTTGAGGTGGAGTAGGCCTCGATGAGCGTAGTTGAGGATGATCCCTATCCTTGTCAAGTACCAGATTGATAACTCGGCACTGACCCATTCCTGGCCAAACAATGGCTGCCCATTCGTCATTCTCAAAAATAACGCTGAGTGCACTGGTCACTATCTAGCATCGGACATCCGACTAGAACCGAAGATCCACAGGTTGCCGTGAGTGGGGATTTGGTTCGAGCTCCGTCTTGCGGTGGGATACTGCAAAAATCACTGACGTGACCCACCCTACCGTCTCGGTTGCCGCCTTTCAAGTAGCTTTGAAATTGGGGATCTGGTGGAGGCAGTGACAGCTTTGATAACTAACAAAGAAGCGCCCCGCTCGCAGACCGAACCATTCTCACGATCCGGCGGTTGGGGTTTATGAGGTTTGGAGTTTGAGCCGTTGGGCCGAGAGTTGGAATCAGTACATGGTTGGGGAGCCGCTCTTACTGCCGTGCAAAGAGAACTGATCAATTTACCGGAGGAAAAGAACTTCATATACAGTCCCTCTTATGAAAGGCTTCTGACAATAGCCATAGACATTACACTATATATCATCTTCACTTTGAACTGTAACTGACCACTTCTTCACTAAGTTCTATGTGTCTGTACCTTTCATAGATTGGTTTTTGATGGCTGTATTCGTACTGTGGTTGCCATTGTTGTCGGACTTGCTCCGCCTGTCACAGAATAACGAGTTTTTGATTGGCTCTACCAGCAGCTTACTTTGAAGCTTTTCTACTGCTGCAGTCGTTACCCTCGTACGATGACTACTGCACCTTGGAAAGTCTGTTAGTTGGTCAAAGCGTTCTTGCCTAGAGGTCAAGTGCCTTGTTTGGTTTCTTGAATCTTGCAATTCCGTCATGTCACCCTCAATACGTTTCAACCAGTGTTTTGCGAGAGTTACTTAGAATAGAGCAGATTCGGAATTCTTCTGCCCTCAACTACCGAAACAGTTACTGATCAGTTGCAAAGCTCTCTATCAAGTACTACTAAATCTAAGTTATGGAGAGAATGTTTGAATCTTCCATGCATACCAGCAAGTCAAGTAGCTTGCAGTCCTCCACGGCTCCAAAGAATGGTTCACAAGTCGTGGAAGAAGAGTAGAACATGCTCTCCGTTCAGTTGCGGAATCAACAGCTCTTGGCTAAACCAAAAGAATCAAGAAGCCAATCCCTTTCCATTTCTTTGCCCGCCTCGAGAGCCACGCCTCCGCATTTCCTATTTCACAAACCTTAGCCTAGGTTCCTCATTTGGTGAGAACCTTGATGGGACTGAAGTTACGGACGAAAAGTTCAAGTATTCAGGCCGTGGATCTGCTAAGTTGAGTAATCCTTTAGTTCTTCTACGCTATGATGATCAATGCTCATAGGAGGCGCTATGGATCGATAAAGATGTTTGATTGTAACACATACACGCTTACCTTTACCTTCGATCCCTTCTTGTTCATGAAGTGGGATAACTGGCATTCTATTCGGATTCTCATGCAAGTATTTTCTAAGAAATTGAGGATTTTGGGCCTCATTCTTTTGATTATCTGGTCTAAACAAACACAAAGGTCATGTTAGGCTGATAGAAGAACAAGGAGAGTTAGAAATTAATCTCTTGCCCTAATAAATAATATCACCGATAAGACACCGCGTTCACGAAAACCATTTACCAACACACGCGCAGAATTATCGTCTTTTGTGCATCCTTTACTGCTTGGCGCATTTTCGCTCAATCACATCCCTAAGAGCTTCTCAATTTCTTCATACCCATGACCCTCAAAATAGGCCCCGACTTTAGGAACCAGCAGACAGAAATCTCAAGTTTCACCGTAGTTCTTCCACCCATTGTAGGAGACCTCCTGTTTCAATGTTCTTTGGATGATTCTGTCTCAGCTCGAATTCCGTTGTTCGTGCAAGTTTTAGTAGGGCTGAGTTTAATCGTGAAAAGAAATCTCGGGCACCGGGCCCTTCATCTCTTCAGAATCCTTATGGCATAAGATATCCCAAAGACAGTTAGAAACGGTATCTGTCGTGTAATTGCTTAGAGTAGGCTTTGTCAGCGGTCGAGTGTTCTCGTCATCATTGCATTTCTTTGCTTCCTTCTCATATGTCTTCTGGGCGGCGATGTAAGTCGAAATAACGTCAACGTCGATACAGCCACGGTGCTCGTACCACTTTCGAACTAGCAGTCCCCATTCGCCGGTTTAGAGTCGAGACTTATTTGAAGGAATGAGATCTTGAGGATAAACCAACGATTCGAAGCAGTCGACGTGGTAATAATGTCTTGTCAGCTTCCCTTGGCCATAGGGGAGTATGTCAGTGCCGTATACGCAAATTCGAAACTCATCCTCGATTAGCTGTGTCTGAGGCCCATCGGAATCGACATCAAGGCAGTCGCGTCCAGCACGGCATTTGGCACGGCTAGAACGAGATACCTCAACATACACAAACGCCTCGGGTGTCTCGGTGATTGAATTGAAAAGATTCTCGCCCTTAGTCTTGGGCTCGGCTTCTGTCTTGGGCGCAGCTTTCGTCTTGGGCGCGGCTTTCGTCTTGGGCGCGGCTTTCTTCTTGGGCGCGGCTTTCTTCTTGGGCGCGGCTTTCTTCTTGGGCGCGGCTTTCTTCTTGGGGCGCTTGTGGCTAGCCTTTGGGGCATCAGGGCCTTGACTCTCGGTGGGAGGGTGTTCGTCTCGGGCTCGTCGCTTTCTCGCGTTGGTGGACGAGGACGCTTGGATTTCGTCTGAAGCCATTGGAACGACCAGGGAGTTAAATGATTATTTCGGGTGGAAAGACGGGCTTCGAGGGATGGGAAGAAGTGAGTAAGCCAGTCGCCGTAGAACTAGAGATCTCCACGACCAAGGACGGAAAGGATGCAGCGTATGGATCGCAGGTGGTCTTTGCATGAATGAAAGGCAACAAAGAAGTTGAAAGACTGGAGGAAGTAGCATGTAATTTCCTTGTGGGAAGTTGCCTCTCAAGAGTTCTGCATGAGGAGAGTGTTGACCTGAGAGATTAGGGAAGGTGCAGAGAGAGTCACGTGCCCCTAAACAGTTCCTTTACATGCTCTCCAAGGCTTGTCGGCGTACTTGGGTTGATCGTGCATTGACTCCTTAAATAATATGGAATCTAAATCGATATCGTATTCGGAACTATCTTGGAAGTGATTGAGGTGTGAAGTGGGTCGCATATCTCTTTCGTGTGCAACGAATATCGAATTGCATCAAGTAATGGGACCTCCGTGTACCTGACATTATCTTGCAGTCTAACTCAACCCAAGCACCTTCCGGTGGCCTATTTAAAGGTCTAAAGAGGCGAGTGCCGCAAGAGTTAACCGCTTTACAAACCTATTGCCTAATGGCGGTTTTTTTTTTTTTTTTTTTTTTTTTTTTGGTGGGAAATTCTGGAGGAGCAACCTCGTCGACAGCAGACCCTGCTACGACACAAGCATCTTCATCGTCTTCAAATGGTACGTTTAAGAAGGTTTGGCTCGGTACCTCAATACTCTTCTCATGAGCTTCGTTTCCTTTGCCTGCCTGCAGTAAATAGCGGCCACAAAGGCTTGAGCCGTCCCTTCAATAGCCTGTTTAGAACGTCGTAGGTTTGACCGAGAGTGAACAAATTACGTGGGTAGCACAGAAGCTTTATCCTTTTCTCCTCCTCTGCATCATAAATGAACTACAAGTTAGCCCAACCAGAAACACTCATTACCCACATACCATCACCAAATAAACAAGGGCGATAAAGACGTTCGTCGTCATTGGGCTTTGATCCCGAGCAGCTTGAACGAGCTAGCCATCCTGACTCTGGATAGTTTTCAGTCGTGATGACCATTAGGCTTTTCTTTTATGTGGCATTGAGTCAGAGGAGATTTTCCAGATGCTACTCGTAATAGCAATATGTGAAGCAAACAATAGGAACTTTGGATTAAGGGGGAACTATGAAACGGGGTTGAATAGCACAACCTTAATAAGAAATTCAAGCAAGTTTCTAACAAGGTTTCAAATCAATTCTTTGAAGCCTTTGAGTTACTGCTCTTCTCCGCCAAGAAGCACATCCTGCGTAGCATCAACGAGAACTCTGATGTACTCAAGGTCAAAGCAACCCAACTTTGAGAAGGCAGGTCATTTGATTAACTCAAATTTAAAACATCTTTTCTAGAGCTCTACCGAACTTAGAAGGAGGGTTGTTCTCCCGTTCTTGGCGGTAGTGTTCATCCAAAGCCTCGAAGAAATCCAGGCCGCTGTGCAGGTCAACATCCTTGGACTTGTGCCACTTTGTGTGCTTGAAGATCTTCCAGAAAATCGCGATGACAGTAGCCAGTCCTATCTGCAGTGGCAGTATAGTCAGTATAGACCAAGAGGCAGATTGCAGGTGCCAAACTCACAATCCCATAGTTGAAAACAAATGTAGCGACTTCCCATTTGCCATCCAGAAAAACGGCATAGCCTTGGACCCTATGGTTTCACATTTTAGCCCAAATGTCAGACAGACAAGAATTTCTCATCACTAGCAAGCTTTCCACTCCATATACACGCTCTTAACTTACCAGAGAAAGAAGAAGGACCAGAAGAATGCCCAGTATCCAGCATACGGCTGTAGTCGTGACACAACAGGTAGAAATGACTTCTTGTCAATGTTCTGCGCTTTCATTGCGTGGTGGAAGCGAATGTATGTGAATGACATGACGGCCCAATTGAGCATTGTGGCTGCGGTACAAAAACTAAACAAACTTTTGTCAGTATTGAGCACCATGTAAATTACTGACGGGGCGAATGTACTTCAAAATCCAGTTCAAAACCTTGGCAGTTCCTGAACTAAGCGCCAGATATGACAAACAGGCCAGAACCATGACAACGATAACGGCCATATAAGGAACACCACTATATCAAAGTTAGCTGCGATTTTGGGTCTGCGTATTCATGGGACATACTGCTTGTTGAGTTTCCGGAGGAACTTAGGTGCTTGTCCCTCAAGTGCCAGAGCGTGCAGACTGCGAGAGGCGTTAAAGGTATACGCATTTCCAGCGGAGACGATGCTGGTAATGAGGGCAGCAGTAATGATTGAAGGCAGAACCGGAATTTTAAGCCTAACCGCTGCAATCACACTATCAAGGGAACCGGTAGGTAAGTGCACGATTTCTTAGATTTATGTTTTAAGATGACTTACTAGGGTGAAGCACCAGCGTAGGTGTCAGCTCCTCCGGTCAGGCTGTGCTTTGTTAGCCTATAAATTTGATCAGAAAATACGGGTGAGAACTAACGTCTGGTCGTTATAGGGAACGAGAATCTAAATTGGATTCCTCTTAGCTTGGCTGGGAAGTTACATCCTGAATTGCATATGACTTACTCCAACAGCAAGCGCTCCTCCAATGAAGAAAAAGACTAGACGGTACATGATGGTGTTGAAAGCTCGGGGAATGGTGCGCCGAGGGTCTTTAGCCTCTCCCGCGATCACTGTAGACCCAATTTGTCAGATGGCGGATAGAATGGACTTGGAGATGTTATGCTTACTTGAGATGTACTCTGGGCCAGCCATGACGAACCCAGCAACATTGACTCCATTGACGAAAGACATCAGTTGCTCCCCGGCAGTCTCGCCTTTCCATGGGCCGGGATCTTTCCAGTGCCTGAATCCAAATCGGCTAAAAACAACGGTAAGTCAGATCATGTATTAGTGAATTGTTCCCTATGGCAGTGACTCACTCGTTCAGGGGGTTTCCGCCTAGCATAGCAACGAAAGTGAATAGCAGCAGTCCAGCTGCCAACAGAATCTTGCCGAGAGCCAGCCAAACTAAATATTTTCTCGTTAGCGCATAGTCCTTGTCCATCGTAGCAAACGACTACGACTTGCATTCAACTTCTCCAAACAAATCTGCACGATATATGTTGATGGCCATATAGAGCACAATAGAAATCGTAATGAGGATAGCTGGAGACTGATCATAACCCCAAACTTGGACAAGCGAGTTGATAATTGTGCACTCAAAGATTACGTAGGACGTTTGAGCAAACTGGAGACATCAATTTTGTCAGCTGAAGTATTGGTGAGTGAGTATGGGGAAGGATGCACTTGCGAAGTGATTCCAGCCAACAGCCACACCCAAGGCTGGGTCAACCATATGGCCTGCCAGACGGATAAATGAGCCATCGAGAGGATACTGGGTGACGATTTCGTATTCTATTTCAAACTTCGTTAGAAATAAAATTCCACGGGTTTTTATAGGATAAAGAGATCTCTTACGGCACTTGGCGACACTGAAGACAACAGTTGCCCAAAAGAGGAATGCAAGAAGAAGGGCAAGAGGGCCACCGGTCAAACCAGATCCAATAGCAACGAACAGAGCTCTACGTTGTAATCATGTTAGAGTCATCATCTCTAAGATTGACCAGCCATGGATACTCACGCTCCAATTGATCCGGCAATACTGGTGAGCTGTATTTGTCGTGCATTCAGGCGTCGATGATTGATTGCCAGTTCAAGGGCCACCATTTGGTCGACTGTACCGTTGTTGATAGAAGCACCTCGCTGTCATTGAAAAGTTGTATTAGCAACATATGGGTGTCAGAGTGAGATGAGCCATTGAGACTCACAAGGTCAACTTCTCCGTTTCGAATTGACTCTGAACAATTAATGTCAGCCTCCTTCTTGAAGGCCTCAGGCTGAGCAGGAGCCATGGCTTGTTACAGAATATGAAGACAATGTGAGAGAAGACAACTTGCTGCAGCTGCGATGAGCTCCCAAAACGCGGAAAATATTGAGGCGAAGGAAACTTTGGAGTTTTGTAGTACAACTCCCACCTGGTGATTGGCACAAGAGCTTCCCTGTTTCAACCCCAGACAACCTTATCATTGTACATATCCCCGCGAACTCCACCTGCGCTCCACACCCACTCCTGATTACCATCGTCGGCCATCTCCACTAGCTATCTACAGACGGAAGGTTGATCCGTGGGGACGGAACTGCACTCCTGGAGGACTGGAACAAGCCCTCACTTATCAACCTATCCATACCTCCATCCCCCATCACTCCACTCGGCAGCGTGCAGGTGGCACGCGCACGCCCAAGGTAAGGTTGATAACAATCCAGGATGGAACACATTGGCGCCTTCACGCACTATCTTGAGGTTCAAGCCAGCAACTAGTAGACCTTGGATATCAGTAAAAGATAACCCAGAATTATGCCTCGCACAACCCACATTCCCGGCCCGGTTGGTTTGCTCGATGATTCAGATAGTCCAACCCTTCTTTTCCGGACCATGGTTCCGTTGATCACTGGGAAACCTGCATCTTGACGGTCTCTTATCCCGTTAGTCCAAAGCCGGAGATCGGGAATCGTGTCAATTTATTACCTATCTTAAACCGCTGGTTCCGCGATATGATTCCCGGTCAACTTACCACACCAAATGCTATCAAGTTCACAATCATCAACATCCAAACATTTTTTGTATCATCCGCAATTCGTAATCAAACCTTTCAACTCACAACCACAATGGCGGTCCCTTCTTTAGTCACAATAGACTCCTCGGAACCTCTGGAGAAGATGTACGAGATTGTTGCTCGTGATGGAGGAGTAATCGTATCCAACTTCCTCACCCCGGAGCTGCTGAAGGAAGCCATGGAAGGGAGTGTGTTTCGCCACAGTGCTAACAACATCACTCCTATTTACAAAACACTAACACATGGTTCATTTTAGTCAACCGCGAATTTGCTGCGCGCAAGAAGATTTTTGAAAGGAACACATCGCACAGCGAGCTGGGTGCTGATTTCTTCCCCGAGGGCACACAACGTGTCTACGTACGTCTAACCTAAATTAATTGAAGACCTGTATTCTCACCAAGCACAGGGTCTCTTAGGAAAGATGCCCACGTTCATCAGCGGAGTCTTGCGCCTCAAGGTTTGGCAAGGCATCATGGACAAGTTTTTGAGGTCAGCGTGACTCGCTCTGCGTTCATTTGAGAGATCATGCATTAACATGGGCTGCAGTGATGAGCGAAGCACGATTACAGGAGACAAGTACCTCCCACTAAAGAGCGGTTACATGCTTGCCACAACCGCTGGCCTCCGTTTGGAACCTGGGGCCAAGCCTCAGCCTCTCCATCGCGTAGGGTTCTTCCGCAACATTCCAACAGACTGAAAGAAAAGGGGGCTAATGGTGTGGTGGATAGGATGAGATCAAGTTCCAGAGCAACCCCGACCCCAACAACCCCCTCTTCACCCCTATGATCGGTTGTCTCATTGCTGGCTCTCGATGCACAAAGAAGAACGGGGTACGCCTTTCTCCGCTACCAATGACTTTATCGGGCACTCACATCGCAAATTAGGCCACCCTAGTTATCCCTGGAAGCCACCTTTGGCCGAGTGACCGTTTCCCTAAGATAGAAGAAGTTACATATGCCGAGATGGAGCCAGGCTCAGCCCTTTTCACCCTTGGATGTAAGTCAAGTCTTAGTTTTTTGCCAATGACTGAGCGTCCTGCTAATAATTATTCAGCGACATACCATGCAGCGGGCGAGAACAAGTGCGAACGTGGTGAGGTTGATTCAGTCCGCACACTATTTGCTTGCTTCGGGTAAGTTCAATTCCAGATCAATTAAAAAATTTCCTTGATCATTAGCTAATTGTGTCTGTTTTTCAGACAAAGAGACTACTTCCGCCAGGACCAAGACGAAGTTCATTCCACCCCAATATCCGTTATTCGCTCACTTCCTGACGATATTCTCCGTCTTGCTGGTTTCTGTACGTATCACCCAACTGTTTACTTTTATCCCGCCGATCAAAGTTTCTGATGCAGAGATATAGACAAGTCCGTTGGAGGTGTAGGATATGTTGCTGATCATCAAGACCCTGCCGAATTCTTGCACATTGATGAGTACGGGTCCGGAAGAATGGGTACCAAGACACAACAGGCTGCGACTACAATTTGATAAATCCATAGCTTTACTCTTGTAGTGATGAATTCAGTATACATCACTAGTTCAGTTGACCGCCTACGTCAGTCAAAGCGATCAAGCTTTCAGCAATGGAGTAATTGCGGCTCATTATCACTTTGCCATATTCGTAGCCAAGGTCACACGATCCTTATCAAAGAACTAATTACCAGGCCATTCTCTTCTAATTAACACACGCGTCATTTGCTGCCTTCTCACCAATCATAACATGCCCAATGTCAGCGCTCCACCACGCGGATCAAGTGTCCGGATCCTTGTTCCTTGGCGGGACTTTTTTATGGAGTTTGCCCAACCCCAGAAAGTCACCACGAGTAATTACCAACCATCTTATCGTTTAGTTGCGGATGGCATTTTTCGCAACCCTTGGCGCTTTCAGTTATCGCATGTGATCAGCGTTCATTCCTCATACACATAATCGGTTGCATAATGTCATCGGGAAGTCAAATTAGCCGACTTGCCAAGGAACTTCCACTCTGAATCCGCACTCCTAAGCTTTTGCCATGATCCATTACAAATTATATTCATATATCATTAGCCATCCACGGACTCAATGTGAACCATTTGGGGTTATTGACTTGATGTGGAAGCCACATCCTCTACGTCTAACCGGTCAGCCAGGTCCAAAATCTCCTGCGGCAAAAGCCCAGACACTCCGTTAGAAGCAATTGTATGCCAGAACGGATCTCGAAAATAATCATCCGTTGCAAAGTTCTGTTCGTGTACATAATCTGCCCGTGGAGCGAGACCCCAAGATTGCTCCGTGCTGGGCATCAGAGCAGCCATGGCATTTTCCAATTGTTGTAGTTCCAGTTTCCGCACTGGCGCGACTACACTCCCCGATTCAATCATCCGATCGAATATGTATTCTATGTCGTTAGGCCAGGACTGATCTTGTAGAAGCGATGGGCTGATTAGTTTGATGAGATGAAGGATAAACGCTGACGAATAGGCTGCGTCAAGTTGAAAGGGCAAAAAGGCGTCTAAGTAACTGGTCAACTTCTCAGTAATCATGAATACAATATCATCACTCGCCAATACCTAATAAGCCTTCCTCATCTAAACTCCGAAGCATGTTTAATATCGTATGCGCAGATTCGACGCACGAACTGAGGAGTGAGGCCACCGTCGACGTCAAAGGGACGACCACTGGGGGGAAGGTATCTGAATTCTCGACATGCATCTGCAGCGCACACATCACAAGCGGCCGAGTAGAAAGCACCACGCACTACAAAGCATATTAGTTCAGTTGAGTCAGGAACGTTAATGTTAGAAACTTGCATGATGATATGAAATGACAAGTCGATGCGCCATCCGTGAGGCTTTGCTAAAGGTACCGGGGAAATGAGTCCTGAGCACGTCGGTCAAGTCCCGAGATAGTTCGGCCAGCTCACGGAGGATCGACTGCGTGTTCGGGATTAGTGTGTTATCGAACTGTCTTCCCACTCCATAAACCGCTGTAACATGGTCAATATACGAGGCCACTCTCAGGTCGGAAAGAGAGAGGGGCAGGTTGGCATACTAGATAAGATGCGAGCTGTCAATCTAGTTAACCTCACATGCAACTCCATGTTCACTGCATCAACAGAATTATTCATCTGTGAAGGAGGCTTGGCCGTGATAGCCTCATCCTGCAGAGCACTGGGGGCTCCTATAGAAGAGGAAAACTCCTTCTCCATGGTATATATCGCCCAAAAAGCCACACATGCTCGTTTCGACTGCTTCGCCCCGACGATTTGCTCGGGCATATGACGATGCATACCCTCCATGATACAAGTACGCATTGCCTGGCTGATCTACCGGCAGCTGAAATGTCAGGAGTCCTACGTCAACATCAGGGATCGCAACTTGGGAAACTCACATGGTAGTAAGCAGCGATTCTCATATCTACAGACTGGAACCACATAGAAGCTAGCGTCAAGGTCTGGACAGCTAAAACTGGGTCGGCATAAAGTCCCGACATGTCTGGAAGCATCGTCATCGCTCGCAGCGCGTAGTGAGATCCGGGAGGGCCCCGGCTGTTGTTGCCTTTGGAGTAGGCTTTGCCATATGCAAGCACGAGGAGGAAGTGGGCGTACCATGTCCTCGAGCTGTTTGCTTTCTCGGCCGGTCTCTCGTAGAGGTCATAAACGCCCTTGGTAAATTCGGGCTCGTCTATGAGGCCCAGGTAGTTGTTCAAATAAAACTTGGCCGCCCCAATAAGAAACAACGCGTGGTCTCGATGCGGCAAGTTGCTAATATCGACCTCCTCATTAGGTCCCAAGGGCGTCCACTGCATGTTGTATGCGCCCTTGTCTTGCCGGTGCCACTGGTCTCCGTCAGCCTCGGGGATGCACTTACCTAGCAGAGCCAAGACGCGTCTGCAGAACGACCATGATGAAATCGGCGCCATATACCCTAGCCCCAAGTCAGTTATCTTTCAATTGAGGTCCTGATTGCGCCAATGAGGCTTACAGCATCGACCCGCCGCGGCCGCAAAGGCATTGTCTTCGCTTGCCAATGGATTCTGTCCAAATCCGGATTCTGAGTCGAGATTCCCAAGAGCAGGAGCCAAGGCCTCGCCCCGAGACAAGTTCCTTCGAGGAGTGGTGCTAGATGGTGAGGGCCTTCCGGTCGCATCGCATTCCCGGACCCGGATATCATTAGCGGCAGGTAAGCTTGCTTGGGCTACCGACGGTGTTGGGATAGTCTGTTGATACGATGCGTGATTGGCATTTTGAACATCACGGAAGGCAGTTCCGTCATCGACGTCTATGTCTGAGCCGGAAAGAGGCTGGATGGCACCGGTCCGGGTTTGTAACTCTCGGAGATAACTGTGCCAGCATCAAGGTCAGTAAAAGCTCGATAGTCGAAAAAGATGCGGACGTAGGACCTTTCTGTAATGGTCACTCGTTTCTCCTCGATTGCGTAGTGACAAGACTCATGGCGACGTTCACAGCGGTTACACGGTTGCGTGCCGGAACATCTCGCCTTCAACAAGCGACATCGATTGCAACTGTCTCCGATTAGCGATTATGTACTTTGGAGATCGATATGCACAAAATACTCACGCCTTAGAAACCTTGTTCCTTCCCCCGCGGCGGGCACGGCTGATTACTGGCATGGCTCTACCGGACGATGCAAGATGAAGCGAAACAGGCTCGAGACTAATAGAAAACCTTCCAGGAAGGCGCTTCCGGCAGGTTATGAGGACAACCCTTGTCTTTCTCACAATCGGTGTGGACCCGGACGTTTCACCGTTTCATCGGTCCGGAATGGTTGACGGTTTATAACTAGTGACTTGGCTTATCATTTTGCGCCCGCACTTGGTGCAAATGGGGAAAGCCAGAATCCGATCTTGGTCGGCTCACCAAACAGTCGGCGCCGCATCCCGATGAAGAAATGTTGACATCTTGTGATGCCTGAAACAGGGCTGAGGTCCAAGACGTGTAAATGGATGGCTAGAAGCTTTATTCTTCTCTGAATATTTGCAATTAACTCACATCATGAATCAGACCTAGGGAGAAATTTCTCTCTAACAGGTTCCAGCTCCATCCTTGTAGAAACCGAATATTTGAATTAATGACCTGATGGATCTACCCACACGGCCAAACGATGCTCGACCTTATCAGATGAATCATCAGATAAGTAGAATTTATACATTATTGATTATCAAATCGTAGTTTCGGCATGAATATGTTGTGTTTGCCTTTGCATTTCACTTCAACTTTTAATACTACCTGCTATCTGTATTCATCCTCTTTGGCGGTTTCGGGGAAAACTGTCTGTTATTACGATGCACAATACGAGTACTATGAAATCTCTATTCAGATGATGGAAGCCTTTCTGGGAAGCCATGGTGATTACTAACCACAGGAAAATCCCAGAACCTGGCCCAGGTCAGAAAATCAAGGGGGTTATTGGTTCTAATGTAGCGCCGAATCACCTGGGCATAGGTGTCAATCACCGGCTGTGAGTAATCCGGTTCGATTTCGCCTTCATCGTATCCGGTAGCACGGCCGAGTAATCCGCAAAAACAAAAGACAAATACGCACGATGCTTGGTTTGGTGCATTGGGAAGGGCCAGAACCCGAGACTAGCTTGAGTAAGGTATAAGAAGAATCTCTTTTTATCCGGGACCATTTAGCTTTGAAACCAATAGACAGTCTCGGATACAAGCAACTTGCGGAATTTCAATTGAATAACAACGATTCTACCCTTGATAGACGTGGCGAATGGCAGGTGACAATCGGAGTTTTTGCTACGGGGTTAGTTGAACGCCCTTACCACGAGACCCTTCGTACTTAACTGGAGGCTTTCAAAAAATGGTGGTAAACACTCAGTGGTGCCACTAGACAGGGATCTGAAGAGTTTAGAGTATTATGACTATTCTATGGAAATTTTCGCAACTCATGGTTACTAAAGTTTAGCAAATCTGTCTATTTGATATCAGCCCTTATCTCTCTCGTAATTACAAAGCTTCTAAGTCCGGGGAGATGGTCGATGCCAGACAAGGCCATCCAATTCATTCCAGAATCAATCAGCGCCACTTAACTGTACTCAAGTATCCTGAAGATTGAGAATTGTTATTGAAATGGATTTTAACACCTCTCTCTACTTATAACTCCGTTTTTAAGCTGGAATTTGGGAAGCGCATTGATGTCTGTAGGGTAAGTAGTCATTGGAATAGTGTGGCGTTACCGTTCTCAGCCTCACGTGGCTACACCCACATTTAGACCCTCCCCTGAACGAATGTGTCGACACGCGGCGGTTGTAATCCGGCGGCCCCGGAGGCGCGTGCGAGGCCCTAGATATTAGTTCTAGCCGGATATGACGGTGCTTACAGGTACTTCATGCGCGACGTGCCACGCAGCCCCTGTGTGGCCAGAAACAGACGGGAGCGAAGGCAGCAGACTCCGTGGAGAAGCAACCAGACCCAATAACGCAGCCAGCAAGCAAATATGGTGAGATGTAAATAAATCATGTGTCATTGCGTGGGCCAACGAACAAACATCCCTACAAGCCGACCAGGTGGAGTCTGCCCCAGCCAATAGACCCAACTAGGCCTCGTATTCCAACGCAGAAAATTCCAACGCCTCGTATCCAAGGTGCAGATCACATCGGGCTCGCCTCAAGCCGCCGATGACTTACCACCGCCTCTCATAGCACTGCCATCTCTCCATCCTTCCCTCTTTCTCGACTCTTCATCAACCGATTCTCCTCGGGGAGTTTCCTCCATTCCCCTCCCAAGTGTGCTTGCTCTATGTCAAATTGCGCCCCAGCACAAGTGCGATCTTCTTCCCCAGTTATTCTCAGAGTATCCACTACCTCCCGCTCGATTACGTCGCTGCCGGCAAATTCCCCTTTGTCCCGGATCTACAGGAAGGCCGTTTGTGATCCTGTGAATGCCCCCCAGCCTACTTACCATTCACCATGTCGGCTTTGCAGACAGAGCCTCCCTCCATGGGCAGCCCGACCATCTCTAGCTATCGCGGTGTGACCGCTTCAAGACAGCAGCAATTTGCGTCTCCCAGTCCGAGGCACTCAAACCCGCCATGGCTGAGCGCTCTGTCATCCCCTTCGCCAAAATTCACTGCCGCATTTCGACCAGGGTCTCCGTCAAGGCTTGATATCTCATCCTCTCAGCCAAGCGTTCAGTCCCGAACACGTCCGCCCACAGACCGTACTCGAACCCAAAGTGCCATCTTCCCCTCTGCTTCGGAGAATCTCATGAGTAATGGGACAAGACAGAGTTTGTCGACCACAATAGGAAGCAGGCCCCAGCGTCAGGCTCAGGGCCGGCCTGTCAGTTTAAACGCCGCCTTGCCGCTAGCAATGGAACCATCAAGGATGAGCAAAAGGCCGCGAGAGGAACAGACACCAAGCCAAATACCACAGATCGTGGTCCAGACGACAGAGCAGGGCCACCACCAGAAAGTGTCGAGAACAGTCCCACAGCGAGCTCAAAGCCCGGAACGGCCACATCAGCAACTGCCCCCAAAACAAGTTCCACAGCGTGTTGGTACGCCAAAGCGGCCTCAGCAACTCCCGGCGACGCAAAACCCGCAACGCTCTCAACATCATCCCCCATCTGAGCAAACAGTACAAAAAGCTCAACCTGTAAAGCAACCCCCAAAAAGTCAAAGCCAACAACAAAAAGCCAAAACGCAAGGGCTATCTAATCAGCAGAAATTGTCTGGACAAACGACACAAAGGCCCCGGAATTCGGAACGAGCACAGCATCAACAATCACCCAGACATGTGGTCCAAAAAGACAAAAATCAGGATCGATCTCCATCAGAAACCCATCAACACCACGTACCAAGAGAGATTCCACAGCGAGCGATTCAACCTCCAGAACACCTTCCAGTGGTGAATGACCGCGAACAGCTCCAGCAATTACAAACCACTGTCATGGAGTTGGAGAGAGCCTTTCGGACTCCAGAACCAGCCCAATACCGACAATCGCCTACATACATGACCCAAAAGGATAAAGTCCAGGATCTATCTGCGCCAGAACCAAATCACCACCACGTGCCAAAACAGACTTCACAACGAGAAGCTCAAACCCCAGAACAGCCTCCGGTGATGAGTGACCACGAGCAGCTCCAGCAACTACAAATCACAGTCATGCAACTGGAGAGGGCCTTTCACAACTTTGTCAATGCTTCCTCACCAAGTCACTCTCACAAGGGTAGTTTTGACAGCGCAATTTCCAACCAGAGTAGCCTCTCTAGGCCCTCGGTAAACTGCCTTGTATTGTCATCTACAGTTATCTATGCTTGCTAACAGGATTTGCTACAGTCTGTCATCAGTCCGATATCGCCCAAGTCCCCCGACATGAAAGACACTTCCTTGCACAACCCCGCGAAGACCTACACCTCGTCTCCACTAGGAAGGCCCGCGACAACATCGAACGATTCCACCAATAATAGCCGAACGAATTCTATCACATGTGACAGTCCCACGACCGAAATGAGTCCCAAGCAACTGGAGGGGAAGGTCAAGGGTTCGAGGCTTCGAAAAGTGCTCTCAGCTGGCAGTATGGAGCTACTCGGGGGGCAACCTGATATAGCATCTGATGGCCATGCTGTTGAATCCACAGGCCAGGGGGCTACTCATGAAGCGCGGGATGAAGAGAGACCTCGAACGCACAACATTTCGGGTCATGGAGTCTACGGTCGTAAGATCTTCAGCAAATCAGTGGATCACCTTGCAGCAGCATCAGCTATGGAAACACCGGCGTCGGCATCCTCTATGCTCCGCAAGGTGGGCAAAGGCATGAAGAGAAAGTCTCGAACTCTCTCTGAACTTTTCCGCCCCAAGTCTGCGGTGGCCACTGGCCCCCCTAACACCGCTTTTGAGGCCGAGTCGCCGCTTACCAATGAGCCACTAAAGTCTACTGTGGCCACTGGCTTCCCTGATAATACCGCTTTTGAGGCTGAGCTGCCGCTTACCAAGGAGCCACTTAAGTCTCCAGTGCCCGAGACAACGCCCTCTCTGACTTGGAGCATGGACATGGCGAAACCCAATTTTAGCCGTGAAGATCTTTATGAAGCCCTGGACACACCAGAGCTTGGTACACCAGAGTCTCCATCATTCAACATGTACAGGAATTATGCACCTGTTCAAACACAGGATACTGGGACAATCCAAAAGCCTGGAATGGCTCCCAGGAGTATTCTCAAGAGTATGTTGAAACTTCAGCCCATTTCTCGTTTTAGAAGAAACAGCTAACCATTGATAGGACAATCTCAAACCAGTGCCTATCCTGTTGAGTTCTCAACCACACCAACTCAAATTTTTCCCGAAATTACTTCCTCTCCGCCCTTAACAGTTCCCAACACTCCACAAACAGAAACCCAGTATGACCGCTGGGTTAACCCTTTCGAAACGACCGACCTTGAAACCTTAATGGATGCACTTTCAAACGTTTATGACTATGACGAGCCAGTTGAATCGGTCCAGGAAGTTGATAAATACCAACCTCCGTTTGCTCCACGCCCTATCTCCTATTATCTTTAGAATTCAGAGAAATTAGCACGAGAACTAGATCTCTCTTTGCACTACGGCGCGTTTTGGATACCGCTACAAGTTTAATTTTTAATGTCAAACGCTTAATCTTCCGACATTATTATACTTTTAATCCACGGGATTTTTAGCCTAGCCCATAGTCTCGGTCCATTAAGGTATTAACCGACCAATTAGGTCGGAATATATATATGCAAACCAGAACCAGACCGATCTAGCCATATACAACATATAGAAGAGTTGGTAGAGACACAGGATGACTTAAGTGCCACCGACCTGGGGCCGTTACCTTAAATACTATTGATAATATATGTATACGATTCTGTACATTGATATCTTAGACCTATCTTGTATTAAATTCATTCACTGAGCAACACAGTAAAGTTCACAGCGCATCTCCTCAACTCAATCCCTTTTCTCCATATAAGGGAGGCATGCCTTATAAATCTCCTTGAAACCAGGGAATTTAATGTTCCTCTGAAACACAGCCTCGTCTACCATCCTGGCTGACTGGAGACTTCCCGCGATAAAGAAGTCGGTATAACTTGGCTGAGTACCTAGTATGAACGGTCCTTCAGCCTTGTTCGTCAGCATCAATTCACCGACGGCACGCATATCGTCTGCGATGGCATGCCAGGCCTGTTCCTCCTTTTCGGAGTCTGCGCATAGGTCCTCAAGCGGGCGTCCAATGAAGGCCTCGCGCGTGCGGCGAAAATACTCCTTCGACCGCGGAGATAGGATGTTTATCTCACGCGGCATCACTGAGGTGGCAAATGCGGGAGCAATGGTACTGCGTGCTTTGGTTTCAATCTCGCGGCCCAGTTCAGACGTCAGTGGCACAGGCGGGCTTGGGTAGGTTGACTCGAGGAACTTGGAAATGGCTGCCGAGTCCATGGTGTATGTATTGGTAGAAACATGGTAGATGGCTGGCACAGTGTATTTATGTTTAGATCCCGAAGCCGAGTCGTGGCAGGCGATACCGCTATGAAGAATTAAATCGTTAGAGAACTCTTTGAATGTCCGAGAGTCAAACGTATGAAGAGCTAAAAAAGAAAAGGAGAGTAAAAGATGTAAATAACTCACAGCTCTTTGAGAGTGGGCTCAATGTCTGGGAATTCAAGGAAGACCGTGCGATAAGGGATGCGTTTATAGTTGAGCATGAGGCGGATGCGCCAGACGACTGGAGAAAAACACACATTCTTGGTGCAGGCCAGGTCGTATAAGACAATCTCAGGCTCAGTGTTTTCTGTCATCTTGTGCCGATTGAACAGATTCTTAACTATCAATACAAGAGGAAAATAATATCCTTCTCAACTACGAGGAACTAGCTTTTCTTTAAATGCTGTACTAAAACCTGGCCGATACTATTATTTTCATTCCTATGTGTATGTTTGCAATAAGGCAATAAGGCGATCTAGGAGTCTAAAGTAAGGCGGCCAGCTGCCTAACTTTAGACTCGGATTTAGGAGTTAGTATTTCTAGCAAACTGCTGCCTAAGAATCACATGTAATAATAGCTACGATGCTTATGACCTAAGCCTAGGTATCCTCGACAAGGTTTTAGTATCTTAGTACAGCCCAGAAAAGTCGCCCCCAAACGTAACCTTGTCGAAGCCGATATCAAACATCATCTGTAATCCAGACTCGAGATCTGCTGTTGCTGTATCTAGGCTCTGCTCATAGAGTTCTCAGTATAGACACCTTAACAATCTGTAGAAGAGAAACGTACCATTTCTGAAATGGCCTGGCCATCCGCTATGCTTAATGTAGTTGGGCCATTGAGTAAGTCCACGGCACTAAGAGAGGCCGGAGGGGCGATCGACTGAGAAGGGCCGCGACGCATTGGAGGTGCGTCTGCCAACCTCCATATCTCGTTTGCGTACTGCTGCGCGCCGGTGCCGTTCCCCAATGCATTGTCGAGAACGCGTTCGTCGTTTGGCGGGTGAGTTGCCACGTACAAGGCGTTCTTGGCCATTGATTGCGAGTCCTGGCCAGAATGGAGTTGAATCAGTCTCGTACTGGGGAACCTAGCGTGTGTTTACTCACCTCCAGAAGCCGCTGCCGTTGGGGACTGTTCGGCATTGTTAGGCGCATGTGCGCCTTCATGGCATTTTCAATTATGGGCTCCAGCTGAGACCGATCATCAAATAAGAGGAACGAGACAACAAGAACGGCAATGGCACAGAAGATCGAGTGCGAGGTGCCCTATACCACGTCAACGGTTGATCTCTGATGTTTATGATACGACAACTTACCCAGAAGACGGGGTTATACGTCTCGTCGCTTGAAAACTCGGCAGCAAGCTCAGCCATCGCGACGGCGGCACTGCGGCACTTGTGGCTGTACTCGCTCAGCTGCGGCTGCTCGGATGAAGGCGTGCCAATCGACCGGTTGGTCAAATCGTCGAGTAGAAACGACCGATACAGGAGCATCTTGGTGAAGCAGTAGGCCGAGCGGATCGTTCTTTGTTGCCTGCTCCGGTTTTGCTGAGCATAGGCTCTTGCCAATACATCGCCACGCTTGAAGAAAATAAGAAGGAGAGTGTGGTTGACTCACCTCTTGAAGAGCCAGGACACGCTATAGAAAACGCCCTTGTCGCTCATTTGGTCCGAGTGGAAGAAGCTCGGCGTCTTCTCAAGCCAAGCTTCGAGCTCGCTCTCGAAAGATATGACGCATGACTCCTTTTCGGCTGCGAGCAGGGGTCGGGCACCGTACAGGGTTGACATGATGCGGCTGGCGATTTCCAAGATGCTGTAGATGCATAAGCGAAGGCTCCATGTATATAGCCAGGTAAAGAAACATGAAGGCGAAGAGGGAGATGAGGGGGAAATACTTAATGTGGCCAACTGTACCTGGCACGAGCGTTCTCTCTTCAGGCCCCAGCTCCGAGTCGAGGCTGAGAGGCGGCTCCTCGGGCAAGGGAATGGAAATATCGTGGGCGCTGATGCCAAACGGCCGGCCGAGGAACATGGCCAAGTACCGGTCGGCCATGAAGATGGACCAAAAGAGCCCTCGCCATTCAAATTGGTCGAGGGGCGCCTGTTCGATGCGCCGCCTGCCCAGCCCAATGATTTGCGAGAGCCGGATTGTCTTACCTAGAGCGAGCCAGGCCGAGTCATACTTATGGCAAGCAATCAGGGCTTGGCACTATACAACGTCTGATGTTAGGCCCGGTCTCCTGCATGCAACAGCTGGTGGAATTGTGAGAAGGGGAGAGAGGTGGCCATACGTATGCGAATCGGGCTTGTAGGAGCACCATGGTTGGCGGCAGCTTGGTCGACGCTTTACGCAGCTTCTTGGCCGCCGTACGGAGCATCAAGTTCGCACGATCGCGGCAGACGACGAGATCGTGGCCCTTCCACGACGGCATCCAGACGCATCTAGGACATGTCAATGGTTAGCAGGATGCCTGGCCTCAGGTCAGCTTACCCCTCCGCCCTTAAACCACTTACCCGCACGACACGACGGAGAGGAACAGGCCTAGCGTAGCGTCATCCTTCATAGCGGCGGCCGTATTGGTGTAGATTTGCCCAACCAGCCGGTCCATCTTGGCACGGGGCAGGTAGCGGTAGGTTGCGTTGAGGTGGCTGAAGAAGCAGTCAACATACTCGGACGCCTGGTGCCGCTCGGGAAGCAGGAGGACCGAGTCGTCAGGTGCGTCGTCGTCGAGGCTCTCCTGCTCCCGCGTCACTTCACGCGGGTGCACCTTGCCGACAAGACTCAGATGAGTCGAGACGCGCCGCAGGAAGGCGTGCGTACTGGAGTCGCCGGGGTCCTCGTCGATGTTGTCGGTGCCAGGTAGCGAGCTCTCGGGCCCTCCTGTCATGCCTGCGATCATCGGCTGGCACTCAGACGCCTGGCTGCATGTCTGGGCCAGCTGCTGCTGCTGGATGATGCTACTGGTGTCATCTGAACGGCCATTGCTGGAGCCTGCCACATGCTGGGCGGCCCGCTCTCGAAGGAGTTTGTTGAAGGCGCGTCTCTGCGCTCTGCCATCGGTGCTAGTGTAAGTGCACTCTATAACGAAAGAGGCAGGGTTTTGTTAGCAGATATGGATGTGTCTCGGTCAGGGACTGGGGGTGTCAATGAAGATGGAGGATGAGCTCAGGGAGGCACGTCTCATACCAAAAGTGGCCGTAGTGCAGCGCGAGCACGGCTGCAGCCCATCTTATAGTCAGCCGTTTGTTCTTCCCGGTTCCGTGGTATGGGAATGGATAGATGGGTACCTGTTTGCCGTCGCACTTGGCCTTTTTCCTCTTGCACTCGTCACATGCCTGCGTCGTGTGCTTTCTGCGGAAGGCGTTGGAAGACATTGGTGACGTGAGCGCCGTCCGGCGTCGTGGAGACTTGGCTGTATATTGTAACCATGCAACATTATCCGCAGGAGGCAACGGTAGAGTGGCTCGTCGAAATGATGAAGGATGGGGGAGGGTCATCAGTCGCGTGGATTTCCGGGGTGGACACTCTCGTTGGTAATGGCAGTTAGCAATTGGTTCAATTATCAATGTCAACTCCATTCACTCGTCCCACCTGCCTAGACTCTATATAGTAGTAGTATGCTGGGAATGTTGGTATGGTAGTTGGGTAGCTCTATGGGGTTAACCCCATGTTTGTACATGCTGGTCACTTATATGCGGAGAAGGACTACACCACATGTGCATTGATTTCATACATTACGCTCACTCGCACTAGTTGGTGTGGTACTCATTCTTAGAGTTTGAAGTACCCAAGTGGCTACGCATTTTAAATACCTACAGATACCTTACTATATCGTGCCTGGATGGAGGCTACTATCGATTTATGAACCATGGATCTCTCAGCCTATCCCCCAATAATAAGCCTAGGTACTACCTAGATACCTACTGGAAACGTATGGATGCTGAGGAACGGTAGATACTGCATTGTGTCTTATTCCAGGATCTACGAAACCGCAAAGCTATTGTTAAGCGCCTTGACAAGCAGGTAGAGCAGCTTGAGCGACGGCGTCGGCACCTTGTGCTGCTCGCCCAGCTGGACCACGTTCCCAATGATGGCATCAACCTCCATCGGCCGGCCTGCCACAGCGTCGAAGTACATACTCATCTTCTGTCCCACAGGCTTGCGGGCCACGTTCCTCGCTAGCTGCCGCTCTACCAGCTCGTCGTCGATGCCCGCCACGCCGCACGCCCTGGCAATGGCAGCCGTTTCGCGCATCATGACCCGCGCCGCCTCCTCGGCCCCGTCGTCTGACATGAGGAACGCACCGTCGCCCAGCCGCGTCAGTGCCGACAGCGGATTCCACACCGAGTTGATGAGCGCCTTGGACCACCGCTCCGTCTGTACGTCGTCGTGCACCGTCACCGACGCGCCACCGCTCGCCAGGGCGTCCCCAAGCTCCCGCGCCGGCGTAGAGGGCGCCGAGGACGGATAGCTCCCTAGGTGCAGCTGCTCGACGTTGTTATGCTCGACGACGGCCTTGGCCACCTCGGTGGCCTTGACGTACACGACGACGCTGATGATGGGGTTGGTCGGATACGCCCGCGCGTAGCAGTCCTCGACGGCGATGCCGTTTTGGAAGAGGGCGATGCGCGTGCTGCCCATGGCCACGGCGGGGGCGAGCATCGCCGCCATCTGCGAGGGGTCGGCGCTGCTTTTGGTGCACACGAGGATGTAGTCGAACGCCCTGCCATGCTTCTCGGCCGCCTCACCCACGCTCCCGACGACGACGGGCTTGCAAGTTAGGCCCTGGCCCCATGCCTCAGAATCGATCCTGAAGCCATTCTCAGATGCGGCTGCGTGGTTGGATCGGCACACGGCGTAGATATTGGACTGCTTGAGGTGGTGGGAGAGAATGTACGTGTAGAGGATGCCGACGGCACCGCAGCCAACCACGAGGCAGCTCTGATCGCCCATTTGATGGCAGTGCTTGAGTGCTGGAGGCTGGAGGTCGTGTTAGTGGTGGTGGTAATAATAGTGGACGGACCAGGGCTTGTTATCAGCCAATAAATCCACGTCTACAAAGTCATGCGACCCACGCCTCATTTCGATGGGGATTTGGAGTTACGGAAATATGTTCCGACCAATGAACCATCTCCTTTCATGCCAGGATCCTTCCTGTTAGGCTCATTTGGTGTTTAGCTGCAAAACCTGTAGGTACACGTAGTTCTGCCAATGTGGAGAATTCAGGAATTGAGGTTTGGGTTAAATTCCCGATGATCAGCCCTACCTACCCTAGAACTAAGGTACCAGGAATACCAACACCATATTACTTTGGAGCAACTAAATTATGCAGGGAAGAAACTAATTGTAGTTGAGTGCAATGAATTGAGGATTTGTACCCATGGGATTGAGTCTATCGGGAGGGGTAAATTTACGGAGTTACTTCAGCTTAGGTCGAGATGTCTGATGCGTGGTCAAGATTGCATGGACTTATCAAATAAAACATGTTGACACTCCAGATAAATATATGTTTTAGGTACTTGCACGTACGTAATAGATAGAATATAATATCGATCGTGGTCTGCTTCTGTCTGGTGTACCGTGCTGCGAAAGTTTTAACACCGAACTATATATCATTCCTTATAATGGATGCTGGTGTTTTCAAAAAATATAACAGGAAAAGTAGATGTGAGCTAATGTTCTATTTCTATCATGCAATTCTCGTCTAAGCTAGTGTTGCAAGCGAACCACCCTGACAAAGCGACCCTAAATCCACTGTAGTAAATACTGAATGCCCGTCCCCCTCCCCAACGTCTACCCAATGTTATCGTCTCTATAGTCGGGCATTTGCCCGATGCACCAAAGTAGCATTGGCAATGTCCGCTACGGTCGTCACGCCGGCGAGAGCCATAGTCCTGCTCAGCTCCCTCTCAAGGATGTGAACGACCGCCTCGACGCCCTCCTGGCCCTTGTATCCCAGCCCCCACAGCACGGGGCGGCCGACGAGGACGAGGTCGGCGCCCAACGCGATGGCTTTGAAGACGTGGCTGCCTTGCCTCACGCCGCCGTCAAAGATGACGGGGATCCGGCCCGCGACGGCCTCGGCAACGGCAGGCAGCACCTCAAGTGTCGACGGGATATCGTCGAGCTGCCTGCCCCCGTGGTTGGAGACGACGATGGCGTCGGCGCCCTTCTCGACGGCCAGTCGCGCGTCTTCGGGCGCCATAACGCCCTTGAGGATTACCTTCATGCTCGTCAGGCTCTTGAGGCGCGCTACCACATGCCAGTCGAGCGAGGGGTCGTGGAGCGTCCCTCGCGCGTCGCTCGTGATCTTACGCGCCTGTGCCGCCGTACGCGCGTCCATGAGCTGTCGGTTGAGCGAAGGCTTGCCCCTGTTGTCCGCTGGGTAATTGGCTAGCTTGAGGTGCCGCGGCAGGACGACAGGCGATTTACGCTCGCCCAGGCGGTTGCCGAGCACCGGCGTGTCGACTGTGAGAACCAGCGCCTTGTATCCGGCAGCTGCAAAGACAAGGTCAGCCGTCTCCTCTTTACTTCATCTTGTTTTCATGATATGTTCACATGTATAGATAGAGACATAGAGGCGAATAGAGGGGGGGGTATATCCGCTTACCTTCTGCCCGTGCTATGAGCTGGGTGTTCCACTCCCAATCCGCGGTGAGGTAGATCTGGAACCAAAAGTTGGGCTCGACACCGCCGTCAGCCGCGGCCTTGGCGGCCTCCATGACATCCTCGAGGGATACAGTCGACTGGGACGACAGAGTGAGGCTGAGCCCAGCCTTGACGGCCGCCCTGGCCGTGTCAATCTCGCCCTCGCCCCCGGCTAGTCTCTGCATAGCGCTGGGGGCAAAGGCAATGGGCAGCGCGCTCGTCCGCCCAAATATCTCGGTTTCCGTGCTGACCTCTTTGACGTCCCTCAGCACCCGCGGCACGATATTTACACTGTGCCGAATGTGAGCAAAGCCGGTCTGTTCTGCTTTATTCTGTTCATTGTCCTACCTTGCGAATGCATCTCTGTTCCTGCGCACTGCGTGTTGGCCGTCGGACCCCCCTGCGTAGTAGTTGTAGACGTGAGATGGCAACCGAGTCCGGGCGACAGCCTCAACTTCTGCGACCGTTAGAGGATCGTCGCTGTTAGTTGTCGGGGCATGGTGCGTTTGGTCAGCCATTGTTTAGTGTGGTAGGGAAGTGTGAACATGCAAGAGTCACCTTGGAACAAGGCATCGCTTTTGCGTCTCCCAAACAATGTCCTGCGCCGTTATATCAGACAGTCACCATGTCGCTGTCGCCCCACGTCTATGGTACAATGGCCGGCTGCTTGCCCTCGTCGTTGATTAGGGACGGAGCGGAAATCCAGCTCTAACCTATTTCCGTGCCCGGACACTACGGCCTCCAGCCTCCAGCCTCCGGAATCGGGAAATCCTCGAGCCAAAGCTAATGTGCGTGGTGCCCGAAAGGACTGAATCCGGATTTACGGCCCAAGTCTGACTGCCTGCACAGCTGTTGATGTCTACAACCCGTAAACAGGACGCACCCATGTGACATCAAAGGGTAGATCGAGATAGTAGCAGGATCTACTATCCCACCACACCTAATCAACAACATCGGAGAATCACAAGACTATGATTTCCTCTATTCTAAGCACTTTGCCCATCGTATTTCCTACGGATAGTGGAATACTACCGAATATAGAGTTAGATTCGTAAGATAATATAGCTAGTAAAGCTTAAATTGGACGTCCTCTATGCTTTCTCCTGAAAGAAGGCTAATTACGTACGTTTATTGAGTCTTGAAATACTCACCTTGTCTTGTATAAGTCTTTCTCCTCTAGCCTTCTATGAATGCACGTGGATAGCTTATCTTAATGAGTACCTGAACTAAGTCTTACAGTTATTCTTTCTCATAAGTACCAGAGATCAGATAATTCAACAGCTTTCATTGAATAGAATTCATCTATTGTTGAGGCAAAAAAGCCCAGAACCAATTCGTAAAAAAAAAAGAGCGCAACTAGGTAGACCTGTTCTTCCATCCACTTTTTAAGCAAGGAAGTTTCCATTCGTCTTAGCGACAATCTCGTCGTAGTAAGGCTGGAAGGCCAGCCAGCCCTTGTCGGGACCACCTACGTTCTTGCGCGAGTACTCGGCCTCCTTCTCGTCAATCAAGATCTTCTTGTGGCCGCCGGCAGCAGCAGCGTCAGCGAGGAGTTGTACGTGGCAGCTCTTGTCGAGACTAATGAACCAAAAGGCTGCCTCATCAATGGTCTGGCCAACAGTCAAGAGACCATGGTTGAGCAGAATGATTGCCTTGCTGCTGCCCAGGGACTCGGCAATACGCAGGCCCTCCTCGGCATCAAGGACGACGCCGCCATAGTTCTGGTAGATAGAGTGATCCTTGTAGAATCGGAGCGAGTCCTGGGTAAGCATCTCCAGGGGGCGGCCAAAGGCGGCAAAGGCCTTGCCATGGATGGAGTGGGCGTGACAGGCGGCATGGATCTCTGGACGAGCCTTGTGGATCGCAGAATGTATGGTGAAGGCAGCAGTGTTAATGGGCTCATCGCCAATCACGACGTAGCCGTTTTCGTCGACAAGAACGAGATCGGAGACCTTGATCAGGGAAAAGTGCATAGATAGAGGGTTAAGCCCTGAAGAGGTTTGTTAGTTTATGGTTCCCAGGTGCCATTACAAGGCGGTTACGGTATACTCACAGAAGTGGTCAGTCAAGATGGGGTCACGGACGGAAATGTGACCAGCAATGCCCTCATCGAAGCCACGATCGGCAAAGATGCGGAAGGCGGCGGCGAGATGTTGCTTCCTGTAGAGGCGCTCCTCCTCGAGGCTATCGAACTTGGGATAGGTGCGGATTTTGAGCAGACGGCCGTCTTTGGTTTTGCCCAGAGACTGAACCTGCTCAGCCTCAGGACGGTCGGCAACCTGAGACGAGTTGGGGCCGGACGGCACCTGGGGAGCGGCCTTGACCTTGAGGGAATGGGTAATTTCCTCGATGGTCTGAGAAACAGCTGAAGGGGCCATGGTGCATTGGGCGTGATATCAATGTGGTTGATTAACTTGATGTTCAAAATTGAGGCAACTCTCTGTGAGATGTTGTTTGGGTGTGATGTGATGGTGGAGCTTATTTTGAATGCAAGTTCGAGCAACCAGGGAAACTTCACTTTCATAAATATGTTGGGTTATGCCCTTGTATTGCCATGTACACTGACTGCTTGTTGATCGTCCTTGATAGGCGGCCTCAAATCCGGGGTATGCAGATCTAGAGCGAGACCGGAACTAGAAAGAGATGACGTCTCCCGGAACTGTGGAAGTACCGGAACTATGCGCAGAGCTCCGGTGACCTTGGCTGGCGTGACGTCTTTGTTGCTTTCGAACCAGGGACCTTGCATACTGAACCAATGGAATATTGCATGGCCAATTTCTAGACGTACAGGTTACTGAAGTTTATCTGTTCTACTGCCTTGTGACGGAAATATGCACATGAGCTTGGAGTTGAGTGAAAGAGTCATTCTTCTTGCAAGCATTAACAATCGCGATCGGAAAAATTGATGCTCATCGTCGCAACCTTAGCTGCGGTTCTATTTCACAGTCTTTGACACGTCAACAGACTGAGACTTTCTTGCCACGCAGAAGATTTTGTCGCTAGGGGGGGGCCTTTTGAAATATGAAGCCGGATTGACTAAAACTTATCTTTTGACCGTTGACCGTAACAAACATGCCTACTTGATAGTGTCGTAGGATGAGGTAGAGGCAGAAAGGTTACTTAAATTTAAGATACATAGGAGCTATTGTTTGACGCTACTGGTGAAACAGTAATGGTATAGACATAATTTTGTCTTGTTAATATTGATAGAGGCGCGATCCGGGAATAGAAAATATTCAAATTTTATCAATTTAAAACCTACACCCTTCCTAACTGAAGTTGGATGAGAACATTGTTGAAATATTTGTCTCATCCAACTAGATTCTAGTCTCCTGTTTGGTATTCCAAATAAAAAACAATAACCCTTGCCTCCATCACCTCACGATCAGACAACACGACTAGCTTAGAGGTTATAGCGGAACAAGGGGGAACGGTCGCCCATCAGCGCAAGCTCCCCCTCGTTGTACCTAGAGCGGACTTCCGTCTCTGAAACCTTAGCTCGCCGCTTGTTGGTCCTCCAGAGGCCCCATTCAAGGATCAAAGCGGAGATGATACCGAGAGCAGCGAAGCCAAAGGACAGACCATAACCGGTAGGGTACTTGGGACTCTCCTTGTCGAGGTACATGTAGGAACCAATGACACCACCGATATTTCCAATTGCAATCATGTACGCGGCTCCCTGCGCCTTCTTGGTTGGCCCGGCCAGGTTGACAATCGTCCACGAGTTGGCTGTGGGCACGATGGGGTATAGCCCTAGGCAAGCAAGGCAGATGGCAAAGTAGCACAGGGGGATGTTGTCGGCCAGATTGTTTGCTTTGGTGAAGAGAATGCTGTATGCAACGACAACCACTGTCAGAGGTCCACAGACAAAGGGCATGCGCCACTTGATCTTATCAGCATACGCCCCGGACACCAGGGCAGAGATTGCGCCCACGGTATAAGGAGGGATGGTAAGCAGTTGGGCGGCGGAAGACGTGTAGCCCATGGACTTGATGAGCTGGGGCATGGAGAATTTGAGACCATAGTTAGGAGCAGCATTGGCCCAGTAGATAAAGATGAGGGGGTATAGGTGCCAGTCGCAGATGACGCTCCTAAGTATGTTCCACTTGCGTTGCTTCTCTTGTTCGCGGATGGCCTGGGTGACGCCATGCTGAGCAGTCTGGCGCAGCTGGAGGTAGCGAATCTCATCGGCATCAAGCCAGCGGCCAGACTGGACAGGAGAGTCCAGAAGGAAGCTGAAACATAAGATACCAGCGATAACAGAAGCTATACCCTCGATGATGAAGATCCAACGCCAGCCAGCCACGCCGGCAAGACCGTCCATCTTGGCAATGGCAAAGGCCAGCAGACCGGAGAAGGCTCCGGAGAGGGCACTGGAGGTATAAAAGAGGGCAACACGGAATTGAGTCTCAGCGGGGAGATACCACTGGGAAATGATGAAAATAGCACCGGGAAAGAAACCAGCTTCAGCTACACCAAGCGCAACTCGAGCGGCCACCAAGCCGCCGAAATTATGCACAAGACCGGTCAGAGTCATGACAAGTCCCCAAGAGCAGGTGATAGCTCCAATGTACCAAGAAGGACGCTTGAAATGTGCGAGAACCATGTTGCTAGGAAGTTCTTTGCAAAGTTAATCATTTATGTATAGCCTCGTTAGAGTTGTTCTGATACGTACCAAAGATAATGTATGTGATGAAGAAGGTGCTCACAGCAATATTGTACTGAACAGCGTCCATCCCCAGATCATCCAGCATGCCCTCAATTTTGGCGTTGGCAATGTTGGCACGATCAAGATAGCCCAAAAGGTAGAGCACAGAGAGAAACGGAATTAAGCGCCAGTCAATCTGCCGGTCACGTCTTAGCTCGAAGTAAACCTGGGCAAGGGAAACAGGAGTTCAACTTTACCTTGCGCAGAACCGCCTTTCTTCTCTCCTCGGAGAAGTTTTTGAGGAATTCAGACTCCTCCTCGGTCAAACCCACAGCGACATAGGCGGCGCTTTCGACATGCTGCTCCAAGCTCTCAATCTTCTCAGGCTCAAGAACAGGGTTGTCTTTGGGGACATTAACACGGTGACTAAGAGCCATGGCGAATTCGACACCGGACCTTGTTTTTCAAATTTGTCAGGCGGATGATATGGTTGGGTATTTTGGACTAGTTGCGAGGTTGGCTGCCAATAAGTACATTTCGTTCAAACATGGGCGCATCGCTCAAGTTGAATGTCTTTTCCAAGACTGCAGAGCTAGTGGTCAGAACATTGAAACTACCTCAATCCCTGATCCCCACATCCCCCGCATCCCCAGATACTGCCTCGCCCCTGGGTTTTCCCGCAATCTCCGGATATCTGGAGAAGAGGCACGGAACTTCTATCTTGAAAATTCCGGGTTGCTGATCGGCTAAGCATCTTTGAACATCCCTGCGCTGGTATGCGGTCACTTCCCCCTATATCTCCTACTAAACTAAGTTTGCCGGTGCTTGTTTAGGCAGTAGGTCATTATACTTGTCAGTTGTCTCCTTGTAGCCGCTAAAAGGGCGTTTGACAAGGGCCAACGTTTCATATGAATAGCTAGGCCAGCGTGTTTAACAGCCTTATATGGAGGCCGGGCGGTTCTTTTCGACCGAGTCTATCTTATAAATGACATCTGTAGTAAGACAGCCGCGGAAAAGGGGGTTATAGCTGGAGTGCAGGAAGATAGAAGCTTGATAGGAGAACCGAGGAGAAAAAGCTTAATCACTATAGAATGAAAGTAACTAGATTAGAGTATAGTAAACAGTTAAGAATGTAAATTTGTACTTGGCAGAAAAGGAAATATAAAGAATCTATAGATCCTATTTTGAAGAGGTAGAAGGAGAAGAAATTACGTAGCTAGCCTTAATACAAGTTGTTAGAACCACCCTTCAGCGGAATGACTGACACAGCCTAAGCATAGTAGTACCGCTGTTCATACACCTAGAGCTTTGGATGATGACCCCGAATCTCATTTACCAGCTCAACGACCCTCTCAGCTGTACCATAGCTAGCCTGATATCCCCAGCCTCCATGCCCGTAGTGGTGTACCACCCAAACACCATCGATCTTCTCTTTTTCAATCCGAACACCTCCATGCCGGAACGGCCTGAAACCTACCGCATGCCTAGCTATGTCTAAGCCTCGAACGCCATTTCCCTTGGACAACTCAGGTACCAGTTCCACAATCCGAGACATTATCCTCACAGACTGGTTGGGATCAGGTTCTGGATTCCAATTGCCAGGTTCGTATGACCCGCCCACAATTGTTCCACCACCGTCTGCTCTGGTCATCATATAGCACAATTCTGAATTTCCATCATCTGTTCCCGAAATGGACATCATGTGGTTGATTTCATTCCTCAGAACAACAACCTGTCCTCTTGCGGGAATAACATTCTGGTCCATTACTCCCCCAAGCTTGCAAGAGCGCAAGCCAGTTGAATTGACGATAATGTCTGCCTTGGCACCAGAATGACTTAAAGCCGCAGCTTCCATTATATGATCAATGACGCCACGTTTAATCACCACTCCGTTTGATTTGCATTGGCCAATAAGCCACGGCAAGTATATCATGGGGTTGATCTGGACCGACGTAAAGGTGCAACCGGATACAGCACCTTTGGGAAGTTCTCCTATATTCAACTCACGGAAGTTGTCGACCATAGACTGATACCAAGGATTCGGAAGGAAGAGCCCATCACTTCGGAAGGTCCCTGCCTTGATCTTGTCTATTTCGCTTTGCCGCCTATAAATACAGACATCTGTGGGAGACTGAGAGTCAAAAATCATGTTTTTTCTACGTGAAAAGTGTTTTTGGAGAAGAAAGGTACCTTGGAAGTGAATTCCTGCCTCTGGGACTTCCCTGGCTAGTCTCTGCAGTTCGGGAAAGGTGCGCCGCTCGAACAAGCTGTTCTTTTCCGACGCCATACTACGTTTTCCTTGTCAGCACAAAACGAAATGTGATATTGAGGCAGGGGAACGTACGGGAGGACATTGGCACCTGCCCACGGAGAAGCGTACTCGGCATTGTAATCTCCAGGCATGTCCTTGGCGATAACTGTGATGATATTGCTCTTGCTCCTTGACAGTAGCAAGGCCGATGTCAAACCTGAGACACCAGCCCTAGTTTCATTGACATGGTCAGCCGTGATTTCTCATTAATGAATGGTGAAAGCATGATAAAAGCTGAGGTATGTACCCTACGACTACAATATGAGTAGGCATTTTCGCCAAATGAGGCACACGGCGAGTTGGACTGTTGCTTTGCTGAAAGGACTTTGCAAATATGGACACAGTAAATGTCTGAAGTCGAAGCTGCATTGGCTAGCCTTCTAGTATACTAAATAAAATGGACTGGGAGATAATGCATCGCGTTGCGTAATCGGAGCGGAGAAACGAGCGGAAATGGAATTAGATCAAAGACCGGAAATGTTTCGGAACATACAAACCCGGGGTGGTTTTACTTGAGCCTCTATCTTCTCGTTTTATACCCTTTCTATCCTTTTATAGTGCAGGATATTACAATAGGATCAAGTTGCTCTGAATATGTTGGGTTCACGATTACCCATTCCCCCCTTTTAGCGATTTCGTGTGTAATTTATCTCTCTACTATCCAATCTGTTGACACAAAATACGAAATCTTGTGTCCTCCAAAATGGAAGCTAGGCACCAAGCTGTTAGCACTAAGGAAGCCCCTATACCTAGGGCGCCATTGTCACAAGCAATCATTCACCCCAATGGCATGATTTTCTGCTCTGGAGCGCTTGGACAAGACCCAACAACCCACAGAATAGTAGAGGGCCCTATTGGCGATCGGACTGTAAGGAAAGCTCTGGATGTGACTCCTCCATCTCACCGCTTGCTAATAAGGTACAACAGAAACAGGCTTTGAAGAACCTCAGTGCCGTACTTGAGGCGGCCAACAGCAGCTTGGAGCACGTCATCAAGGTCAACATTTTCATGACTTCGATGTCTGATATTAGTGCGGTGAATCAAGTGTACGAAAGATTCTTTGTGTGGAATCCTCTGCCCGTAAGCTTGAATGTCTGCTAGTTTGACTTGAATCTACTGGCTTACAGTCCTTTAGGCTCGCACTTGTGTTGCTGTCAAAGAGTTACCCAACGCCACAGACATTGAAATAGAAGCAGTGGCCTACCCGTGAGACTTGATTCCTATGTATCAAGTATTTTACTTCTTTACTAATCAATTTAATAACAGGCGGGACTTTCCAGGTGCAACCAAACTGTAGGATCAGTGAAGTAACACGGAGTGATCAAAAGAGATTTATTAAAGAGTAAAATCTAAGTCTGTAAGATGCAGGATGTAGTCTAATAGTGGATTACAAAAGGTTGTCTATCCGGCGGAGGGTTTTGTATCTTGGTCTAAACTACATACAATTGCTGCTCCAACGTTTAAATACCACAGCTTCACCTAAAGCAATAGCCGTTTATCGACCTAACATGTTATTTTCTGTATCGCGCACTACAATATCGATCGATTTTGCTACTCGGATAATGTTGTGAGTGTTTACTTGCAAGATAGTTAGTCGAAGGGGTAATCCCAGATTGGTTAGAGACTACTTACGACCTGCAACTGAAGCACGACCACTTGAGAACATATGGATGTGATACTCGTGTTTAAGCCTCTTTACCTCCTCAGGACGAAGGCCGGTATATGAGAACATTCCGATCTTGGGACTTTGTCAGCGCCTCTGAAACTTGAGATTTGATGACAGGATATCGCACATGTCGAATTAAATGCTCCCACGTCCTGGGTGTTCCGAGCTTCTGCAATTCCTCAAAGAGAGCTTGCCGGACGAATTTGATCCGATGATTCATCTGCTTTAGGTCTCGTAGCCACTTCTCCCTCAAGTCTGGGTCCTCAAGAACCTTCGCAACGATCCGGCAGCCCCAAGAGGCAGGCGACGAGTACTCTGAGCGAATGAGTCTGACAAGGTTGGACACTATAGCTGACACGACCGATGCCTCGCTAGCTAGTATATGAAGAGCTCCGACGCGTTGCCCGTACAGACCAAAGTTTTTGGAGAAGGACTGAGCGATGACGATGTCCATACTTTTCCTCTCCGCGAAATGACGAACTGACCAGGCATCTTCATCCGGAACTCCACTCGCGAATCCCTGGCTGCACGTTGTTAGCTGCAGTTATATAGCCCGGATTTCAACACCCATTAGAAACATACTAAGCAATATCGAAAAACGGAATCAATCCCTTCTTCTCGCAAAGATCGGCTAACTGCTTCCATTGCTCATGAGTAGGATCGCAGCCAGTAGGGTTGTGGGCACAGGCCTGCAACAAGACAACGTCTCCCTTCTCAGCGCGTGATTCAAGAGCCAAGTTCATTCCTGAAAAATCAATCGATTTTGATCCTGCATCGAAATAGGGATAGAATTTTAGTTGTACATCCGGCGCGGTAACCTCCCAGATGAGTGAATGGTTAATCCATGAGGGGTCTGAGATCCAGACACTGCGCGGCTTCAAAGTTTTGGCTAAGAATGAAGTGCCTAAGTGGCATGCTCCTGATCCAGAGATGGTCTGGACGCTGGCGAGACGGCATCTTATATCCGAGTATAATGAGCCAAAAAGCAACTTTTGTGCAGCCATTACAAATTGCGGTAAGCCGCCCGCGGGTATGTAGTCATGGTTGTTTGGTAGAGAGGGGATTGCCTTTTGTAGAAGAATTATCTCAGATTGCCTTCGTGTCTTGTGGTATGTAAAGATTGGCGCGCTTCAACTCACTAGTTCGACAGACGGGAGAGCCCATGCTTTACCATCATTATCGCGGTAAACACCGATACCTAGGTTCACCTTGTTGGGATGCACATCGGCGTCAAAATCTGCCTTGACGTTGTATGCCTCATCGTATGGCACAGGGGTAAGTGAAGAGAACAGGGTGCTTGGTTGGCTGGAACCCATATTGGCTTAGAGTCATGACCACACGCAAGTCGAAACCTTCACATAGTAGTGCGAGCTTATAAAGTGCCTTTATTCGGAATTATAGCAGATTTAAACACAAGACAGAAACCAATCGGAATGATTGTGATTATCATTTGTCATTGCTTGCGTTGTTGATTCCTTCCAATTTCCGGCTGGTATTAGAGTCTGTAATTCCGTAGTTCCCACAAACTACAAGACTTGTCTTCTTCTTATTGTAATTAGCTCCTAGTAACTTGTCGGGAATGGACTAGTTCGTGCGGTTTCGCTACTAGGAAGTTGCTCTTCGGGACATGCAAATCCGGCCAGTCGGAACAGATTGTTGCTATCTCCTCCACTTCTCCACACAGCTTATCATGATGCTTGAACCCCGCGGGGCAGTTTTAGTTGGTAATAGCATCACATGGCTAGCAAACTATAAGAAAGAAGGAATTTCTTCCAATCCCTGTTGCAATGTTCGATGAGTATCATGACAATTACTCTTTCACGAGTTAGAGAAGTCCCAGCTCCCACCGCTCTACAACAACGTTTCAGCAATATGGCGTCCACCAACGATGTCAAGACCAATCCAGACACCTTTGACAAAAAGCCATACCTCGCTGACAACGCTGAAGTTGACATCAAGCAAGGTCAAATGTCTGGCGAGGGCGGACTCTCCGAGCACCAGAAAGGGTTAGAAAAGAAGCTTTTGTTCAAGATTGACACTCTCATTCTTCCCATCATTGTTGTAGTCAGTTATTACCCTATTCCCAACTCACAGTCCTACGACTAATGTGCACATCAAGGTTTATTTGCTCAACTACATTGGTACGCCCTTTTCTCCAAGACTCTTTGAATTTATGCTAACAAAGCGAAAGACCGAAACAACTATGCAGCTGCTCGCTTGCAAGGGGTAAATATATCCGCCCCTGTTTTATACTTCAAGCTTCTAATCAATATCATTTAGTTGGAGGAAGACCTTAATCTTCATGGTGATCAGTATCAGACTGGTCTCTCTGTCTTCTTCGTCGGCTATGTAGGTGCTCGAATCCATATTTGGGCCTTGAATCTGGTGTATTGATGCACAGTTTCCCAATAGGTTCTTATGCAAGTGCCATCCAACGCGCTGCTGAACTACTCTGGAAGACCTTCCTTATATCTTGGATTCTGGATCGTCGCTTGGGGACTTGTGTCAGCTCTCACCTGTCTCGTCAAAAGCTTCGCTCATATCGTTGTCTGCCGGTTTATCTTGGGGTTTGTCGAGGCGCCATTCTTCGCTGGCGTTCTCTTCTACGTCTCAAAATGGTATACTAGGTCAGAACTAGGATTTCGCATGGCAATATTTTACTCAGGATCATTACTTTCTGGGGCCTTTGGAAACCTTATTGCCGGTGGTATTCTAAGAGGATTGGATGGCAAACAAGGCCTTGCGGCCTGGCAGTGGTGTAAGTTTTGATTCTCAATATTAGTGTATCAGATCTACAGGTACTAACGGCCTTCCAGTATATATCATTGAGGGAGTGTAAGTTTCTGTGGACTTGAAAACCACTTAATCCAGTATATAATATGCTGACTTTACTCATTAGCGTTACTATATTTGTGGTATGTATTTGATCAACGTGACAATAGTAGGACTGAGCTGATGACCCGTGTAGGGGTTTATTGTGATGCTTCTCCTTCCCGACTTTCCCCATACCTGGAAAGTCCTTACCCCTGAGCTCAGGGCTGTTGCTATTCAACGTATGGCACTTGACGCGAACCAGGACGACGTCGATGAAGAAGGGGCCAAGTCTCACGTTCAAGGAGTCAGGCAGGCTTTGACTGATCCCAAGGTGAGCTTACTCATATGAGTTGAAACGAAGCTCGATATACTAACAGTGGATTAGACATATATCCTTGCTATTATGTACCATTGCCAAACTGGATCTACGGGATTCTCCAACTTCTTTCCATCCCTGACACAGACCCTCGGTTTCGACCGAACAACTTCTCTACTCCTTGTAGCGCCTCCCTACATCTTTGCCGTCATCTGGGCCTATGGCCATAGTCTCTACTCTGACAAGGTACAGAACCGTTTCTGGTTTTGGGTGTATCCTATTCCTCTAGCAATTACCGGCTGCTTACTTTTTATGTTTGTGCCATTGTTCGGAGTACGATACTTTGCCATGTTTCTCATGTCCTTTGCCTTTATTCTGAGTCCAACAGTAAGTTACGTCTTATGCAAGTAAGGCCAACGGTAGAACCTAACGAATTTGGTAGATCTTTGCCTGGATGTCCAGCTCTATTCCTCGTCCTCCAGCCAAGCGGGCTGCAGCCCTGGCTTTTATTAACAGTTTCGGCAATATTGCTTCTGTTTGGACTCCGTTCACCTACACCACTAACTCTGGTCCATATTATAGGCCTGCCTTGGGGATGATGATTGGATTGCTAGCACTTGGAGTAGTTCTGGGAGTTGTTCTTCGATTCTATTTGCAAAGAGAGAACGCTAAGCTTGAGCAATTAGAGTCTGAGGCTTCAGTCTCTCAACAACCTCATGATACTGCTCGTGATGTTGAAGCGACACAGGCTCAGAGGGGTTTTAGGTATATGATTTAGGAGGCGATTATTACTGTACTCGTCTTAGGAAGAGAAAATTTCAATATCGGCACATGGAGCGAGTCTTAGGATTCTATTGATATCGCCAACATTGTGACCCTGGTATATAAAAATTAGAATCTTTCACCAGTCGTGTTGTTATGACTTAAATTATCCTAACTTTAAAAGGTCATTGTAGACTTGTTTTGCTGCGGCACTCCCGGTTGAAGTGGAACCGTCATTAAATCACAGAAAGATACGAAAAGGTTGACACAATAGAGCATCGTCTGGGGAAGTAGTGTACGCTTATTGTGGTATTTTGTACCCTTAAGAGCGGCCTCCATTTTCTTTCGTGCTGCCTCTATGATCTTTTAGACTCCAATCACATTCGTTGAGTACCGGGCTAAGCTGTAAAGCTTTGCATTACATGTAATACAGGTGCTCGATCATCATGTGCCCTCGGACACTTTCCAAGTTTGGTTTGTCTACTCGTCAAAAATAGCTGCGACGATTTCTCCAGGGATGGTAATATTTGCCTTGAAGCCCTTCAAGCTTCCAGTCTTCGCATCGCGATCAATTAGGACGACGCGCGCGTCTGACTGAAGGCCGACAGCAACCAGAGTACCAACGTTATTGATCTCGAAATGTCGTGGGACTCGGCCTCCAGACGGAAACACCTGTAACAAGTCTAGCGTACCGGTATGGGAATCGATTCCAAAAGTCATGATTGAGTCGGATGCGATCTCGGTGCTGTTTGTGGGATCGAAGTTTGGCAGGGTAAACGTCTTGTCGCCGCGAGATGACACAACGACAAAACGGCCGTCGTCCTGCGCAATGTCAGCATCCTGCTCTTTCCAAGAGATTGATGAACCCGACTTACCGTCACTTGGACTTCTGATGCAGATGTTCCGCTGGGAGCTGAGTTGCCCTCTCCAAAAGTGGAAATGGACTGGAGCAGTTTCGCTTGCGGAGATTGGCCCTTTGGATAAGTCACTTCATACGTGGCGACGGTGTTGGCGAGTTCGCCCACGATGTAGAGCAACGTCTTTTTGTCTTTTGTAACGTGGAAGGCAGCATGTCTAGGCCCAGTACCCGGAGGCAGCGTCACAAGAGGGTCGAGCGGCTTGAGAAGGAGTGACTTCGAGTCGACGGCAAAGAGCCGCACAATATCGGCTCCTAAATCCGGAACGAGGACGTATTTCCCGGTAGGGTCCAGCACTGTTTGGTGAGGATGAGGTGCTTCTTGGTTGGGTAGCACAGGACCAGGCTTCTCGAGGGTATATGTCCAAGCTTGTTGGAATTTCGGCGCTTTGGGATTGGAGACGTCGAATGTCTGGAAAGTCGAGGTCTGATAGGCCGCAATGGCAAGGCCATTGGCATCTTTGCCATAGGTGACGGAGCTGACTGTGCCTGGAATAGTGGGAACTCTGCTCAGATGCTCCAACCTTCCGTCTGACGATGTTTTGAAGGTGTTGAGCGTGCCATTGCCCGACGTAAGGTCTCTATCCGTGCAATACAGCAGCTTTTTCCGCTGGTCAAGGGTCAGCCATGAAGGAGTCAGTGCACACTCTGTCGCGGTAGAGGTGACTTCCAGCTGCCCAGCGCTATTAAGCTCGACAGTCGATACGGTTCCAGCATACGACGCAACGTAGAGCCGGGTCGGATTGGCAGCATAGGCCAATGCTGCAAATCCGGCGGCAAGAAAACATCGAGAGAGCATTTCGAAAGAATGAACCTGACAGGTAAGACTAGGCTAAACGGTCGTTGACTCTACTTGCCGCACTTCTCCACGAACCGGCTTTATAGACCCTGCCATTGACGCTTTTCCTTGAGCTTCTCCGCATCGGCTACGGAAACGTTCCCCTGTTCTCAACTACATTTCCCTGCGGGGTTCCTGCATGCCGACCCCTGACAGGTGACACATTTCTTCCACCTGTAAACAGGCACCATTCCGGAACGGCTGTTGCTTTCGAAGCCGTATCCTCAAAGGCTCAAAGCTTGGTACCCACCAACGGATGAAATCAAATTGCCTGTAAGATAAAGTAGCTTCCGCTTGTGTCAACAGCAAGGGGATCTAACAACGCAGCTGATCAACAGACGTAGCCGATGGCTACACGAACTCCCATTCGACTAAATGGGTAGATGGTCATTCACCCCTAGGTTTCTTTCTTGTTGGTATTGTACCGGGAAACCGGGCATGTCTGTCGCGCTCGGGGAGAGTACATATCCAGTCCGGCTCAAATGCCTCTACAGCCACGCCGAACATTTGTCCCTGTGGCAGGTGAAGATTTATTTCAGCCGCTCAGGCGCTATGATAATTCTGTCGCCATTTGAATACCAAATTCCAGAGTGTTACTCTTTGATGGATGATATGCCACTGTATATTCCGCTATGAAATGCTTATCGCAGGAAGTTTGCATGATATGAAAGCATAGTAAAGAAGGCAGAACGCATACTTAAAATGTTACGAGTCGAGGGAATCATTCAGATATGTACCTTGATCAGCTTTGGTTGACTTCTCAGCCTCGATCTCAGTCGTGTATATATTGTGTGTGTATATTCCAGTGGGCTTGCTCAATCAACAGAACGTGATGACATCGGTCACTACCTACAATACTTTAATCCTGACAAACGACTTGTCTGGGCCTCGGAAGATTTTCTCCACAGCTCCATGCCCCTTGCACTCGGCAGGCAGCTCAAGAAATTCAACATTCAAAATGAGAAGCTGAACGACCATACGGAGCTCCAAGACGGCAAGTTTGCGACCTGTGATCTGCATTAGCATTCGTCTTTCAACCGGCCACTACGCTTATTCCATGCGGACGAGAGTGCTGTTTCGGCGATGCAACTTACCAAAACACCCTCTCGGCCCACCACCGAACGGTAGGGCCGGAATAGCAAATGGGTTGAACTTGTCGTTGCCCGTCTTCTCATCCTTGACGAGCCACCTCCTAGGTTCAAAAACATCGAGATTTTGGCCAGCCCTCTCGTTCAATCCATCCCCCATCTTTTCTACTGCAGCTCGGCTACCCCGTGACCGCTGGGATTCGGACACGGGAATGGGGGGAAGGTTGATATGGTAGTTCAAGAACAATTCTGCACCCTTGGGGATGGGAAAACCTAGGATCTCGGTGTCGACAAGAGCCTGGCGCATAGTGGCCTTGACGATGCCTCCCAGGCGCAGACACTCTTCGCATACAGCATCGAGGTAGGGTATGTCTGCTGCGAGCATGGACTGGACGGAAGGCTGTTTTGTGTCAGGAAAGGCGGATCGAAGGGCGGAGCGGAGTTCGGTTTGAACGCTTGGGTACGTTTCCATAAAGCGCACGAACCAGGATAAGGCGTCGGCTGTTGAGTCATAGCCCTAGAGTTGAAAGTCATTTAGTCTTGTTTTCCATAGATATAGTGTCACAATTATAGAACGATTATAGGATGGAGGGCTGCGAGGCATATACATACCCCGACAAGCATGGTCAACATTTCGTCCTGCAAACGCTGGTCCTTGGTTGGATCCAACATGGGCTGTTGGTCTTTCTCGGCCTGGGCAATTTGCCGCCTGAGGACGAGATCCATCATGCACGTGTCACACTCGTCGTTGTCGAGCATGCCCTGCCCAAGGCGTTTGTATCGGTCGACAGAGTTGGCCACGGCTTGGCCAACCTCCCGACTCATGGTGGCGCGGAAGCGGCGAAAGCGCGGCAACCAAGTCTCCAACTTACTCGCCCAGGCAGGTATCGGCGAGTTGGAGTTTGTGGCAATGGCATGGGCAACATAGGCGACTGCATCGCGTATGAACATGCCACGGGGAGCCTCCAGCTCTTCAACGCCAGTCTTACCGGCAATGCGATGTTGCAGTTTGGTGACTTCAAAACGAACAATGCCAGGTGGCTCTCCTACTACAGCTGCCCAGATCGTATCAAGAGCTGTGCTTTGAAAGTCCTCGAGCACCTCAAACGGTCGACCTTGATAGACACTGCCCTTGAGTGACCAAAGTTCGAGCAGGTCGAGCGTTGCGGTGCGGATGTTAGGCGCAGCGGCTCTTTGCAGAAAGCTTGTAGTCATGCCGTCCGACCACAGGCGCTTCTGGGCCTTGAGCTCAGGCGTAGTGTACTGGCTGACGGTGCCATGAGGGAAGAGCGGCAATACAATGTCAACCGTCGTGGGTGCCTTGTCGAACTCCTTGGTGCGGCGCAAGATGACGTCCTCGATCTCTCGAGCATCTTCGACAACAATCAAGGGCTTGCGGATGTTTGGGAAAAGTAGTTGGGCAACGGGTGAGCCGAGGCGACGCGTGGTAGTTGCGGTGATGGAGCCCGAGAACTCATTGGTCTGGGCTATGAGCGGTGCAAGCAGAGGAACGTCGCCCAAGATCCGGCCAGCGGACTCCCTATTGTACGGAATGCCTGCATAGGGTTTTGGACGGAGCCATCGCCACACACCAACGACCAGTGCGGCCACCAGTGCGGCCAAGATGTATGATAACATTGTAGACAACGTTCCACAGGTTGGCTGCAGTATATGAAGGGATAGGGTGAATCGGCTACGTTATATGGTCGAACCACAACTAGCCAAAGGTTAGCATACTATTCAGAATTTAAGGATTTAAGAGTTCTCCTTTTCTACAAAGGATAATTCATGGGAGATCCCCCAGGCGGCCAGGAGCCCGGAAGAAAGGCCTGTCCAAAACTATCATTTACCGGCCAAAGGCGCGGTCTCTTGAGCTAAAGATATTAGTCAAATACCCTTACAAGTAGGTGGATCAGGCCAAATCAAAACAAAAACTAGCGTGGTGGAATGGCAAATTGGTCAGTCCTCGTCCAAAGGGAGCTAAATTAAGACACTGCTAAGACAGCTCGTCTCATTTGACTTAGCTCGGGGTGTTTTGCCCTTTCCCGACTTGAGCAGCGTAGGACGGCAAGTTGCGGCCGGATCGACTTTAAAAGATCGGCGACTACTGGATATAGACACACACCACCTTACCCCCTGCGAGAGCGAGTACTACTAGTCCAACGGTACATAGACCATTCTGCACGTGTTGATCGTATCTAACTGTACACCATATCCTTCTCGCTATGAAGATCTTTGAGAGTGACGGGCAAATCATACGAAGCGGAGGGCTAGGTTGATTTTATTACTATCATTAGTAGTCAGCATCTTGCTTTTGTATCTTTGAAACCGAACCTGAGGGGAAGCGATTCAATACTTAATCACATTTGCCTCTTTCCTACATGCAATCTGATCCTCTTGACTGAGTCAACTAGCCTCATGAAGTATTGATCAAATACTAGATTTTCAGAGATTTCCAAGCTTTACAAACATATTTAATTATTGCCCCCCGCACATAAGTGATTATTAGTGAAACTGTTAGAACCCTCCTCGTATCTAGTGAATTTCTATAGCTATTATACAACAAAAGAAAATGGAGTCTCTAAAGCGCTGATGCCTAGGCTTGTGTAGAATGAAGGTCTAAACAAAAAGAGTCGAAAACCAGGTGTGGACCAAAATTGGTTTAAATAAAACAAAAGGAAAAATGTGCAACTGAACGCGCGTGGCCTGATCTTAGGATATAACCCCTGCATATGACAACAACAAAAAAAGAAGAGAAATAAAAACCGCGCGAAATAGCTTCAGGAGCTAAATCTAGGGGTAAAATGAAGCCTTAGGTAACCTTCGTGGCCCTTCTTGGGGTAGGTGTTGAGGTATGTGTAACCTCCCCTCTCGTCAGCCAATTCGTCAGCGAACGACATGCTAAAGATGTACACGAGCGCCGCCACAGTCCTCCGAAGAACTTGTTGGGCGATGAATTGGCCCAGACACGTCCGGGTACCGGTTCCAAACGTTACAGACGATCTTTTCATGGCCGAAGAATCGGGATTGGTCTCTAGCCAACGCTCTGGCTTAAATTTGAGCGGTTCAGGATACAGTGTGGGATCGTGCTCCAGGAGCTTGAGTGTGAAGCTGAGACTTGTCTAAAACCAGTCAATATCAGGGTGCCTAACTGCGCATTATGACTCTGAACACTCACCATGGGAGGGATAGTGTATTGCCCGTGCTCTACTAGCGTCGAGACCTGTCTTGGCTGTCGATGCCACCCAGGCGCGCTCATCCGCGTAGATTCGCGACATACAGCATCCTATCAACATTTAGTTTCCACCGCCTTTTGCAAAGGGCTTGCTAGCCTGAGGGAAGACTTACGAGGTACTTGAGACGAATGACCTTGGGGTCACGCCAGATGCGATGCCCGTATAAGCCGACGTCAAGCTCATCAAGCTCAGCCCGTATACGACCGATACACTCGGGGTTTTTGATCAAGTGATGCAGTAGGACGGTCAGGTTACTCAAGAGGGATTCATTTCCAATGAACACTGCTTGAGCAAGCTCGTGGATGAGGACGCGTTCTTCGGGCAATTGCTGAGAAAGGATAGCTAGCACGGACTTTTCAGTCTTCTTGTGAACGGAGTTCGACTTGATGAGTTCCAGATTGTTACTAATTTTCTAGGTGAGGTTAGTAGGGGTCCAGCTATGGCCCGGTGAAGGCTCGGAAGAGAAAGAAGCTATTACCTGGTCGATCCAGCCCAGTGGAGAGAAGCAACGCAGTGACGGGATGCAGTCGAATACCATCTTCAATGGTGGCATCGATCGGAGAACCGTAGCCAAGTCGATTGCACTGAAAGCTCGGGTAGAGTCGTGTACACCTTTCAGGTCCTCAGACTTCAGATATCCAGGATCAATACCGAGGACATAGGTCATCATCACATCGGTGGTGAAGGCCCAAAGAGTGTGGGTTATGTTGACTGTGTCATTGCTGGATTTAGAAAGTCGATCCACCAATGTGTCCAGGTGAGCACTCATGCCCGAATCGGAGAAATCAGCCAGTGTTCGACCACTAAACAAAGGTTGAATAATGGCCTTGCGGTTCTTATGGTGGGCTGGGTCGGCAAATCCACCCAGGAGATAGCTCAAAATGCCATAGTAATTGTCACATTTGTACAGGTCGGCTCGCTTATGGTGTTGTAGGCAGAACTGGTGATCAGAGAAATGGATTTCGTTTGGGCCGATTCGGATAACAGACCCTATATGTTTATGTTCAGCATAAGTAAATCCAGCGAATAGAAATAGATCTTAAAAGCAGAATGAGCCATACCGTGTTCTTGATGAAGCGCTTCGAGCGTCTCCAGCCAGTCGTTTTTGATGAGGACGTGGTAGGCTTCAAAGAGCTTGGAGCAAGCCGCGAAGCGAGGACCTGGGAAGGAGGATAACGGACTCAGTAGCAGTCTGTAGACGTACTTCGCTGTCAAGAGAAAGGGAGGCACTATCAGCAGCGCCACCCACGGGATGGAGTACATGATAAAAGTTGAAGGACAAATGAGGTAAGGGTAGCCGAATAGGCGTTAGATATGGATGTATAATGAGGTCAACAAGTCCATGAATTGGAAGGCACGTCGAGTTTATATTACATATCAGAAAGCATCTTTGAAATTATATTTAGAATAAACGTTCACTAAAAGTTACAATCACTTACCCGTACTGTCCCAAGAGCTACTTCTGGCGCTTTACTCATTGTTCTTAAAAAGTCAAGGCAAGTCTTTTAGCCCAGGGTCCTAGGATATATCTGTACCCCTTTGGGAAGTAAATCCTTGTTTCTAGTAGATCGGTGCCAAGTTACGCATCTCGCATAATAATTCAGATCTGCAGCCCGCAGGTACCCACACATTGCTGCTATTAAACCCTGAACGACAGCATCAGAAATCCGGTGAATGGAGTATACTAGCTCCCAGAGGCAGCCCTCGGCTGTCCGTTTGAGGTAATTGAGCCTCTGGCAAAGAAGAAGCCCCTGATCCCTGATAGCACGCTCGGCTTCGCCTAAGTCACCAGACCCTCCTCATGCTTCAGGTACTTATGGTGGCCAGGCAACAAAGAATTTCCTTCAGAAAGGTTAGCCTTACACCCTATGCTTTACAGGGAAGCTATCTGAAACCAGCCAGAATACCGTGAGAGCGAATTACTAAAATCATTTACATAAAGACCAGCCGAGCCGCAGGTGTCATCTCAGGAGCATATGCCGTCCTCGCTCAGTCATCAGCGAGAGGGGAAATCTAACCTCGATAGACTAACACTCAGGCAAGCATTTCTATGTCACTACGTTATGTACTCCAGAAAGTTCCAGTAGGTTAGTTGCTAGTACCTTGGCCGGCGCGCTTCATGATCTAATTATGGGCTGCCTCACGGCCGGGGTCGCGCGCACTAAGTTAACAAGGAGCGCACCAACTCTTCGCAGACAGCACAGTTCGCTGTCTAGACTAAGCATATGATCAATGGGCAATCTTTTAATTGGCAAAGATTGCCAATTTAAAGGTGAGGAGCGTTTTGTCACCGGCCGCTCACGGCCGTTGGACCCGTTGGGACTCCTCTAAAGGTCATCTATCATCTCGGAAGTGCGCTTAATCTATACACATTACTGGATCCGTCATCCGTCCTAACGCATAGTTGATGTTTCAACAGGATTAACGCTCTAAAACGCATGAGAATTTGCCATACACCTTATCACTACAAACCCTAATAAAGAGACCCACCCCCGTTGGGGAGATGCAGATAAAGATCATTGCTTTGAGGTGAGAAAGTGATAAATGCGTACAGTGCCATAAAGCATTGAGGCCTTTTTACAGATTCTACCTACAAGTGTAAAATGTATATAACATATCCCAACCCCCAATGCTGCCGCGCTGATTCACCGACCTATTGATTTGATGCAATGGAAATTCAGACCTTTGGGACCATTCGTTATACCTTGGATAACTGAGTTACTTGACAGGGAAGCGGCGGTTTTCCCCTCTAATCCCCTCCCAATGCCTTGGGCGAGCTAACCATGGCCCCCAATGCAAACGGACCATCGTATTCGAACCTTGCTCCATCGCAAAGGGTCCAGATAGTCGCGGATAACTCCCTCCAACAAACTTGGAGGATTCCCAAATGCCGAATCGTCCGGTTTCTGACGAAACAGGAAATAGCCGCACGCCAAATCCCGTTCGAGCTAGTCTACTGTATAGATATATCAACATGGAACAGACTAGACGCACTTACTCTAATCACGGACTTCCGGCACACGGTCAGATTCTCCAAAGTCCATCCTCTTACACTAATAATTCGGAGCAATACGAAATCGATATGAGGCCTTGTTACAGGAACAACATGCAGGGTTCCGCCGAGACACAGTGGGAGACTAGCTACCGAATATCAAGAAATTCTGATCAAATTTGCCAGTCAGCCGGAGCAGAGTAGGTGAGATTGGGCCAGCCCTTGTACGGGCTTTCGGCTGGGAGGTTGGCAAATCCTCCCCTATCAAGGACAGACACAGATTGTACGAAGTCGGGTTTTCCGTCGCCTAAAGTAATTTTTAGGGATAAATTGTTGTCGGCACATGCGATGTCCAGCTCGATCCAGAGAATGTCCTCGTCCCACTCGCCCCCATATTCCAGTCCTATCGGGACGCTGTGATTTCGATAACCAATACCTCCGGTTATGGTATCAACTATAACCCCCTCCGCTAGAACAAAAGCCTCCCGGGAAAGCAACATGTCAATAGGCTTGAAACGTCCTTTGACGTAAGGCTGATTGTCGTCGAAATACTCATTCCTGAACGGCATCTCAGAACGGTACTGGATATCCAAGGCACTCGCCACTGTTGATTCATCTGTGATACTTCAGAACATCTCAGTCATATTTGAGGGAATCTTCGTTGTTGCTGAGATATTGGGGTTGGGCTGAGCATTTATCGTACCCTGTCCGATCACAGATCCAGGAACGTGCGCGCCAGGGCAGTAAGCGTAACGGATGACGCAGTCGCGAGACATGGGTAAATCCGCATTGGGATAAATTACCTATTATTTTACTTAGTAGCCTGCTATTCCCATGCACCCTACCTTCAACTACGGCCGGTAAGTCAATGTTCAGCAATCTCCTGTATTATGTTTCTATACTGGGATACTCTTAATGGTAAAGTGCTGTAGAAAGCGGATGAGTGTACATATAGCTGTATGGAACTTTTCTAAGACCAATCGCCATCATATTCGAGCTCTTTGCCTTCCTCTGATGCCTGGGTCAACTCCTCGACAGTCCACGGCTTGCAGGAATGGCCCGGTGGATAGTTGGTGTTGTCAAATGGGTTCCCAGACGTGATAGAATCAGCACACTTATCATAGTTGTCATAGACATACTGTTCAGGATCATGCTTCCACATCCATTTTCCCCATAGATGAATACTGTCTGGGTTCTTGGCTACTTCGTCCCAGTCAATATTGTGATAGATTTCACGAGCTCTGAAGCCGTACTTTTGCGCACAAGATGTTCTCTGGAATCTGTATTTATGTCAGGGCCCGTTCTGTGTTGCTACCTGAGCAGGAGTATAGCGGCCTTACCTCAGTATGTTATGGACTCGAGCTCCAAGTTCGATGTTATCTTTCCCAGAAAGCTGTAGGCATGTTGCTAGAGAATACCCATCTTCCACTGCCATAGAGGCTCCATATCCTGAAGATGGTATGAAGGCGTGGGCAGCATCACCAATTTGGACAACCTTTCCCTTGGGGGAAACCCAGTTAGGGTGAGGGTCTCGCCACATCAATTTCCAATCTGTAGTTACGCCTGATGGGGTCGCTGTTACCAGATCGTGGATCCACGGTGCCCAACCATGGATGTATGGAAATACATCCTTTGCTTCTCCAGGCTTGTAGAGGTAGTCTTTTCTCCCGGTTTCATCCTGAGAAAATTGTCAATAGCCATTACTAACTAGCAAGAGACAACTGACCTTGTGTGTTATGATCCAGCAAATGCTCTTCTCATTGTGGGCAATGACGGCGTGAGCGTTGGTACCCCCAACAATGATGGCCACACGATCTTTGCTTTGGCCAATCTCATTCAAGACACTCGGCATATTTGCAAGATGTTCGAGGGAGAAGTTAGAACGGTGCACAGAATAGCCTGTGCTGACTGCCCGGTCAACGCGCCCTAGAATGAGTTTGTGGGACTTGCCACCGATTCCATCTGCTGCCACGACTAAATCGGCTGTCAATCTTCTATCGTCATCAAGAAGAACGCCACCGAACTGTTCCGTCTCAAAATACTCAACTACCTTGTGATTGAATTCGACAGGAATGCCCAATACCTCCACATATCGAGTCAATAAAGTCATGAAATCCGATCGCTGAAGTTGACAACAAGCGTTTCCCTCGTCGTCGCCAATGTAAGACCTGGTGATAAAAGTCCCATCGAAGCGATAATATGATGCATAGGGCTCCATGGAGCTGGCACGCATGGCCTCGTAGAAGTATGGCCACTTTTTCAGAGTTCGTAGAGCAGATGACTGGCAATTAAAAGCATCTCCTAGTGAATAGAGGTCATTAGCAAACGGATAAACACAGATTACGCCTTGCTTACCAGACTCAGCGAAGTGAGGACGGCGCTCAATAATTCTACACGCAATGCCTTTGCGTGTAGCTTCAATTGCGAAGATGAGGCCTGCAATTCCGCCCCCTACCACCAGCGCAGATAACCCTAGACTCGGGTTCTGATCAAAGGCAGCTAGGATTTCTTCATGGTGCTTTGCAAAGTCAGTCATTTTGCTCTTTTAGAGGTTGCAGGAGTGGCTTCGGGTTGGATTCTCGCAGATGATATAATTTGTAGCTTGAAGTATATGTAGAAACTATTGATCGAGCTACACAGAATGCAAGCAGTGTTGGTGATGTTTATATAGCTTGTCGTACAATCGCTAGTTATACGATATCGCCACAAGCGTTAGTTAAACTTGCGGCATCTACAAGCATTCCCGCTGCACGAGCCGACAACGTATATTCTCCGAACCTGCGTTCTCCTGGTATCGAAAGCCCGGAAACCCCCGGCCCAGACGTGTCTCACGGACAGACCAGGAAGAATGACACCGAGAATCCGCTTACTAATAGGTAAGAGTTCGAGTACAAAGTAAAAACAGCAATGAAAGTTGCCAGACCTACCATCTCAATACAACGAATACGAAAGGCAAAAAACAAGTTCTACAAGCCCAAATCCGCTTACTAACCAGAGGCTCTCATTTCTATATACATTTGTAGCTTTCATAGATGGGGCATACAGCATTTATGGATGGCTAGCCTCAATCATAGCCAATTAAGCAAGAGAAGTATGTATTCGCTTCTGGGGCGACGTTGATCACAATTTAGAACTGTTACAATTAAGCCATGTCGGACCGAAGGAATGCAACTTCGAGGAGTTGATTGTAAATGCCGCTCATCCACTGCTATATCTCTCAATGTGAAGTACGTTGATATCTGTTTGCGTCATTCATAATTTATCAGCTGATTCAGGAAGCGATGTCCAGACAGTCTTGCAAACTAATCCAGGGTTAACCCTCCAGCCAACAGGATATGGTCTGCGGGGTTAAGTTGGATGTTACTTGGGGAAACAAGGACGCGGCCTTTAACCCCTAAATTCCTAGTTATCTAAGGATATCAGTGCGGCATCGGAAGTTGAGCAATCCCGAAGGATTCATAATAGCCAACCTAGTAGTCGATCTAAAGTACTTAATTACTCATTGAGTATTCATGGCTTTACAATATAAAGTTCTCAACAATCGACCACATGCAAATTGTGTCATTCTAACCAAATTACTTTGTTAGTTTGGTCAATCAGTTGCTAAAGTTGACTATATATTTACATCCTATTAGGATTGGCTATGATGGCAAACAAGCATGCGATTGTTTTTGGTAAGTCTTCTCTCGCTTTACAAGGTATAGATAGTTGTTGATGTGTAGCCAAGGCGCCAGTGGTGTCTGCGGCTGGGCTGTAACTAGTTGCCTCTTGAACGGATACCCATCCCCTGACGCATTTCAGTCTGTGACAGCAGTTACAAACCGACCGCTGGAATGCGAGGATGCCCTTTGGCCTAAGTCGGACAAACTTGATCTTGTCACCGGTGTTGATCTTCTCACGCCAGATCGAGCGAGTTTGAAAGAAGAGATGCAAAGGAAAATGAGATATATTGAACATATCACCCATGTATTTTTCTTCGGTAGGGCCATTCTAAGATCTCTACTCAACAACCACTGGACTAAACTTCTTATTAGCATACACCATGGATGAGGACCCCGAGGTTGAAGCTTACAAAAACACTTTACTCCTTCGCAATGCGATTTCGGTTATTGAAAGCCTTTCCAACCTCAAATTTGTAGTCCTCGGTACTGGTGGTAAAGTGTACGGCTCCCATCTTCCCGGCTTCCCGCACGGCAATCCTCTTCCTTTAAGGGAAACACTACCTCGGATCTCATCGGCTCCGAATCTGTTCTACTATCACCAAGTTGATGCTTTAAGAGACATGTGCGCAGGGAAAGTTTGGACCTGGTGCGAAATACGGCCTGATTTAGTCGTCGGTTTTGTGCCTCACAATAACTTCTATTGCTTAGCACAAGTACTGGCGACGTACTTGTCTCTATATGCTTCGCTCAATGGTCCGGGGGCACAGGTCCCTTTTCCGGGTGGAGAAAAGTCCTGGACCAGCCTATCTCAGGACAGTAGCCAAGACGTTATTGCAAAGGCGAGCATTTATGCATCTCTCCATCCCGAAAGATCTTCACAGGAGAGTTTCAATGTGGCAGATGATGCGACACCTTGGTCTTGGAGCAATAGATGGCCAATCATTTGTTCCTACTTTGGCCTTCAAGGTGTAGGCCCCACCAGCAAAGCGCGGGGGCCTCAACCATCGGAATACTTGGCTGATCATGTAGATGATTGGAGGAGCCTTGAAATTATCAAAGGGCTCCAGCCAGGGAGAGTCATTAAGAGTGAGACTCATGCTCTCCATGCGCATGCTATGATGACATTGGCAGATCAAGATCGACAAATGGACTTGAGCAAATGTTACAGGCTGATGGGCGACGCTAAGACTGCAATTGGAATAAAAGAATCTTGGTGGAAGGCTTTTGATCGGTTCCGTGAAGCCAGAATCATACCTTGATATTATTTCAGGAGTAGCATCTGCCTGATAGCCCGAAGTAGATTTCTATATTGATCGTATATGCTCAGCCAGAACGGCCGGAAGGATATCTATAGAGCAAGATGCCAATTTACAGTCAATTCTACAAACCTTTTCAAATACGCTGCAGGCGCTCATGACTCTGTACGAGAAGCGTCCCAAATCGTTCTTAGGGTCTAGTGCTGCTCGTTGCTAATGGTACAAGCTGCAGAAGCTCACGACAGGAGGCGAAGGACACCGAACTCATTGGGCAGCAAAAGGATACGGCGAATGTAATGACACGGGTTGCGTTCAAATGATTTGGCCCAGCTACAACAACAAGCCAATCAAAAACGGCCTTGAACGCCGTACACCTCAGCTCCAGGCCAAGACCTATATGGGTGCCTGGCTCCGAGAGGCTAGTGCGAAAGAAGCAAACTACATGAGATCCCTCAGCGGTCTCCGCCTTCGTGGAGAGTCTGATTGCGGTTTTGGCAGATTAGATGCGGGCTTTCAATTTACATTCGGCTTGTATTCATGCCGAGGAGTGTGCATTCCAACAATCTAACCGCACGGAGACCTAAAATCTAGCCCTACTTTCTAAGAAGCACATCAAAAGAACCTTAGGGTGCGTCGTTGGTTGGTTTCACGTGTATTCACAGAAGGTCTTTAGCTTAATTCATAGCTTTCATACTTGCTATCTGTAGATGTGTTGATGGTAGCGTCTAACTCGTATGATAACTGGAGCTCTCAAGCGAAACTATAGTCTTTAAGGGCTTCAGGGTAATAGCCCTAGGAACCAACTTTCCTCGCTGTTACGAACCTGGCGCTGACCGAGCGGAAACCTTGCCCTCAACGTTTATCATCCACGCAATTTTCGTAGTAGGGCCGGAGACAAGGCCTCGCAGCGAGGACTGGGACCATCGTCATGTTCATTACACATTTAGCCTGTCCGGCACAGGGTTGTGGTGGAGTATTAACGCCCTGGCTGCCGTCTTCCGTGCTTCTGTGCCTGAACTATGGATCTTGAGGAAATGAAGGCCAATAGGTAACGCACTTCTGGAGCTTGACAACATACATTTCAGAATGCCGCTGACAAAGACAAGATCGATCATCCGTGGACCATGTAAACTCAAATGCGAAAGCGAGCGGTTATTAGTGGGGCAGGCGGATGGGATGGACGGGACGTACAAAACCCCGAATGGCCTCAGATATAGCTTATACCGATACCGGTTAACACCCTCTCTCTATAGCGTCTTCGTATTCACCATGCTGAAGGCAATACGAAAGGTGGTGAGACTATATGAGAGAGAATAAAGACGGGCATTTGTCAATATAAATATAGGCTCTCCTCCGTCATGTTCGCAGCCACTGGAATCATCTCAGAATCTAGGCCACCTAAGACAGAGCCCAATATCTGGCAGGAATGCACAAGATGTATAAAATCATACCGTTTCTCTTTTCGCCGCTACTTGCTTCTGCCTGGACACCTGCATCGACTGAGGGCTCGGACTATCTCGCTGCCGAAAGCCTCGAGATCCTTACCAATGTCGTGAACAATGGGTCGCTGGCCGAGCATCTCGTCACCCTAGGAGTCTCGCAAACCTGCAATATCAGCAAAGCCGTGGTTCGCCGTGAGTATTCGAATCTCTCCGACGATGAGAAGCTCGAGTACACCGCAGCTGTACAATGCCTCATGAGCTTGCCGGCCAAAGTATCTCCGCATCTGGTTCCCGGCGCAAAATCACGCTACGATGACTTCGTAGCCACCCATATCAACCAAACAGACTTCATACACCAGAACGGGCCGTTCCTGTTCTGGCACCGACTGTTCATGTGGACCTTTGAACAAACTCTTCGCGACGAATGCGGCTATACTGGTTATCTGCCTTACTGGAACTATGGAAAGTCGGCCGAGGATATTCTCAACTCCCCTTAGTACGTATCCAACCATTTTCTCGGAGGTGTCAATTCTCCTACTCAATCTGAGTTACCCATCATACTATGAGGCGGGCCCAGTCATGGATGCATCGTAGCAGAGCAAAAGCGTCTCTACGCGTGTGTATTTGCAACGATTGGCTAAGTTGTGCGCACATATGTTAACATTTCTATAGCTTCGATGGCAGCGAGACCTCCCAGGGCGGTAATGGCGTTTACCAGGAACACAATGACACCGTTATAACCCCCCTCGTGACGATCCCATCAGAGACTGGCGGTAAGTCGCCGGGTTATGCCCATGAACATATAAATACCCTTCACGGGACACTCTACAGGTTCAGTTCGATACTAAGACTTCGCATCTAGGCGGCTGCATTACCGGTCCCTACGCGAACAACATGGCCAATATTTCCGCCACTGAGCCTTTCTTCTCCGGTGTGAAAACTGGCGAGCTTTTCGCTTATGAACCGAGGTGTATTAGGCGCGATATCAGCACCAATCTGGCCCAAAGTTGGGCCACTGATAACTATACTGTAGATCAGCTTACCAACCCAGACTTTCAAACTGACTTTGGAGCTTTCCAGAATCAGCTCGATAACGTGGGTAGCAATACCAACGGCCGGTGGCCCCTCCACCTATATGGTCACTACGCCATGAACGGCGACCCCGGCGGTGATGTGAGTCCACTCCTAATCTTTCCCACTCGCCTAATTTCATGGTTCTGAATTTCCGCAGTTCTATAATTCCCCCAACGAGCCAATGTTCTGGCTTAACCACGCGAATATTGACCGCCTCTGGTGGATTTGGCAGAATCAAAAGCCGATCGACCGCGCTTTCATGATCAATGGAACTATGACGACGGGCAATGAACCCCCGAGTGCCGATGCCACAATGGAGGACATTATAGACATGGGTGACTATGTTGGTGGCAGCAGTGCTATTAAGCATCATGTCAGCACTGTGGCAGGCCAGTACTGCTATATTTACTTGTGAAGTTCAGCGTTTATAATGTGCTGGAGGAAAGCTGCCTCTGAGAAGATTTTTACCGCATTGCGATAATGCCACAGAAGCTCAACTTCTCCACACGCCTCTTCGAGACGTATGTTATTCTCCCCATTGCGGCGAAATTCAAGCTCAATGAGACACATGTAACCAGAATTGGTATTGAATTCACACTCTATCACAAAGCTTATAGTTTGTTTAATAGTAGAATGATGACTTGTTGCTTCATTTCGTCATTTCATTGTTTAAGAAGAAACATATCAAGCGCTTAATTCATGTGTGTTTTGTTTTCACATCATTCTCGGGGGCCTGTTCCTAAGATCCTCTACAAGTACTCATCACCTTTCTTCTTACATACTGCGACATAATATAGGCCCGACTCTCAGGATGAAACATACTACTCTGTGTCTTGTATTGAATTCGGCAAATATTTACTTAGTCAGATACCAAAGTCTCTAAATCCGTGCCCTCCACACGATAGAAACCAAGGGAGCTAAGCATTGGCTTGTCATGAAAACGATAAAGGTAGACATCGGTACCTTCGTCCGCCACATGCTGATACCGGAACCACGACGGAATGCAGAACGTATCGCCAGCCTTCCATTGAATCTTCTCACTCCCAACTATTGAATATCCCTCCCCGGACACAACATGGTAGACGGATGAGCTGGTTTCCCGAATACTGGGAGATGAAGCGCCGGCATCAAGTCGCTCGGCCGAACCGCCCAAGATTTTTGACACCTGCCGGCCGTCGTTCTTGAGGTAATCTTTTGATGCCCATGTCCCTGGAACACTATCAAGACTCTCCTTCATTTTGGCCCAAGGAAAAACGATGGGTGATGAGTTTGTATCAACGTCTTCAGCAGGATAACGAGGTTTCTCATAATGCTCAACAAAGTGGACGGGAAAGTGGCGAAAGTTGGGGAGATCTAAGCCATCAAGCCAGATCATAGGGCCAGATCCATCCTTACCATGGTCGTGCCAGTTCCAGGTCGGCGTCAGGATGACATCCCCCCGTTGCATCTTGATCCGGCGACCATGGACAGCCGTAAAGCCGCCTTGGCCTTCAATTATGAATCTCATCGCAAAGGCAGTGTGGCGGTGAGCTTTGGCCACTTCATTGGGCATAACTAGCTGCAGACCAGCATATAGGGTGTCAGTAGTATAGGGAGAATCTATTCATGAGTCAGCGGTGTATATTGCAAAATCATCAGACGGAGGGCTAACCTCTCGCAGGATTGACTAGCATGAGCACCCTCCGCTCAGCTTGCTTCTCAGTCACCACCTCCCCAGCCTTGAGCAGACTTGGGCGAATATCCTCGTAGCGCCAAATGTGAGGGACGCAAGTAGGATTGGGCAGCGGTGGATTCAACTTCTCCATTTGAGTCCAGAGAGGCTTAATATTGAGGCTTTGGAAAGCATTGGCCAAGTTTTCGGCACCAGTGGATTTGTTGGCGCTATTGGAGTTTAGCTGTAATTGGGTCATTGTTTCGGTAGTCATGATGTATGATGACTATCGTGTCTAACGTGATAATTGATATGGTGCGTTCTGAAAGTACTAGTCGAGATAAGTTGCTTCTACTTGTCATGATATTCATATTCTTAAAAAGCTTCTTCAACACATGCTTTGAATAGCTACTCCGGGTACTATAATGTGATAGATACGTATCGGAAACGTCGGATATCATCCCGCGGCTCACTCCGGAGCGCCTTGCCACAGTAGTCGCACAAGCCGCTTAGGTTCTGGCCTCTCCCCGGAGCCCGCCACTGTCTTGATAACGTATGGATAAAGACCTAGAGATGATCATGCATTTATCTCAGTCAGAAACAGTAGACAGGTCATTCGTAGTACTGTGTACGAAAAGCCATTATGAAGGTACCTTGGAGCAGATTAATCCGGTTTCAAGCCGCAGATGGTCGAGTTCTGCGAGGAGAACCCGTCCTTCCTCGACCAAACCTCGACTTGGGCCTTATAACGGAAGCCGATAATATCCAAGCAAGGGTTATAACGGGAGATGATCCCTATGACACAACCGGAGCAACAAGAGTCACCGAAGAACTGGTGACAGTCAAGCGAATTCTCTGCCCTCTCACGGCAAAAGATGTCCCGATCCTCCGCTGTGTGGGTTTGAACTATCTCAAGCACAGTAAGACTCTACCTTTGCATTAATAGCATGTCAATTCTTCTTCTAACTTGTTCCGATAATAGTCCAACAAGCAGGAAGAGCACCGCCTCCATTCCCGTCCATATTTTTCAAGCCCACCGCTACCATCGTTGGTCCCGATGACAGGGTTGTTATTCCAAAGATCTGCCAGGACGATCAAGCTGATTATGAAGGAGAGTTGGTGAGTATTTCTCGTTCTTCCTCTCAAGCATAGTGTAAAACTAATGGGTCCATCAATTTCAGACGATCGTCATTGGAAAGGATGCCAAAGATGTTTCTCAAGAAGATGCTCTGGACTATGTGGCAGCTTATACTGTTGGGAATGATATTTCCTCCCGCAAATTGCAGCGCGATCCAAACTATGCGGGCAGAGTCCCTCAATGGGGATTTTCCAAGGGCTTTGATACATTCGCACCGCTTGGGCCTTGCTTAGTCTCCAGCGCCGGAGGAGCTCGCTTGAACGTTAAACAAAGAAGATGTCAGACCCAATAAACTTAATACAATGAATACAAAAGGTTAATAAAGGAAGCTTTGCTAGCTCAAGACTGCAGTTATACGGCAGAAAATTCTCTTAATCTTCATACCGATAACTCACTTGCCATCAGGACGAGCTGCGTGTCAAATGACTATTAAAGCTGCCCTCGTTACCCGGCTTCCTTCGTTTATCTTCTATTATATTAATCTATATACTTCAATACACCAAGCGCAAGTTAACCAACCCAGTGAGTACCAGTAGCCCCTTGGCCAGAGCACTAATACTGATACACCCGCAGCCATCAAACATACCAGATAACCAGATCTCGGCGCCTTCTCTCAAGGGCGATAAGGTTACCTGGTCTGATATAATAAAGCCTAAGGTTAATACTAGCAATCCAAAGCTTACTGGTTTCACCAAGGCTGTTAAGATTAGTAAACTCGATCTATCTAATCTTAATAGCCTCTCTGCAGAGCAGGTTAAGGCTTTATTTAACTTTAGCCAAGATATCCTTAGGCGTATACCCGAGGATAAGCTTGATATAAAGGTTATCTCGGCGATAAGAAGTAAGGGGCTAGTATAGTGCCAGTTCCTCGTATATAAGGCTGGATCTTTCCAGAAGAATGCCATCAACGAGAAGAGCAAATGAGGAGGCCTGCGGTGGCACTGACAAGAAGGAAGGAGAAGATGTGAGAAAAGCAGGGTTTAGAAGAGGTTAGCCTTAATAAAAAAGCTTCTTGACCTTTACACAGTGAGATTAGTCTCCAGCGCTTTGGTAAGAGAACCAAGAAACCTACATCTCAAAACGACGATAGATGGCCAAGTCAGACAAGATGAGTCTGTGTCAGACTTGTTGTTCGACTGCAAATATCTCATCTCTTACCTATCCCAAGGCACTACTCTTGAAAAAGGCAGTGTCATTATGACTGGCACCCCTGGTGGTAAGTCAAGATCTAAGACCGTGGTTTTCAGTGATTTTCCTTACTAACCATGGAAATAGGTGTCGGTGGTGATATGAAGCCTCCGAGCTGGCTGCGACCTGGGACCCGGATGGAAGTGCATATTTCTGAAATTGGGACATTAAGAAATGAAGTGGCTTACGCATAAATTATCACCTTCGATAAATTTTGTACAGGATGCTATGGGCAAATAAAACCTGATCCTGAAGTCTTCTTTTTGCGGTTTTATCTCACATCTCCTACCGTTTGGACTAAGTAGCTCTCCATATCAGTGGCACCAAAATCTTAAAGATAGAATCACGATATGCTCATAACGAGCGACTCTGTCCAAACTCATCTGGGAATCCCATCCTATCGTTTGTCATGAAATCAAAGTTAAACAATGATAGATCCTGGTGTAAGAAGCCATCGAAACTCCCAAGGGGCGAAAAAGCCCTGAATGGATCGGATAAATTGCCAATGTGTGAATTCTCACTCAGCTCAAGGTTAGCCACTACAGGCTCTTGAGGATGGCTTGATTCTAATTATGGATTTTGTTAGTATTCGACGACTACAGTGCTGAAAGGAGAAGTACACGCACCAGTCCATCTAATCACTTCCGTCAACTTTTGTAAACACTGCAAGCACCGCTTCACGGTGGTGTTGCCTTTGTCCAAGAGCCCCAGAGCCTCTATGCACTTTGTGAATAGCTCTTTTACTGACTCCGGTGTGCAGAGAGGTGGCAAAGTAACGTAGGTGGTTCTTCGTAAAAGCAACAAGATTGTGAATAATACGAGTGCGGCATCGAAAGCTGTCATCCAGAATACGTGAGCAACACATTTCATCCAAGAAGGGGATCGAGATTTCCAACCATAATACAAGGTAAACCACCAGGCACCAAGCATGACACGGCGTTCCCCATTTCCTTGCTCAGCAGCGTGGAGTATGTTGATAATTTCACTACTAGAATCGACGCAGTTTTCCACCGTGCTTACGACGACATCTGTCAATTCACTGGTTCCCAGGGTCGGCATACTGCCAGTCTGAGAGTTATTGATAACTTTCAGCAAACGGACTAGCACCGCGCGATGGATCAAGATCCGGAGATTATGGTACCGAAGGGCGAGAATGGTTCGGAGGCGATCGAGCAGTTGATCAGAACCTAGATGTCCCCGGTGCTCTTCTGCTTTAATTATGGGCATGTGCGGTGGGAGCTGTTTACACCATTCATTGATACGGCGCCTTAGTTTGAGGGTGCGTATTACCAGCTCATAGTCAGTAAGCTCATCTCCACAGCCCAAATTAGAGCCATACAAGAGATCGATTGTATCACCAATAATTGCGTATAATCGTCTTTGGACAATCAGGTTAGCCTCAAAGTCTTCTTGATACCACATTGCCATATGCAACTCACATTGTAGCACAGAAAAAGTCAGTGCTATGTCGGCACCGCTGCAGTTGCCACGGCTGTCGCGGCCAGGGCTCAATGCCATCATAGTAGCTTGGTAGCTCGAGGCGGGAATACGACTCTGGTATAGACGCTGGTCTTCCAAGTGTCATACTGAGGCTTCTATGGGGGCTATCAGTACCGCTTCACTGTCTTGAGGTATTGGGACAGAGTTACCTATCAAGAACAATGCATCCAAACCATGTTCTCTTGCGAATCTCACGCTCTAATGGCGGGAACTTTTTCAATGCCTCGGAGGAATGAAGCCCAAGCTGCAGAGCAACCTTGACAGCCAAACCATGTGTTGCCCAAGTTTGAGCCGAGGACTTTGTGCCCTGTCGATATTGGCTCACCAGAAGCAAGTATTGAACTATGTTTCAGAAATTAATATATATCTCGCCAATTCTCTGCCAAGCGAACTTCGAAGGAAATGACAACCCGGGATCGAAAATGGATGGCCTCTGCTATTCATACCTATTTCTAAACTCGCCCCGTTCATCACATGGTCATTACATAGACTATTCGCCCGGCGATAGAATTGGCCAGCCTTCTCGCTGCGTATCTCTGCGTCCGAAATAGGAGACGTCGAAGCGTGTGTAGCTATGGCTAAAACCATGTTGAGAAGACCAAGCCATGTGCGAGAAATTGCCATCGCATTGCTCTTGAGCTGTGCGTATGTGTTCCTGAAGCTTTCTTCGTGAAGATAGGGGAACAGAAGGCCGGTATCTGCGAAGTAGTTGTCGATCAACCCTGTAACCACTCCGTCTGCGGGCAAGTAATATATCGATGGCGCGGCACGCTCAGGTTCCGGGGCTGGGGAAGAGTGCCGTGAGACCCTGGCAATGTGGAACTCTGAAAATGACATATTTCCCTGGCTAGGAACGAATGATCCACGATTTTGTGACAAGCTCCATAGTGTGTGTGAAAGATCGGACGTAAAGGCAATACTAGAAGATGGCCCTGTGTCACTCGTCAGTTGTTTCTTTACATCAGTGTATCACGGATCTGAAGATGGCTTACCAAAGGATGCCCGGTTTTCCTCGTCTGCAAACAAAAAATGCCCCATGCCATCTGTCGGATCCTTAGATTCCGCGAGGCTAGCTGTAGGAGCGTCACTTGGAGACGTTAGTTGAGGGTCAGTGCTGTGGGCGTCGATATGCTCGGGGCTATCAAAGACGTTGTTGAGATTACGATTTGTCAGAGGAGCGGTATCTGTCTGCCCAGATATTTGCTGTGGGATGTACTCAGTTCCCTGCTGCTGTTGCTGTCGTTCAAGCTGTGCCTCAAGGCTTTTAAGACGGTGCTCAAGAGCCTGAAAATTCTTCAACTGGTCCTCAATGGACTGAATATGCCTAGGGATAGGAGAGACATAAGTTAAACGAACAGAACTCCCATAGCACTTGCAATCAAATTTACCATAGACTTACTCTTTGCCAACCATGACAGTCTTGGCTGGTTGTGAAGACGAGACATACTCGCACACCAGGTCTAGCTCACTGCAAGTACTGCATTTCGGTCGCTGACCGCTACACTGCTCATCTCATGCCAATCAATTAGCAACTCCAAGACTCCACATCCCCCCGATCTAGATCTCCTTGCCAAGACGTACGCGAGACTTCCTGTTTCTGCAGGAGATACATGCTACTCCGATTCGTCGTCTCTTGGATTGAGCCGGCCGCGGAGTCTCAGCCGGCGAAGATTGATTGGATAAGGCACCTTCGGCAGACATGTCGGGGTCTGGGGAGTTTCTGAGCAGGTGGACGCTGTGGTCGGGCAGTGAAGGAGATGAATCTGGGAACGGAGTGAAGAACGGGACAGTCGGCTTTATCTAGCCGCGGGACTGTCGGGAACTTAACCGGCTTAGTCGTCAACAACGGAGCCAAGACGAGTTCTCCACACTGTGATTCTGTGTGGATCCTCCTCCTCTGATGAGCTCTGAGTCTCTTAGTATCTGGGGTATGGGGTATGGGGCTGATCTACCCCGCGGAACCATCGGTTGGTGTCTGTCTCTCCTTGAAAGAGTGAAGAGGTACGAGTCAGGTAACCAGGGGTTCACAGCATGGCTGGCCTGGGTTGCGAATGTGAAATAGGCCAATCTCCCCCGTCTCGACAATCTAGTTGCTTACTTTCATATTCGATATACACGAGCTCTCTGCCAATACCATCACTTATTTACCCCCCATTCAACACCACCATGGAGAAAGGAGGAGAATTAAACATTGCTTCCGAGCACTTGGAGTCTCAAGATGAACATTCAGATACATCGCGACAACCTGCCACCGCCACCGCCGTGGCTGCGCAGATGACGGAGGAACACAAGAATTATATTCTTAAACGCCATAAAACCCTCGACCTAGATCCAATGCCTTCTGCCGACCCGAACGAACCGTATAACTGGCCTCGATGGAAGGTTTGACAACTGCCCACATCCTCCCCTCAATACATGCTGACAACTGTCCCTCCCAGTCCCGCATCAATCTTTTTCTGATTGCCTTCCATGCCCTTATGATTGGATTCGTGGCTGGCTCTCCTATTCCCGCCTTTGAAGCATTTTCCAATGACTTTGATGTATCTATCGATGCTGCTGCCTATATTGTTTCCATCCAGGCAAGACTATCCACACCACTGCGCAAAAGATAACTCACTGACAGTGATTTTATTCGCAGGTCGCCGTTCTTGGTGTAGCACCTCTATTCTGGAGACCTCTATCGGAGCGGTTTGGACGCAGACCTATGTGGCTGATCTCGACACTTCTATGCATGGTCTGTAGCATTGGATGCGCGTGCTGCACTACATACGCTCAAATGCTCGTGGCGCGCGCGTTTCAGGCTTTCTTCAATGCTCCAGCGGGAGCCGTTGGTCCGGCCGTGGTTGTAGAGCTGTTTTTCGCCAAAGAAAGAGGCCAGAAACTTGTGAGTCACCAGTCCGGTTGTATAATCATTGGCTAACATGAGTAGGGAATTTGGACGTGAGTTAGCTACATTATCACTCGAAAACAATACTAACATAAATGGACACGATTCCAGTTTGATGGTGACATTAGGGTATGGCACTTATATTCTAATCACTGACTGATACTAATATTTGGCAGAAACCCCCTCGGGCCTCTTCTCATGGGCTTTGTGGCAGTTCGTGTAGGCTGGAGATGGATATTTTGGATCATGGCTATACTCAACGGAGCACAGTTCATCGGATACCTTTTCTTCTCACCCGAAACCCGATACATCCGACAAGAGGCCAATCCCGTCTCACCTACAAAGCCGACGCCGGTCCAGAAATACTTGACATTTGGGAAAATACCCGGCTCCCAACCACTGCGACTAAGAGACTTTTGGTTGCCCTTTACGTCGCTTGCCAAGGCCAGTGTAAACACGACCGCTCTTGCGCACATGGTCATTTTCTGCTTCTGTAGCGTCTTGGTATGCATTGAGATCCCGGCACTACTCGGCAGCAAGTTCAATCTCAACTTCGAAGCTATCGGCCTCAACTTCATTCCATTAATAATCGGGTAAGCATTTGATTAACCCGAATTTGTTCCACTTTACAAAAGCTGATTGCAATGCGTCAAACAGAAATGTAATTGGTGAAATTGTCAGCGGTCCACTCAGCGACTGGTGGCAGAATCGAGCTATCAAAAACGGCATTCCGCCATTACCTGAAAGGCGATTGTGGCTATTCTACCCAGCCCTCGGGTTCTGTTTTGCGGGAATCACTGTGTTTCTGGTCACTCTAGATCAGGCTACCGAGGGCAAGTGGAATGTCCGCCCTGACATCGGACTAGCACTTGCAGGACTCGGCAACCAGATGAGCACAACAATCTTATTTACTTGTACGTCATCGACGCCAAATAGGTCTAATGGCAGACTCATATGACTAACTCTGCTATAGACGCTGTTGACAAGAACCCTACTCACTCGGGCGAAGTTGGAGTTATCCTCGTCCTTGTCCGGCAGATTTGGAGCTTTGTAAGTTTTCCCCAACTTGTGGCAAACGAAATATCTGACCTGAGCCATAGATTGGTCCGTTTTGGTTTCCTATTATGTTCAGGTCTATTGGACTCGGAGGTAGTGCCGCCCTGAGTTGTGGGCTTATGGCAGTGTTCTCAGGTTTTGTCGTGGCAGGGCAGCACATCTTGGGCAGCCGTCACGCCAAATAACATGCCCACAAGTGGTAGCCTCTAGTAGCGAGCGAAGTCCGAGCCCATATATTGCCTCGCCGGACGGCTTTACGGTCAAATCAGGTGGCGTGACATCCGGAACGCTACTACGTAGCTTGATCTAATCAATCTATTGCTAGCTACTAAGGGGGAATTGAGGTACTAAGGTTGATAATTTAGAGTGTTGTCTTTGCAACGGCATCATCGACGAGTTCTATTCACTTTACTACTGGAGACTGCATTATGGGAGCTTCGGCCTCCCAAATAAAGCAAAGACATCAATACTCCAATAGTATTATAGGACCGGCACGGTGAATTAGAAACCACGACAGTGTACGCAGATGCTGTAGCCCCAATTCTACTCTGCTCTCATGATCCATTAAACAATTACACTGATTGAATGGCAGTAAATTAATAAATTTCATGTTTTGTTTTTCTCTGCTCAAAAAAAAGCTTTTAGCTTCATCATTGTCCCTGAAGTCCTTACCCCCTGCACACCTGCCCCATAGAGTCAGTGCTCATAAAGTGCTCATATTCGCATATCAAACCAGCAGATAATTTTCAAGAATTAATAGGTCGGATACTTTGAATAATAACGGAGAGATAAAGGATTTTTATTATATTTATTTCGAAAAAGTCGTCTTTAAACCCTTCTGTGCTGAAACATAATCCGGCACATGCCAGTAAAAAGGTCGAAAGTCCGTGATCTTGCCGTCCTTCACCGTAATTACCTGCACCATCGGATGTCGTATAACCTCGCCAGTCAGCCTAGCCTTGGTTTCCAGTGTGCACAGAACAATGACTTGATCGTCACTCTCGATGAATTTGGCGTCCTGCACATCAACGGTCTCAAAGCAGTCACTCATTTGTGCTGCCCAGTCCGCATATCGCTCAACTCCCAAGTACTCTCCACCCCACGGCAAGTCCGGGGTTTGGTGTAAAACGACATCGTCTGCCATAGTACTGGCGAATTCGTCGAAAGAGGCCCCGCCTGCTTTCCCACCGGCCGCCATGTAACGTCGTTCTGCTTCGTAGAATCGGTTCAAGACCGCAATGGGGGAATCGGTGGCTGAGGGTGACATTGTGGAATGAACGATTGTGGGTTTCGATTAGTCAAACTTGAGTCAGGTATCTCAGAAAAGAAAATGGCTGTCTGCAGGGTTTTTCTGGTAGGATTTGCGAGAGAAAAAAGTAATTTATATCATGGATCATGGATCAGGGTTGCCCATACCCACCGTGGACACACTGCCGATTCGGCTAACAACCCGCGGAATATCGAGAAAGTACAAGTCTCAGACTAAATACATGAGTGTATTTCGGCAAGATCGGGAATTGTTTCCACTGTCCCACAAGCCCGACGTAATGATATGGAGGGTGGCGGGAACTCCGGCATATAAGCCGATGTTCCGCGGATGCATTAGCTTACGTTGTCGAATCCATTCTATCTAATCATATGGTGGTGTTTTGTCTCCCTCATTTTTAAATGAAATAATTTGAACCAGCCGATCGTGAAGTTTTGAATCTGATGGATTACATGTTCATCTAGACATTGCCTCTTGTCCACATAACCGCGGAGAAGTGGGAAAATGTCGATCGCAGCTCAACATCAAGTTTGTGCCTGGGTGGAAAAACCAGGACCAGATGCGGAGATCGAGCTCCAGGATATCGCAGTTCCTACACCCGGTCCAGGGGACGTTCTTGTTAAGTTAGAGGTGACCGGAGTATGGTGAGTATTAGATTATATCTAATTGTTCCATCCTTTTTGCACGCAACGGCTCACAAATTCCGCCAGTCACTCAGATCATCATTCCATCTATGGCAATACGCCAATGAGTACTCATGTTGCCGGCCATGAGGGTGTGGGAAGGGTTATAAAGAGTATGAGGAACCATCCGAATTTCCTCAGCCAAGGCTAACTCGTGTGCAACAGCTGGACCACAGGTTTCTGAAACACTCATCAACACCCGCGTGGGCATATCGTGAGTCTCAATCTTGAATCAGTGTAACAGCCTAGGAGTAACAACATGATCTTAATTCAAAGGTGGCTTCATGAAGCTTGTGGAAGTTGCGAAATATGCGCAGTGGAATATGTCCATTGCCCCAAACAGAATAATTCAGGCAGAGTGAGTAAGACACCATGATTTGCATCATTGCAGTAAATTGATTCTAACACATGGCAGAACGTGCCTGGAACTTTTCAACGTGCGTAAGCTATGTCCAGACATAGCTACGAAATGGAAATTGACCTCTTGATAGAATATTGCGTGGCAAAAGCAGCGTATGTTGTTGCTATTCCAGATGAAATTCCTGCCGAGATTGCAGCGCCCCTACTTTGCGGCGGTATTACTGCCTATGGAGCACTGATCAGGGCCAAATTGAATGTTGGAGACTACGTAGTCTTCACCGGTGCTGGCGGTGGCCTCGGCCACCTTGGTGTGCAGATTGCACGAAGTCTAGGCTATCGAGTCATAGCCATCGACGCAGGTGACAAAGCGACCGTCTGCACGTCACTGGGAGCAGAGCACTTTTTCGACTTCCGTAAGAGCGCCAATCTTGTCGAAGACGTCCGCTCGGTCACCGGAGGGCTCGGCGCACATGCCGTTGTCTGCATTACTGGTGCCATGAGCTCATATGATGAGTCTCTTCCTATGCTCCGAAATTGTGGCAAGCTGATATGTGTCGGCATTCCCCCGTCTTCTTACCGACTTCAGGTGAACCCTTTCGAAATGCTAGTACGTGGGTTGACAATTATTGGTTCAACCGTGGGAGACAAAAGCCAAGTACCAGGACTGATGGAACTAGTATTGCAAGGGAAGGTCAAACCAGAGGTACAGTTATTTAACTTCAACGAGCTACAAACTGTGATGGACAAATTAGCAGCCGGTCATATTATTGGTCGAGCCGTACTTCGTATGCCCCAGTAGGCATGTTAGAATCAACGGCATTCTCCTCTATTTATTTAAAGCATATAAGCTGCATGACCTAATAATGCCTGCTATAATATTAAGATGAAGACAGTGTGTTTCACGGCCAAGGCCAAGTAGAAGACAATATACTCATTATACAACCCGTAGAGATATAGATAGGCACATAAATTTTTATCGTATAAACCATAGAGTCTAAGATCTTGGCGCCACACTTCATTCATGTACAACTCTAAGATACTTACGTGGCATTGAGGTTGAGGAACATTAAATACTTGAGTTGGTAAGCCAATATTTCCACATGTTAAACACGGCAACATGAAAACCACCGTTACACTAACTCTGATCAGAGACACGAAGGAGATTGAAACAGCATCTGTCTTGATTCACTCATTGATTTTCTCCGTGCAACTCAAGGCGTGAATACTCTGAATACTAATCGTAGAGGAATATTTAAAGCTAATCTCTCCAAGTGATGGATTTGATTCGGAGCCATTCTTTCAATCCATCCCGTCCGTTAAAGCGCCCAAACCCGCTTTCCTTGGCGCCTCCATGGGGGAGCGAGGCTTCATCGTGGATCGTCATACTATTAATGTGAACAGCGCCCGTTTCTAATCTTTTGGCAATTTTCATTGCCCGCCGGAGATCCTCGGAAAATATCGCCGCAGTAAGCCCAAAAGAGGTATCATTTGCCAGAGTCAGTGCCTGATTGTCATCGTCGACAGTGTATAGAGACACTGATGGCCCAAAAGATTCCTTGTAGTAGATGTCCATATCTTGGTTTATTCCCTCAACAACAATGGGATGCATCCGGTTCTTCCCATCGCCATTTTCGCCTAGGCTTGACAAGTCCCCGTGCACTGCGACGGCACCCTTCGAGATTGCATCCACTACCAAGCCACGGGCCTTCAAGGCGCCCTTTTCGTTGATCAAAATAGGGCTTGGGCCGTCTGTGGGGAAAAACTCATCAATGGCTGTTTTCAGAGCCTTCTTGAATGTATCTGCGGCCTTTTTATGGACGATGATGCGCTCCGTGCTCATGCACACTTGACCTGCATGATTAAAAGCCGCAAGAGCACACTGCTGAGCCGCCAAAGGAAGATCAGCGTCCTCGCAAATGATTGCAGCTCCTTTTCCTCCAAGCTCCATGATGCAGGGCTTAATGTGTTTGCCGCAGAGGCTAGCAATGGAAGATCCCACCAATGTGCTCCCACAAAAATTGACCTTTCGAATCGCAGGATGGGCTATAAGCTGGCCGGTGATCCTAGCAGCGTCACTAGGTCTGTGGTAGATGGTATTAAGGCAGCCTGCAGGGAGACCAGCCTCATGAAGAATAGAGACGAAATGCCAATAAGTCGCTGGCGCCAATTCGGGACCTTTGAGTATAACCGTATTTCCTGCGGCCAAGGGGAACAAGCAAGCCCTTAATCCTAGTGTATGCGGCGCATTCCAAGGCGCGATACCTAGGACGACGCCATATGGCTCACGAATCACCATGGCGCTGGTGCCTTTCTCTTCTGGGTCAACAACAAAACCTGCTTCATTGCCGGCCAAGGCTGCCAGTTGGAAACAGATCTCCATCGCTGTCCCGTACTCAAACCCAAACATGACTTCGCGCACACCGGTTTCCGTTGTGCTGTGGGCCATGCTTATATGTCGGCGCTCCTTTAAGAGATGGTATGCGCGCAGAAAGATATCCCTCCTTTCCCACGGCTTGGTCCATCGCCATGTCTCGAACGCCTTCTCGGCAGATGCGATGGCAGATAGAACGTCATTTTCCTCAGCCGAAGAGCATTTCCACAGAACCTGATGTGTGACCGGGGAAACAACGTCGAATGCGCTTTCGGTGACATGTTGTTGGCCGTCGAGCCACAGCGGGACTACCGAGTCCGGTCCAAATTTGACGGCAGCCATTCCTCTTGTCTCTCGTTTAAGAAATAAGATATCTCAGTGATTTCACTCGTTTCTAGCACAACTAATATTGGGACGTGAGTTATCAGCCAAATCATATAATCACCATTCCTCGCCCGAAAAGGTAAGGCCCTGACCGGCAACTGACCCGCGCTTCCGAGGGACACTTGAATATGTGGATCTTAAACGTTGATCCCGTTTTCTTTCCAGTCCTCTACCGCGGCAGTTCGGAAAGCAGCCGACTACCCTATACTCGCAATATTAGTCGGATCGTGGTTATGCGCCTGGACAAACTAGTCCTCAAGCGCTCGTTGAAAAGATTAGATCTTATTAAATTTGTCAATTATGAATAGATGAAGACGATTGAATGATTACTCTGAGTGCTTTCTTCCCGGAGCTCCCGTGGGGAATTTTCTAACGGCTGGTGTGATCATGTGACCTTCCCATCTTGACGAAAGAGGCGTATTTCAAAAGATATGTAGTTCACCGTTTGAGCATCATTAACTGCACTGGGCAAAGTAATCAACCCTTCCTTTAACTTCGGCAACGCCATAGAGTAGAGGCAGTCGACTGAGCCGCAGGGAGGCTGAGTTGGGCCAGGGCAGCTAATTCAAATAAATGCAAGCGCATTATTCAAGGGTGAAAAGTCCAGTCACAAATGCGCACCTTTAGACCAACTATTTCGGGGGTTCGCTATATCCATCATCCAACCAGCTCGAGGATAGTATTAGATGTAAAAGGCCCAGTCTCCAGGGAGACGGTACACTTCTCTCTGTCTAATGTCTGTCTAATGGGAGCTTATGGCATTGAGGCCAGCAATACGTCCAAAGACAAGTGCCCGCATAACGGCCACTGCATTTGGAGCCTTGTCGTAGAAATGGCCAGTAATCTCACCTGCAGCATATAGATTAGGAATGATGCCTCTCTGGCCAAGAACGCGCGCTTCCACATCAGTCGCAATGCCGCCGAAAGTGTAGACAATGGCCGCGGCTAAGGGGAATGCGGTATACGGCGGAGCGTCGAGCGGCCTAGCCCAGTTCGATTTCGATGGTTGCAAGCCTGAGGTAGTGGCGAGATTATCAAGCCGGCCCGCCGTAAAGCCAGACATGTTTGCGTTACAGGCTGCATTGTAGTTTAAGATTGTGTTCAGAAGCGCTTGTTCCGGCACCCCCATCTGTGCCGCCAGACCAGAAATCGTGTCCGCTGTCACCGGCGGCATATCGGAGCGGATAGCTGCCTCATGGTCCTCCAATTGAAAAAATCTGGAATCACAAATTGCCCAGGCTAAGCGGCCCGGTGTGTCAAAATGTATGGTTCTGGAAAAATGCTCCCACGTGTCATGCACGAGTCCAGCACCTTCATCTACGAACCGCTTTCCCTCCTGATTCACCACAACCCCGTACGGGTAATTGAGGACCAGTGGCGCTGGCTGACTGCTTCGTGGGTCGATTACTTCGCTGTGCATTCCGTTCCAATCGCCAGAGGCCTTGGCTCCGTTGGCCAGCGCCATCTGGATGCCGTCGCCGGCGTTCCAGGCCGTCCCAGGTGATATCGGTCTCAACGTCTCCGCACCAGGACCAAGATGAGTACGCAGCATGTCTGGATTGCCTTGAAACCCACCACTGGCGAGCACAACAGACCGGGAAATGAATCGTCGCCCATCAGCTGCCTCAACTATGGCCTGTCCTCGGCCTAGATGAAGTCGCTGGGCACGGCAATTATACACCAATTGGACACCCTTCGATTTGGCTGATTGCTTGAGGGCTTCGACAATGGCAGCACCTTTGCCAATAGGCTGGATCCTGTTAGGCCAAGATTTCAAGAAATAGTCCATGGCGTGAAACTGCACCCCCTGCTTTTCGAGCCATTGGAGGGCTTCAGGGGCCTGGCTAGCCAGCCTTTCGAAATACGCGCGGTCGCCACCACTTCCGCTTGCAGCCACCATGTCGTCCACGAAGCCTGGTAATACCTCATTGACAGATGGCATTCGTATGTTGGCAGGGCTCCAGCGTGAGTTTCCACCGCTCGCATGCTCTGGTGCATGCTCTAGCACGGCTATCTGCGCCGAGGGCGAGAGTTCTGCAGCTGATACTGCGGCGGCGAGGCCGGCAATGCCATGACCAACTACGACAAGGTCGTACATGCTGATATACTCGAGTCTGAAAATCTTAGAGGACTAGGCTTCAGGGTGTTGGTGGTCTATGTCTCTTGGAACACTTCTTGGTTGCGGTATTATTAAATTGAGGCTCTCACGTGCAAGCTTCAGATGCTCGCGGAGGCGGAGACTGAGACTACGACGGCTCAGCTCGCCGCAGTTTAAGCGGCGAAGGATTGCTGCGGCGCGCCAGTGGGACGGACGTTGGTTACATTGCAGATACAGTAAGCAAGATGCGATTTCTTTGGATACGGCTGTACTCCCCCGCCTCTGATAACCCTCTACCTTGACCTGTGTGTCTGGATCCAAATGATATTGGGTGCAATCAGCAATGGCATCGATATTCCACCCTCTCAGCCCCGATAAATCCGAAATCAGACTTCTCATGATAAGCTCTGAACCGACCGGGATGAGCTACATTGTTCACTGAAGGTTGTCTCTCTTCTGACCAACCCGAAGTTCGAGGCATTGACATATGTTTGGGGAGATGCAACTGTCAAACATGACATCACTTTGCAAAATGTCCCTTTTCAGATTACCTCGAGTCTTCGTTCTGCACTTTATCGCCTACGGCAACCGTCACAGCCGCGGATAATATGGGCAGATGCTCTCTGTATCAACCAATGTGATACATGGGAAAAGAATTATCAGATACCACTGATGGGCACTATTTATCAGAGTGCATCTGGTGTAATAGCTTGGCTGGGCAATGCGACTCCTGAGCTAGAATATTTCGCATGTTGGACAAATGTATACTTTTCAAGATACCACAAACTCCGCTCCAAGCGTTGGATCAAAATAAACCTCTAGTCAAAACTTTCGAAACAAGGCGTAAAGCAAGAAGATAACTACAATTATCGACTCTTCTTGGGACAAGAAGCTTTCGAAGCCCATCCCTATTTCAGTAGGATGTGGACAATCCAAGAGTTTATTCTTCCGCAAACTGTCGATATGTGGGTCTCGAACGGTGATCCTGTTTTTTTCAGCCGCGGCACTTCGGAAAGCAGCCGATTACCCTATACTTGTAATCTCAGTTGAATCATGATTATGTATCTGGCTATATACATCCTCAGGCGCTCGTTGCAAAGATTATATCTTCTTAAATCTATTAATAATAAATAAATAAAGATTATTAAATTCTCCGTCTGAGTCCCTTCTTCCTAGACCTTCCGTAGGTATTTTTTCTTATAGTTAGTGTAGTTATATGACCCTTCAGTCCTGACGAAAGAGGCGCTTTTGTGGCTTTTGGCATGCGTAGCTCTAAATTCACGATGTCTCTATTCAAAACAATTTGCGATACTAAAACTTGACCATTATATATCAGTAAATATATTTATAATGTGTAATCTGAGTTTTGTGATAATATTCATGGTTTTTGCAGCGAGGATTCGGATAATTCTGGTAGAGCGTAGGATAAGAATAGGTAGTGTACAGCCAATAAGAGAGCATAAAATTATGGATACACGACCTTCATTTCTCTCAAACAGCCAGCAAGTCTATTTATAGACGGGCTTCATCACCTGAGGACCTCGTTCGTTTGAGAAAACAAAAAGCCTATGAAATCATTTAGTAGTTGAATCTCTTAACGATTATTTGAAGGCATCCCGAAATTCGCATGCCGCTTGCATCGATCGCGTTTTGGCGCGTTACGATATAGGTTTTGCATCGCGTCATAGTCAACTAAAAACGCGTTGAGGCAATAACAATTCACCTTAGTAATCCGAGTCTCAAAATTCATGAGAGAAACGAAACAAAAGGCACTGACAAAGACTGGATTATTTCTGCTTCCCCACTTTGAAATGAATTGTGGAGAGACTGGTTAAATCATAAGCCGCTTTATTAAATATGCAGATATAATCGTGTGCCAGACTGAATTGACTGCCTAATAATAGCGACGAGCCTTCCCGGTGTTTATATAATGATATAACCCTCCGTTCATCTTTAATGAAAGAAGTGCATTCATAGCTTTTGGTCTGTGAATTACACGATGCCTCGATTCAACAGCAACGTAATATTAAATCTTGGATCTCGCAGCTTCAGCCGTCACAAGGCAAGTTTTCCCCAGACTTCTAGCTCCATTTGATCCCTCCATGAGCGTATTGGTAGGCTCTTCGCCAGATGCTGGTTTTCTCCACCTCCACGCTTGGATGCACGGGCTGTCCATCCCAATATTTTCCATCACATCAACAACCCACTTGCCAATATTGGGTAGAAACTTGAAGGCATGGCCACTCCCGCCTGTAGCGCACATGAGACCTTTCTGACCTGGCACGCGATCGATAACAAAGTGGTTGTCGAACGAATCAGTGTACCAACAGACACGGCTCTTCCAAATATTTATTCCCTCTTGGCCTAGCTCTGGGAGGTATTCGTCCATGAATTTACGAATCACCCTGTGCGCCTGCTGGGGTATCTGGGTGAGTGTTCCCTCATTCCCAGTAGTCCACCTGGTAATTGGCACACTCCTCTCCTTGCCGTCCTTTTGGACTTTCGGGTTGGTATATTTCGTACCGCGATACCCAATTTTCAGGAGCCCACGTTCGTCAACAGGGAACCCATAAAGACCTCCTTCCGCCCCGTCACGGACTTTGAAGGTGTATGATGGGAAGCGGCTAGGGCTAAATCGTTGTCGAAGTTGAGATGACTGTGGAATCTTTAAGAGGACGACAGACCCAGCAGTGGCCTCGCAAAGGTCGTCAAGCTCAGGCAGGAGGGATGGAGTCCAACCTCCACAAGCCATGATAGTCATGCCGGCAAGATGCTTTTTGTTGTCAGCGGTGCGAATTCCAATGACCTGGGAGTTGAGATCGTAGATGAACGAGGCAAAGGCGCCGTTGAAGGGGTCCAGGATGAATCGAACGCCCAGCGACTTAGCTTTGTGAAGTGCGTAGAGGCAGGCCTTGTCTGCCACAGCTATCCCGCCGGTGGTGTCCAGAACACCCAAGGTCTTCTTGCTGAAAGGATTCATTGCCGGGAAAAAGCCCTTCTCCTCGGCGGCGTTTAGATCCGCAGGTTCGTTGGTGATGAGCTGTGTCCTCTTGAATCCGGCAGCCTCCATGCACTCGACCGTGGCTCGTTCGAATGTCGGCAGGGAGGAGTAGTCGCCACAGCTGAGGTTCCCACAATTGAAGAAGACGCGATCGGAGGGAGAGAAGCCAGGGGGCAAATCAGCTCCTCTGGCTATTTCCTGATTCCATTCGTGCCATGAGCGAAGGGCATCTGATGTCAGCTCCTGGTAGATTGTCTGAGAGCCGTAGGCGGAACGAATAATTTTGTTGATGTCTGGCTCATAGCGCAGCAAAGAGTTAGACAACCGGGACCTTCAAAGGATGGGATTTCTTAGCATCAGTCAGACTTGGCTCACCTGCAGAAGCGGCATCACAGCCATCCAGATAGGAGTAGAGAGTTTTTTCATATGGCTGCTTATCGAACACAGTGATGTTTGTGTACCCACGGCGGGCAAGATGGATCGCCGTACTGAGACCAAAGATGCCTGCGCCGACGATGATGATATGCTCCGGCTTGGTAGATGACATGATGTGATTGCTGAGAGGGCTGGCTGCCTAGTGATTGATAATGGGGTGCTGAAGGTATTTCCGCGGGTGGAATACCAATAGCAATAACTACTCAAGCTACGGTCATATACTTGAAGCCGTTAATATTGGAAGAGACGAAAGCCAAGTTATTCTGCAAATGGGTTTTCAGGGCCTGAGTTGGGACCACCAATCAACACTCATGCATTGAATGTGTTCTCGTAATACTGGCGGTGTAATGCGCAGCCGAGAAAGCTGTTGGGCGATGGAAATGACGTGAGCTTGGAAGGGCGGACAGTTCCTTGCGAAGATGAGATAGTGGCCATGCATATGATTAGCCCATTTGTGTTATTACTTCCCATTAGTGCGTACACCGAATCATGTTGTGTGTGGTCTAACTTGATTCGAATCTGGGGTCTACAACGGAGAAAGCCTGAGTTAGCTAGATGGCTATGCCGAACGTGGTTGGAAAACTAGGGTTCCTCGGATTCTCCCTATCGGCCAACCAACCTGTATTACTCGATGTCGGCCCACCACGCCATGCCCGATATTGATCTTGGTGGTAGATAGAACCCTAGCCTCCGGCATCTCCCAGGGGAGTTTCCATCACAGCTTGCTTCCACACGCATTGACTGCAGCTGCCCGAAATGCACAGCACTAGGCCCAGGAGTGTCCCTGTTTCCATTTGATTGTCTCACGGAAGTCCCCGTTATGCCTAGAGACTTTCCCCAGCGCTATCTTCTGGCCCGCTTTCCCCAGATACGCATCCCCGTGACCCTATCTAACGACTGTGCTCTGGGCGTTGTTAACCGGCCGGAGAGACTAATAATCCCAACCTGTCACGTTTCTAGTACCAACTGTCTAGATATAGATCCAATCGTCGGCCTTGACCTCTTGACCATTCTCTACCATCTTCCAACAGGTTTCCCCAGAAGAGTGTGCCCAGTACGAAAAACGAAGAAACAAGACAGAAAACAGTTGGTTTCTACTGACTTACCTCCTGAGTTTCTCTCACCTTTGCCCTCAGAATGACACTTAAACGCATGATTCTCAACTCGACCCTCGGGCAGTACATAAATACGATTCGTAATGCGCCACGGGAACTGATTTTCAACCGTCGCCTCCTTCTAACCGTGGCCATGTATGCCATGAGCGGAATTCCCATTAGTGAGTAGCAAGAAGAATAACACACTCTGGCTTCTTCAAGTATGGTTTTAACGGCTGTCATGTAGCCTGGGACCAAGGTTCAGTCTCTGTCATTTATAAGCTCCCTAGTTGGCAGGCCGCGTTCGGATACTCTGATGCCTCCCAATCCGCCGTTTCCAACATGATCTCCTTTGTCTGGATCACTTGCGGTCTCGCCTCAGGTCTCTGCGTAATGCTCAATGACCGGATTGGTCGTCTCTGGTCTTTCCGCCTCTATAGTCTTGTCTACATGATCGGCCAGCTTATCGCTACATTCTCCAACGGAAACATAGGTGCCCTCATCGCGGCCCGCCTCGTGGCTGGCGCAGGCATCGGCCCTCTGACCGTCACGGGCCCGCTGTCCATCGTCGAAATTGCCCCAACCGAAGCCCGAGGACTCCTGACCGTTTGGTTTAGCATCGTGATGCTTGCCAGCTTGACACTGTCCACCTTTGTTCCTTACGGCGTCTACGTCAACATGCCAACCAGCACAACCGATAAGCTCCAGTACCAGATTGTTTACTTCCTTCCAATCATCCTGCTGACACCGGTCATACTCTCGTCCTTTTTTTTGAGCGAGTCACCACGCTGGCTCGTCCTCCAGGATCGCCATGAGGAGGCAGCCGCTGAGCTTGTTCGCCTACGTGGCCTCCCAGAGACCCATCCCCGTGTGGCCTCAGAGCTGGCTTCCATTCGAGACCAAATTTCGGAGGAGAGAGCGCGCTACGGACAGGGCGGGAGTAACTGGAAATCTGTTCTCCGTGAGACGTTCCTCGTCCGTGCCAACCTGCGACGAGTGCAGATGGCATTCATGGCCTATGCCCTGGCCCAGTTGAGCGGTGCCAACGCCGTCACGAGTTATCTCGTCAAGATCTTTACTCTATTGGGTATGGGAAATGACGTGAAACAGCAGCTGTTCCTAAGTAGCATGTACTCGTTCGCAAAGTTTTGGTTCACCATTATCGCATCCTTCTTCTTCATTGATGCGCTTGGTCGCCGAATGTCACTCTTCATTGGGATTTCCCTCCAGCTCATCTCTCATCTATATCTGGGCATCTTCATCAAATTTAGACAGGAAGGGGCCCATATACCCTCCTCGGCCTCCCAGGCCGCTATAGCAGCCATTTTTATTCACGGTTTTGGCTTCGCCATTGGTATGTGTCCTCTCCTCGAGCTTGGCTCATACGCCTGAATGAAGACCTGAAACGCTCACTGACTGTGCATTTAGGCCTCCTCGTTCTTCCATATGTGTTTGGAGCAGAGATTTGGCCCAACCAGATCCGGAGCTTTGGTTCCAGCTTCACCCAGCTCACCCATTGGTTCTTCGCCTTCGGCATTAGCAAAGGAATGCCTTCTATTCTCACGAACATGGACAACTGGGGAGCCTTTATTTTCTTCGCTGGCTGGTGTCTAGTCTCGCTCATTTATGTCTTCTTCACGGTGCCTGAGCTTGCTGGAGTCTCAGTCGAGCAACTCGATGATCTATTTACAGGACCCTGGTGGCAGATCTACAAGAAGTCCCGCGGGTGGCAAGCCAAGGACAACAATGTTTTGCAGTCCGTCAAGACAAAGTAAGTGCCATACCTGACGTGCCCTTGATCATCTAAGTGCGGATTCTCATGCCTTTCATTCCAGTGGGTCTGGCCAAGACAATGTTGATGAGCCCGATGGTGGGAAGGTCAAAATTGACGCTCAAGCCAACAAGATGGTGTAGATGGGTGGAAAAGACGCCGATTTGTTGGTTGCGGTCCTGCCTCGTTAATCATGTGCCCGTAACTGCTACCCCCTCAATTTCTACTTTGTGATTTTCTTTCACTCGATTCGCGATGATTGACTTGGGGACGATCAGTATTAGAGCACTTGAATATCCAACTGAAATCTAGTAATTCCCTTCTATTTTCAAATCGCTCGTGCTAGTGGCCAACCATTGATAATGACTTCAACAGCATATAATAGACCACCTTCCGCTACCGGAGCTTAACAGGCCTCAAGTTGATATATGTTCCTCACCCCAACAAGCTGCTCGAGCATTCTCCTCATCCATCTCATCATATTACCATAAGAGCAAAGCTGGTACTGTCTTGCCCATTTCCGCTCTGCTAGGCCAAGCTGCATCTTAATCTTCAGGCACAGATGATGTTATTCGATACGGAAAGAAGGCTACTATTGGCATCTAAATTATTCAGAAAGGACCCGACTTGAATAAGGATCGTGCATTGTAGTCGATCTGGAACTTGGTGTCCTGGGCATGATTGTTCAATAGGATGTTGCGATTACTAGCGAACTATCCTTGAGGCTATAATAAGGCTAGATGTTCCTACACGATTGGGCAATCACTCAAATGAAGGCCGATTCTTTCCCACTTCGGTTCGTGGCTATATTTACAACTTCTGACTGTTCTATAAAACTTGGTCCACGACAACCTCACTGGCTGTATTGACCGGATTTATTGGTCTTCCGTGGGTGAACAGTGATCTAATGTTCTCGAAACACTCTCTTTCCGCCTTCCTAAATGCTGACTCTGTCAGGCCGCCCATGTGTGGCTGGCAAATGACCTTGTCGCTTGTCTTGAAATACTTATTGATGCGAGGCTCATTGTCGAAGACATCCAGGCCCGCCCTCTCCAGCTTGCCGCTCTCGAGCGCCTGGATTAGCGCGTCCTCGTCGACGACAGGTCCTCTGGCCGTGTTGACCAGGAAGGCACCCTGCTTCATGGCTGCGAACTCGGCATTGGAGATGAGCCCCGTTGTCTTCTCGTTTAATGGGCAGTTGACGGAGACGACGTCTGAAGCCCCCAACAGCTCGTGCAGCGTGGGGCAGTAGGTTGCGGCGTATCTGGACTCCTCCTCGGGATCCAGGCGTCTGCGGTTGTGGTAAAGGATTTTCATGTTGAACACGGCGGCCTTGCGGGCGAGATACTTGCCAATGCTCCCCATGCCGATGATGCCGAGTGTCATGCCGGAGGGATCCTTGCTGGGTACCAGACCAGCTTTCCAGGTTCCATCGCGGGCGCCACGCTCGGCACGGTAAGTATCGCGGACAACGGCCAAGGTCAGGAAGAGGGCCATGTCGGCAGTGGCCTCGGCGACAGCATCGACGGTGTTGCAGAACCAGATGTCATTCTTGGTCATCCAGCCAACGTCGAACTCGTTGAATCCGGCTGAGGCAGACGTGATGATGCGACAGCCGGGCGCTAGCGAGGTGAGAAGGTCCTCGTCAAAGGGTTCGTAGGGCGGGGTTCCCATTCGGATGATGAAGGCGTCGATTGGGCCATGCGCCTTGATCATGGCAGGCAGCTTAGCCTGCGTCTCCTTGCGATTCGTGGCATTGAGAACCTGTCGCATCGTCGTTAGCTTTTTTGTCATCACGACGCGGATGGAGGAAATTCAAAGGTTCAGTAATCACATCGAAATCAAAGTCCTCCTTGAACTTTGCTAGGAAATCCTCCCCAACGTACTTGGGCGTGCCGAGAGCGACAACACGGGGCTTGCGTTGCAATTTCCCAGGCGACATATTGGCGGTAGGTAGATGACTTGACTGTAGACAAATGAACTCGTCAATCGATATTGAATAATCAACCCTCGGTGATAAGTGCAGTCGAAATCAGAACAAAGGATGCAGAAAGTATTATGATAGCGGAGCAAGCTTGGTTGATATCATCAGACAGATGGCCAGTGCCGGTTGATTAATCCCTGGAGTTTGTAATAGTGGGAATAGTCTCATCAGCAGCGTTATTGACCCCTATAGAAAGAATCCCAAGGCGTATTTTCATTTTCATTGCAATGGATCCATACTGTTCTGGTCGGCCGATCAATTCTTGCTACTCCATGTCGGATTCTTCCGCCACTCCACCATCTCGGGTTCCTCCGAGTCAGACTCTACTCCACCACGCAACTCCTAACCGGAGCTAGTGTGTGCCAAAGGACTTGGAGTGGCGGGCAGTAAGGTTTCATTCTTGACGTTCCCTTCCTCTCCCTCTTGATAGGGATAAGAGGTAGGAAGCGTTCCATTGGCTCGCGAGTCGAAGCTGAGAGTGAAGCAGAGAAGGAGGAGCGTAATCAATGTTGGATTATGATAAGAGATCACCAGCCAAAGTTTGAATTAATTCCATATTTTGCAAGGCTTATTACCGCCATGACGGCCGGGCTACTATCTGACTTAATCCAAGATATCCCAGCCACTCCTCCTCTGGACTTTATAGCGACTGGTATTGGGGTAACTCAACCACCCACCACTTGTGGCTTAAGACTCCAGTCGGAAGCCGATAGCGGCGGATGATATGTGCCTTTTACCAACGTTTGTAGCAGTTGAGTTTAATGTTGACAGTTAAGAAAGCAATATCATAGCCACCGCTACAGGCTGTTTTGAATAAAAACTGATTAGCACGGTTGTTCGGGTAGAGGAATCTGAAGGGCAGCAAATTGCTGTCTCGATAAACAGCTAATCCGCCCAGCAGCCTAAGAATACAGATTCTTGGGTCCCTACCACCGTTCGCGGCTCGGAATCGACAAAACAAAATGTGCCATTCCCATCCGTGGAGCCCCGGCGCATGGCAATCTGCGGCGTCAAATCACCGAGGATGGGCCAAACATTCATCGCGAGATTAAAGATGAGTTGGTAAGTGTAGCCAAGTGAGTTTTTGTGGATTGTGGGGAGAGTAGCACGAAGATTGTAGGACTTTTGTCGGAGTGTAAGCATATTCCACCCTTTGCTGAGGCCAAAGCTTGTAAACTAGGCTTGGATAAAAGTCATCACCAGAATTACGCTCACATTCTTGACTTGAAGTCTCGTGACAAGACGTTCTAATCCATGCATTTAGTGGTCGAGCCATGTGTGAGTACTGGAATCCGATATGATTTGGCGGGGTTTAGCATCAGACCATAAAAAATAGTCCTAGCAATCAATCATCAAAAGTGGCATTGGCCAATAGTATAGTCCAAGTTGAGGCTGACCTATGATATCCTTCATGTTTACAACAAAAACTCTGCGCCAGTCTGCTTCAAGATCATCTCATACTCGGGGATAAACTGCAAGTACATTACGGCAGGTGACCCAGTACCGTCCTTGGTGTATCTGGCTTCTTTCTCTCCGATGTAGGTCTTCTCAATCTTGCCACTGGCTACGGCAGCCTCTACGAGAAGCTGCGTCTCGCAGGCCCGCTCCAGGGCGATGAAGAATGCTGCCGCCTCCGCAATGGTCCCGCCACTGGTCAAGAGGCCATGGTTCTTTAAGATGAGGTTTTTGTTTTCGGAACCCAAGGCATCGGCGATACGGTAGCCTTCTTCTTTGGCAAAGACAACCCCTCCAAAGTTGGAATACACAGATAGGTCGTTATAAAACATGCAAGAGTCTAATGATAAAACATGATACGTGAGTTTCGTAATTGCAACGCGAAGATGAATATTGTGAATGGAAGAGGTCAGGTTAGAAGGTTGAAAGGGGAATGGTTCTTGCAAGGCGTACCCTGGTTTAGCATCTCTATGGGCTTTCCAAACGTCGACCAGGCGCGTCCAAAAGGACTGTGCATGTGGCAGGCAGCATTAATATCAGGTCTTTGCTGGTGGATGGCAGAGTGAATCATGAAGCCAGCAACGTTGACTGGGCCGTCAGCGCCGCCGATGCGATTGCCTTCCTTATCGATGTGGATCATGTCCGAGACTGTGAGCATGCCAAAGTGAGTGCCGTAGGGATTGATCCAAAAGGTCTCTGGGTCCACGGGGTCTGCTCTAGGCCTGGTAAGTCATCTACATAGACTCAGACACATACAGGGGCCAACCGTGACAGTGTCTGGCTAAAGGAGTCAAGGTACAAATGTACGGACCTCTCAGGCTAATGTGACCACTCGATCCATCGGAGAAACCCAACTTTGCGAAGATGCGGAAAGCGCCTGCCATCTGTTCCAGTTGCCATTGCCGTTGAGCCTCCTTTGTCTCTGGGTAGGCAATGCGTCGGGTACGCTTGGTCTCGGCGTTGAGTGCGGCGAAGTCAGACCGGAGCCTGAGGGTTGCCGAAGGTTGGGTGATTACGGTTGAGGACATTGCTGCTGTGCTGTGCTGTGCTGTGCTGTTGAGGATAAAAAAAAACAATTGATATTGGCGATGCTGGTTCTCAAGATTGAGTCACTTGCAGGTTGATGGCCGTCCAGGCTGCGTGTCCCAGAGCGTCTCATCTTGATTGGCGCCGCCTAAATAACGGCCATGACTCGGCTTCCCCCGAAGAGTGGCAACAGGGACACCATTACTCAGGGCCCGTCACCCATCTGATTGAAGACCATGTCTTCGCGTGTGACTTGTGTTTACCCTCTTTAAACGGCAACTGCCGGCATGGTGAGAAGTGGTGGGGGGATGGCTTGGCTCTTGGGAGCTGTCGGCGTGCAGCTCTCTTTATGGGAGATGCCGGGTTCTATCAAGCGCGTCAGTTGTTTCCGATGGAGGAACGGGGGACAAGGAAACGAAGATTGATGGGTGGTGCTTCTAGCTTACTTGAAACTCTATACAATGCATCCGGGTATTACAATGCACACGGGGTATCGTGCAGTTTGCCTAGTGAATTGCATATCAACCCTGAGTATCAATCTTATATTCCCCTTCTCGCCTGACGAGCCACCGCTTAGACCATAGATCGCTGTTTACCCAGGGCCGACTCATATAAACACGCATACACATTATATTGGCATATATATACACTATCGATTCATCATCATGACTCCAAGCGCCATCGACAATCACAGTGCGAATCCTGTGTGGGTTGACCGGAATGCCCTTCGTACAGACTTTACGCTTGCCATGTCGAAAATGTACAAGGCTGAAGTGCCCCTTTACGGAGACCTGGTCGAGATTGTGTCCAAGATCAATACCGACTTGATGCAACAGTCTTCTCTGGACCCCAAGGTCTTGTCCCTGAGATACGGAGACGAGCAATCCACTCGTTTAGACATAGAGCGGCACGGCGCCATTCGCCTCGGCACTCCGCACGAGTTGAGCACAATCCGCCGGCTTTTTGCTCTTATCGGCCTGTATCCTGTCGGATACTATGACCTCTCTGCTGCAGGCCTTCCAATGCACGCCACCTGCTTCCGCCCAAGGACCGCGGCTTCGCTGCTAGTGAATCCCTTTCGCGTCTTCACATCAGTCCTGCGGCCCGAGCTCCTTGAGGATCGAGCCACAAAGGACCTTGCGTTGGAACTCCTCTCCAGACGAACCATCTTCAGTGACCAGCTCATGCGTCTCCTAGATGTGGGAGAAATCCAGGGCGGGAGGTTTACCCAAGAGCAGGGCAGGCAGTTCATTGCTGAGGCCATCAAGACCTTTGGATGGCAGTCCACCGCAGCTGCAACGCATAATGAGTACAGTCATCTCCGCTCGGAACATCCCATCCTCGCAGACATTGCCTGCTTCCGTACTTCCCACATCAACCACCTTACCCCAAGGACGCTTGATATCATTGCCGCACAGGACCAAATGAAGGCTGCTGGCATGCAAGTCAAGGATAGGATTGAAGGTCCTCCTGCACGAGCCTGCCCCATTCTACTGCGCCAGACAAGCTTTTTGGCCATTGAGGAACCCATCAGATTCACAGTCGAAGGTGGCTCATCACTTCTCGGCGGCTCCCACAAGGCACGATTCGGTGAGATCGAGGAGCGCGGTGCTGCTGTAACGCCTAAGGGGAGGAGGTTGTACGATGAGTTGCTCGAGAATGCCATGAACCAGGCCAGATCCTTAGAGGGAGAGGGAGGTGGAATTTCACCCGATGCCATAAACGAGGTTGTCAGCCAAGTCTTTCAAGCATATCCGGACGACTGGGATGAACTGCGGCGGCATGGACTCATCTTCTGCACTTACAGGTGCACGACCAAGGGTCTGAATAGTCGACTTGCACTAGGCAAGTATAGCCTTGAGACACTCGTTTGCTTAGGTATTGTAGAAGCGCGGCCCATCACGTACGAGGATTTCCTTCCCCTCTCGGCCGCGGGCATTTTCCAGTCAAATCTCGGCTCGAAAGGATCCCCCAAGGAGCACGTAGCTCGCCCAGATGAACGGGGCATGGAGGAGGCACTTGGTGCCGCGCTCGAGGATTCGGATGAGCTCTACACAAAGATGCAGAGCGACAGCATCATCGAGTGCGGTTCTGCTCTATCTATTAGCATCGAAGTCTAGGCAACAGAGGCACTGGCTCTAGCTGAAAGCGATGTTCATTTCTTCCATAGTTTGTGATTCACGTTAGCTCCGATTAAAAATTCCAAACATACAACATGCAGTGTCGTTCACCATGGCTATGCCCCAAACTGAAACTGTGCACGTCCACCATTTAGCCATCTGCATCTGGCAGCTGCACATTTGGCAGCGCATGGTCAGGGGGCTGTTGTGCCATTGGGGCAAACATCTGATCTGTAGCACCCGTCGTCTGCGGATCCATGAAAAGGCCGGTCCCCTCGTTAGGTATTCCCAGAAAAGGCATTCCTCCATCCCCGTTGATCCCCATCAAAGCATCCTGATCAAATTCCCTGATACCGTGAAGCAGTTCTTCGACGAGCCACTCGGACTCCTCGGGTACGGGGAAGTCGTTGATGCCCGTCAGCCAGTCCTGGAACCCAGTCTGGTCGTTGACTTGCGCCAGCTTCGACAAGGGGGAGGCGCCGGGCAGCCCGCCAGATGTGATTGTAGTCTCGCCACAAACCATGCTGATCGTCTTGACGGACAGGAGCTCAAAGATGTCGCGGTATCGCGTCGCAAAGCTCCAGCGTTCGGCCGTAATGGTGAGCACCATGGTGCACGCCATGCAAGTGTTCATGACTTCGGTCTGCCTGGTCTTGGCTCGTACGCTGCGGCACCTCCAGAGACAGAACAGGTACGTAAGTCCGGCGAGGAATAGAATGTGCAGCGATCCCCATGTGAACTGAATAGATGAGCTCTGGTAGAGCCGGCGGTAGCGCATGCACATCTGTCTTGCTGAGTAGGCGCACTCCTCGAATATCCTATCAATCTTCTCCTGCCTCTCCGCCGGGTTTTGAATAGCAACATGCTGTTCGCCGATTATGTGATGGCGGTATAGGAGAAGGATCGAATGCTCATACGCGAGCTGGAACCAGTCTCGTGATGCGAAGACAGAGAGAGGGTCTGCTGATAAGATGAGCTGGTCTGGGATGGAGAGTCGCCAATCCTCGAGCTCCTGACGTAGCGTGTCGATGAGCATATCAGCCTCCCCTCCGTCGCGACGAGATGTCGTCAGGTACAGAGACTCGGCCATCTTTGACCAGAGCCTTCGAAGCCTGATGTTATGCAAGGCCCCAGTCATCGTCGTTGGCGGGTCGCCGGGGGCCGATCTTGGATTCTGCAATATGCCATCCCGGGTGATGCTCTCGTCATCAACATCGAGAGGCAGTTCCACATCCACCGAGCTATCAGTGATGCCGAATGGACGGCCTAGAATCAGCCCAGCTGCGCGGTCAAGATCATAGGCAACCCAGAAGATACGCTTGGAGATCTCAGCGGTCAGGGGGTCGGCGTGCCTGCGAAATTTGGCCACGTTTCGATGGTACCCAAGCTCAATGCACTGACGGATGGCCATACCCGAAATCTTCCAAAGGCTGACTCCGACAGGCGAGCGAACGGAGTAGACAGCGCAGCAAAGAATCGCTTGGACGGATTCGAATGTTTCAAGGTCCAGTACCGGAGCGATGTAGTCCAGCGCCATGTGATAGTAGGACTACCCGCCGCATATCTCGGTCAGCATTCAATGACCACGATTAAGAAAAGATTTGCTTAAACAAACCTCTGCCTTCTCTCTTTGGCCCGAGGGCATGACAAGGGATCCAATCGCGTAAATCTAGCAAGTTAGTTGCATGGAATCGGCTAACTAAAATCAATCAATCAAGACCTACCATGAGAGTGAAGAACATGGACATGTGTTTGGATTCATCAAGCTCCCCAAGGAACTGAGCCTCCGTGCACTCTTTTTGCCAGTGATTGAAAGTTGGTCTATGTAGGAAAGGATACTGTGGGTGTATATTATTGAAGTAGGCCTTGACTAGCCCTTCGGAGACTTCAGTTGGGGGAAGCCTGACGGTTGGACTTCGTCGGCCGTCCAGCCGGTCTCTCGCCACGCCGAGCCGGGCGTTGCCTTCATCCCCGCTCTTTGTCAGTCTCAGGGTCGTACTCACAATCCTGGAGAAGGACAAGGCTGAGGACGGGCCAAAGTAATGAGGTTCACGACCCGCGGCGCTGAGGCAGAGCAGGGCCACGTCACTGGAAAGTCCGTCGACCTCTTGCTCCGGCTCCTGAGAGCCTGCTCTGTGATGTTGGCCTGCGGCAGTAGTGGTAGGAGGGGGAGGGTTATCGCTCGGTACGTAGGGATAGTGGTCCACGGCGACATCTGGGCGGACTTGTTGGAGTAGGGATTCTAGATAGGCGACTCGCGATTCAAGAGACTGCATGTAGTCTCGCGGGCGGTGGAGCCCAGTCGCTGGGTCTTCAACGAGGCACTCTGCGCCGACGACAACGAGTGAGCGATTGTTGTTTGTCGTTCACAGCACAGCCGGGACCGAGAGATGATGTAGAACATACCTCTGCCTGTGCGTACGCAGTTGTGGCATTTGGGACTCTGCGCATCGCACTGTATCCGGAACAGCTGTCAGCTGCTTTCCGCAGAACGCGAAGGGCATTTGTTCTCGCCTTGAGCTTCTTGTGTTTACAGTGTATGCATGCCAGCATGGTCCGCTCACCGACACGAGGCCGCTTAGAGCCATGGGGGTTCCCGCTGGCCCCACGCTGAGAAGTGCTCATGGAGAAATGCGAACGAACAATGAGATAGATGGTTAATGCTGGCTTGGGAGATGTAACGATACGGTTCAATCGCCCTTGTTCTCCCCAGCTCCGATGCCAAAAACTGGGGCTTATTAGTGAGGGCTTGGCAAATCGGCAAATCCCGACCTACCTTTTAGTTGGATGAGGCTAGGGCAGGTACTTGTTGTAACTAAAATGACGCATGTGATCGATAGACGCGTTATGGAACAACTTGCTTCAATAATTACCAGTATTTCATCTCCTGACAGTCTCGTTATACACTGTGAAAGTGGCATCTTTGTGAATAGCCCATGTTTTTTTGCCTGTCTATTTTATCACTATAAATGCCCTTGTAAATTTTATCATAGAAGCCACTTTCTAGATAAACCTATCACTACTCCTATCAAATCACTCTTCTCCTTCACTCAACTATAGAGCAAGGTTAGTAAACTGGTATTTTAGGTAATTTATAACTAGTAGATAAACCCGTATACTTTACTTATACTGTAACTCATGTAGAGTAAGACAACCATGAGAAAAGAGTTATACTTATGTTTGTTTGAAGGGGTGTTTATAGAGTAGGTTTAATAAATAGTGAATGCATTTTTTATAATGTCTGAGTTCGTTAGGGCATAAAGTCACTTATCTTGTTGTAGTAATAAAATTAATTACTGCCTCACAAGCTCCCCAAGTAGATGTAACTTCTCGCAAAGGCGTGGTTTTGTGGTGTACTAGCTTGTGCCCTATGCTATACCATCTGACGATCTCTATAGTCCGATCTGTTGTCTATTCAATTTTTGTCTCAACAAGTTGCCTCAATCGCCATTCCCTCGCAGCAAGGGCGAAAGATCCAGCAGCTCCCGGACCGAGGCACACCGTTCCCAGTATGTTCTTCCACATGTCTCGCATGCTGTCCCGAGACTTGGGTGGAGTGGCACTTTGCAGCAGATGGTGGGTAAAAATGACACAGGCTGCTGAGAGAAGTAGTGCGTCGAGCTGCGTGAAAAGATGTGCGCCTTCCAAAAGTGCTTCTTGAGAATTTTGGGGTGCTGTATATACGTTTTGCGGCCTCGGCCAGAAGAGCCGGTGCAAGGTCAAATCAGACGTGGAGGGTAGAGCAAGCGCGTTGGCGATGACGTACAGATGTACGGCTGCTGAGATAAGACCAGTGGCCAAGAACGAGGCCACAACCCAAGGGACATCTTTATGGGGGGCTTTCTTATCCTTGGGTGATTCGAAGACAGTCAGCGATGTTCCAGGCCGGCTGCAGAGAACCACAGTTACGATCATGAGCATGGGCGTAAAATGGTAGAGCCCAATGTATCCTTGATGATCGTGAGAAGACCAGTTTTGCCACGTAGGAACGAACAGCAGAAGAGGGAACAAAGCATTGGCGACGACTGTGGGTGGAAAGCCTCGAGCCTCATTAAGAGGTATAGTCGCATCGCGGGCTGTGTAGCCACTACTGCAAATAAGATAGAAGTATATGGGAGTGACGAAAGCAGCGCCAGCAATGTTCCACATGAAGATGAAGATGATGGTACTATTAATACAGTCAGACCTGTGACAAGAGCTAGGGGTAAATGAGAGCGAAACCAGCACAACTTACTGACGCAGGAAAGGATTCCGGACTCCGCGACGGCGGCTTTCTATCAGCACCCATGTATCTATTGCCCCCAGTAAGTTGCAAAGATGGAACAGCAGCCATCTGGGCGCATCGGGTTTGGCGTTGGATAGCAGATCGAAGAAGACTACGACGTTGCTGAACTTCTGATCAAATAGGGCATACCCGGTGAAGGTATTGCGAAGTAGCCGGCCGTCTGGAAATTTGCCCGTCTGAACCACGTTCGACACACCATCCAGGGTGCCGTTGACTAGCATGACGCCCCAAAGCATGATGCAGCCAACGGCGCTGAGCGCCAGGAGCGATCTTGGAGACTCCATACCGTGTTGGGCCGATGGCAGCTGCGAATGTCTGGTTGGCAAAGAAGTCTTCATAGAATCGGTTGGGGAGTTGTCCTCGTAGGACAGGAACTTATTCACAACTATCTATCTCCATCGACTGCGAACATCATATCTCAACAAGTTCTGAAAGCACTGTTTTGTAAGTGGAGCTTTGGGACAAGACAACCTACTGTAGGGAGCGGAAAACAAAGACCGGGCCGTGCCTGTGCTGAGATGGGACACGGGACCGGCGTCGGGGACCGGAGTGGCGCTCATCTCTGCCGATAAGACCGTGATTAGAGGTTTATACGTGGTTCTTGTCGGAGTTGCAGCCCGCCTGGACTGGCTATGGATAATTTACAAGGAAGACATAACCGAGTTTCGGGCTGTATCTCTCCATCTTGATTCTTCCAATAAAACTGGCGTCATGTCATGCAGAGGGCTGTAAGATCCTGCATGTCAGCCATTGCGGCCGACTCTCTGCGCCGTCCAACTTCCCGCTCCTGCAGGAAATTCTCTCAAAGTGGTGCACCGTACCAAAATTTGGCCAATGAGCGGACATTAAGATGGATCATTTTCATATGATCGGAGCTAGATGGCCAAGTAAGCCCAAGTGAACTTGCTGAGCAAGCAAGACACCGGCTTCTATCCTCGGCATTTCGCGGCCGGGGGCACCGACAAGGAGAATAAGCATGCCGCAGCCAATCAACTAGCAATGATCTTCGGTGCCTATAGAATGTAGGCGTTTGAACTTCAGTCAGATCACCTAGGCTTGTAGTAATCGATGGAGTAATCAATTTATAGACGTGCTTGTCGCTTTCCTATTGTCGATCCCCAAGCCCTCGAGATAATATCCGCTCCCATTTGGGCACCGAAGCTCTTCTCCGCGTATTGCATGTCATCAATTCCGTTCTTTGGCTTGACTGTCACACGCTCTTGAAAAGATGAATGGGAAAACTGCGGACGGTCGCTTCAAAGTCATCATTGTTGGTGCAGGCGTCAGTGGCCTGACTCTAGCTCATACTTTCCACCAAGCCGGCATTGATTATGTCGTCCTCGACAAGCATCCTGTGGCTCCAGCATGGGGTGCCAGTATCAGTATCTTCCCCAATGGAAGTCGAATCCTCGACCAGTTGGGGCTTTATGATATAATGAATACTAAACATACCGAAATGCAATATTTCCACTGTCGTGGTTCTGACGGGAAAACGTATTGTGCTGAACCGTTTCTCAAGGAGGTCTCGGATAGGTACGCCCTTTTCCTTCTCAATAGTTTGGGCTAGTGCTAATGCATTTAGTTCTGGATATCTGGGCATGACGATAGAGCGGAGAGTCTTTCTGCAGACGCTGTATGGCGAGCTTCCTGACAAGTCCAAGGTCATTGAACATGCCAGAGTTGTCAGCGTGGTAGAGGAGAAAGGTGCGGTCAAGGTCGTGCTTTCGGATGGAGTTGTCCACGAAGGTGACATCGTCATTGGATGCGACGGTGCACACAGTGCTGTCAGGGAGATCATGTGGGAGCGCGCCCATCAGCTGTCTCCCGGTCTGATTACTGCCAGTGAGAAACAGACAATGAAGGCGACATATACTTGCCTTATTGGTGTCGCCCCCTACCAGCACGGCTTAGGGACCAACGTTCTCAGCAGCGTCTCCAACGACAGATTCTCATTCCTGTTTCTGACGCAGCCGGAACAGATCTTCTTCATCGTCCCTATCAAGATGCCGAACGGCCAAGTGAGCAAGTATCCGAACCGCCTACGGTTCACCGATGAAGATGTCCAGGCCGAAGCCAACAAAATTCTGGACTACCCCATTTCAGACACTCTGGTGTTTGGCGACATTTGGAAGACTCGTGTCCGGGGCCAATTGGTTTCCCTTGAAGAAGGGATCCTCTCGCACTGGTCCTATGGACGAATTGTCCTGTGCGGTGATGCCATCCACAAGGTCACCCCGAATGCCGGGCTCGGCGGTAACATGGCTATGGAGAGCGCCGTCGTTCTGGCCAACGAGATATTCGCCACCATCCAACGGCATCCGAACAAGAAGCCTAGTGACGAGGAGATACGTATTGCATTCAAGAGATACCACGAGATCCGCACACCAAGAGTAAAGGAACTCTTCGACATTAGCTGGTTGTTGACACGCTTGCAAGCATACGATGGCTGGGGCTGGTATTTTGTCCAGCGGTGGATCCTTCCGTGAGTGCAATTCCTAGAAATACTCATTCAAACAGCACATCCCCTAACATGTATCTCAACAGCTTGATATTTATGAAAGGGGCTCAACAGGTTGCCGCGTCAATGGCCGGTGCTCCCATACTGAGCTTTATCCCATTCAAACAACGTTCTGGCAAAGTTGACTGGAAGAAACAGGATTGGGAAGTTGAACCAAAGGTCAAGCCTCAAGTTGGGCAAAGCAAAGCTGCATTAAATGGGCTCATCGCTTCTATTGTAACTTCAGCATTCATCGCCTACACGGCAACTGTCTGGTATTTTGGAGGCGGGATGGAAAAGCCGCTCTTCTTGGCGAAAGCGCAACTTTCAGCGATAGCTACTTAGTTATCCTCGCTTCACTCTGGCTTTGAGACTTGCAGGAGATAGTGCTGCATAGCAACATGGCTTAAAGGCGAAAATCCACTTCAAACTTTCAGATCTGTTTGCCTACGTGACAAGCTTCATGTAATTGCGATAAAAAATACGAATAACTATTCGAATAGTGTGACTGAACTCATTTGTGACTGGAACTCCAAAATATGTCCAGGACAATTGATAGTCTTGTAGTACGCTATATATAGTCTTATAAATAGTTCATATACACAGCTATCCGAAGAGAATGAAAATAGAGAGTGTCTTAGGTGTAGCTTTATTTCAGGAGTAGAAAGAGCCCATGGATTCTTTAAATGCAAATCATCGACCGAGAAAGATACCTAATGATACTCATAAATGCAATATTTTCAGACGAGGGTGCCCTTGTAAATCCGTTACAATCTAGTATTCTAATTACTACAGGAACACATCAATAGACTATCCTACGAAAACCTTCTCTTCTTCACACAATGTCGTCCCCTTCACAACCATATATCTCAATCATGCTGTCTGCCCCTTCTCTAATCATCGAGACCGTCAACCTGTCAAGTTCAATTTCTTGCGCTAGGATACAGAGTCAGTGAAAAGTAGCTATTGATTAGGGTTTTGGCTTTCACTTACTCCGAGGAAGAGAGCACACACCGCGCTTAGGGCACAAGCAGCGACATTGAGGATCCAGACATTGCCGATACTCTTGGCCACCTTTTCCACAACTCTCGATGCGAGTTCAGAATCAAGGCTTTGGAAGGCAGCACTGCTTGTTCCAGCCACGAGATCATGCACGAACTCTGTCGGGGTATCTGCAGGGAGCAGTGGCGCAATGAGCTTGGCGGCCGTGTTGGACATCACGCTGCCCGACACCGCAAGGAAAACGACAGTCCCCAGAATTTGTGCTTGTACAAACGTGCGTTAGCATCTACGCTATGATCTCTGGTATATCATGCAATGAGAGGTGGACTTACAGACTCCTGCGAAACCCACAGCGCTTGCTACGTCCTCGACAGGTACCAGCGCCTGGATGACGGAAAATCCGGCCACGACGTAAGAGCCTATTCCTGCACCAACGAGAACGGTGAAACCGTATATCTTGGCTGCCGAAGTGCTAGAGCTGGCCGTTGCTAAGGAAGAGTTAGATATACGACTTGAGAGACTGTCGAACAGACCACTCACTCATAAGGCCAGCTCCGACAGAGCTCACCACGGCTCCCGCAACGAACCATGGGAAATAGTGACCGGTCATGGGCATCACAATGCCGTTGGCGAGAGAAAAGAAGACAAGTAAGCAAATGAAAGGTAGCAGTCGTATACCGGCCTCCATAGCCTCATCTCCCTAAATAGCATAGAATGATTAATAGTTTGAACATGAGCCAGGGAAACATAAAATTTGCTTACCTCCGTGAAAGCAAAGAAAAGGGGAATATAATATGCACCAGAGAGCATCACACCTGAGGCCAGGAATGTTTGAAGAGCCAGATTCAATATCTCAGGGCGTCGGAAGAAGTGCGCTGGGATGAGGCGGCCTTCCTTGGTGCTCAAAGGATGCCATATGGTGACAGCAATAGTACACAGCAGCAATACTCCTGTCATGACCCATAGAGCAATGGCTGAGCCAGAACTCCATGGGTAAGTCAGGCCACTAAACGTAATGGCCATTGTGAAGCATACAGAGCCGCCAATGAAAATCGTAGTTCCCACCCAGTCAAGCATGCCGAGTCTTTGGACCAACGGCTTGCCAGCCAGCAGTTGAATGTTGGGCAACAAGAATATGTAAGCGGGGGCGAAGACGACGCCAATCACGAGATTGATATAAAATGCCTGCAAACACGGTGAGTACATGCCTTCGGTAACAGAGGGTTGGGCTGAGTGACTATACCCATCGCCAAGTCGCCGAGCTGATAGCAAAACCGCCGCCGACCTATCACCATACTGATCAATGTCATATTTCTCCCCGGGTTGTCGAGTTGTGTAGCAACATACCACAGGCCCGAGAACACTACCAATTCCCCAGATGACGGCAGACCCGCCCATGTAGGCAGGCCGTTCCTTCATTGAAGTGGTAAAGGCAATGTAGCTGAGTGCCCCTGAATACATGCCGCAGCCTCCAACGCCAGCAATGACTCGGCCAATGATGAATGCTGTCATATTGGGCGCCGCACCGCATATGGCGCTTCCAATCTCAAACAAGATGATGTTGAAGATGAACAACCACTTCACCGAGAAGATGCCATAAGCCTTACCCCAAGGAAGGATAGCTGTACTGCCAAGCGCAAAGCCCGTGCCTATCCATGGCAAGAGCTCAACATGACCTAGTGTATTCAAGATTGGCACCTGAATAGCAGCAACCTGTGATGTTTATGTGAGATGGGGTTGTTCTTTTCGAGCCTCGAGAGGATTCGGACGTACAATGGTATTGTCGAGAGCAAACAAGAAGACGGTGGTCAAAATTGAGAGGTACACTATAGCCCACTGTCGATGAATCAGTACTCACAACCTTTTCTAGATGTGTATAGCGGTACATATGATAAGGGGAACTGACCTTCCATCCGTGAACTTGGCGAGGCGATGCTTGGCCAAGGTCTTGCTGAGACGAGCTGTCGCCGCCGCTGTTGTCAACTGACACTGCATGCTTCTCACCGGGAGGTTCCATTTCGCGTATACGGAGCGCCGAACGCGTTGATTCTAATATTTGATAATATTTGACAGGGGTTTCCGGCAGTGGTGCATCCAAAGAGGCTGTTAGACTTGGGCTGAAGGGTTTTTATTGGGTTACTCGCATTGCTCGGTAAATTTTGTCCGCGCGCGCGGACATTTCTTGCCGTCCCTTGCTTATGAATCAAAAACAAAGGCAGCCTGATGCATTTCTCAGCTTTTGACATTAGTAATTGAATTCAGCTCGAAGAAAGAGATTTCTACGCCTGATGACTCATTTCCGGGTTGCACAGCATGTTGGCAGGACGAAAAAGATGCTGTGTTGGCACTTTCAAGGGATGATGCTACCTCGACGTGTTACCCGGGCGTGATGCTTGGCTCTTGGCAGTGCAAGTTGCAATGAGCAAATGGAAAAGATTATAGCACGTTGTAGATCTTCGGTATTTCTAGACAATTCCAATGCAAAATATGCCTTGCAAATCCTCTTCACTACATACGTAATATCAGCAACATAGTGATTCTCGTTGACAGAGATGGAATGAAATTGGCGATACGGAGTTAACGTCATTAACTTATAAATAAAAGCCTACTGAAACATTACCGCCGGCTTCATTAAATACTATCGCATTATACGATATTTATCACCTCTGAGCCTGGATGGTAGTCTAGGGGAACAATCACAAAAGGGGCACTTAAATATTCCGAGAATCTGTTCTGTTCGTACTAAAGTTTACCAACACTCCCGAAAATCACTGTTTTTTGTTTTGCGCCGCTAAGAATTCATCTATCAAGCCTCGATAATCACTTGGCTTATATCGCATGAAGGCCTCAGAGATCGGATTACTCTTCCGCGCGGTCTTGATACCAAGATCTCCCGCGAGTGTGTCGATGTACTGCAATGCGGAAAGTTAGCAACTGAGTTTACCACGGGAGTACATCTACACCCGGGAAGCTTACCGACAAGTAGTCGAAGATGCAATAGGAGTGCTTCTGGCCCATCTCGAGATGTCGCTTTCGAACCCATGCGTTGAAGACGGCAACTTCCATTTCCATCTCGTCCAAGTTTGGAAGCTCAAGCATGTCAAGCATATAAGCAGCATTCCATAGGGCCTGAAACTCGCTGATGGTTGGTGTCACTATGACATGGACCAGCCCTGGGAAGCAAATAGACCTGTCGCCCGACGCAGCTAGTTTGAGAGGGATCAAACGTCTGTAGTGTCTGTTTGGACCGTGAAGAACTGCCTCAGTCTTGACGTCGACAGAAGATGATGCAGGAGCATACTCTTTGAGCATAGGGAGCAGCTCGTCCACTTTGTTGCTTGCCTCGGCATCTAGCTCGGCCCATCGAGTTGCATCGGCTTCGTCGTATGTTAGGCCAAGCTCTTTCCGTAACTCACGATCGAATGGTCTGTACGGCTTTTCAAAACCTATGCAGGCAATCACCATATCGGTTTGAACCGAGATGCCGTTCTTGAGATTGACGACATTCAAATGCGACAGTGACTCGACCTCGCTCCGTATAACGTTCAACTCCCCCGAGTGCATTGTCTTCCAGAAATTTGGGGCCGAGGGTGCCCCCAAGCCAGCACGAGCCCAGAACATTCTACAACAACAAACTTAGTTCTCTTCTTGAAGGCGATGAGGTAGGGTGACTTACCCATAGCCATGCGGCTCGGGTCGAATTTTAGCAAAGTTATCGTTTTCGGAGTAGCCTGCAGCATAGTCGGCAAGGAAGTTGGCAAATCTCCAGAAGCCCCTTGCTGCAAGGCGACCAATTCGCGTCCTCTGGATTGCGTAGTACCAGAACCCAGAAGTCCTCATTATACTTGGACTAAAGCTAGCCATGGCCCGTGTTGAAAGTGCATCAACCGTGTTTATCACGCCAAAGAGACTCGGGGGACCCATGGCAATAGGGCCTCCACCCTCCTCCCGAATGATCCAGTCCACCTTCTTCCCGGCTTTGAGCAAGAAGTACACCGTATCGAAGGCTGACTTAGCCGCACCGACAACAGTTGCACGCTCGACTTTGCTGATCCGATCGAGCTTACTGCCAGTATCGGCCGAATGGATGACGGGTTGCGTGAACCCCTTGCTTGGCCATGATGGTTGCACAGCGCTCGAGCCGGGCCCAACCGCCCAAATCAGCTTCTCAGTAATCACATCAGGGCCATGATCGAAGCTGACAAGCCAATTGCCCGATGATGATCTCTTCACCTCGGTTACAGTTGTCTCCAACTTGATCTTGGACTCGAGCCCAAAATCACGAGCGAAGTTATTCAAATACTTGTTGATCGTATAGCCTGGGTTGAGTTTCATTGTCAGTATCTCTCGTGATATCAGAGGAAAGACATTGGAATACCTGATAGGAATCCATCTGGTGTGATCCCTTCTCGTGGCATGTCATAGAAACTGTATTCGAAAAGTGGGTGGCTGACTTGAGCGTACAAGTCCGGGTACAGTCGTTCCTTGCACCACACGCCACCAATTGACCTCTCATTGTCGACGATCAGGAGGTCAGTCTCTGGAGCGAGGTCCAGGTACGTCTTGGCCGAAATTAGGCCAGTCCATCCTGCAAGATTCTTAGCGATCTGTAATCTCTAGCGGCGTGGCCTGAGAAAGTGCGGGCTTACCTGCGCCGACCACGAGGACCTCTCGATGATCTGTAGTAGTTCCAGGCATTGTCTTTTTTTTCGCTTGAACTTACAACAAATCAGAAAGTCAATGAAAAACTTGATACCATGATTGCGGGACTATGGTTGGGAGAGGAAGAGGGAGAGGGCTGTATTGAAAGCAAAACGGCAGGTCGTGCAGGCATCAGCCGTATCATTCATATCGGATGGAAGTCTACTCAAGCCAGCTGCTGAGTCGGTGTAATCCGGTAGGAAAGTCATTATCCGTGAGATTGCACGCCTTTCGCGGACAGCATTTCCCAATCAGCTCGGGGCCCTAAGCCCGCTCAAAAGGGCCTTTCGCGGCTGGCTCTCTCGGCCGGCGCGGACAAGTAAGCACGGCCTCATCTTCCGAATCTGGAGATACAGGTCCAGAGGCAGGGGGAGAACGGAGTCCGCCGGTGTCTGCTTGTTGGCCTCCACATCTGACGTTCCAATCATTTCGCGGATCCGTGTCCGTCGCTACCATGAAGCTTACCCCTGTTAACCGCTTTTGATGCTCCCGAGGCGGTAAGGCTGAGTTGCTATATGGTTAGACTCTGTTCGCTCAAGTAGTTTTCACAGTTCAAGCCCAAGTTGCAACAGTTTCAAGGTATTTGATGATATAGGAACGCTGGCATACTGATGAATAGTTCACGTTTCAAACTGGCTTCCTGGCATATCAGTAACGGCTTGACTCATTGATCTCGAGCAAGCACAACTTGCAAGTCATCAAAATTTGCAACTGCGTTCGAAGACAAAACAGAAACTATATTCCTCAAGATGCCTTTTCTCCGTGGCAGCGCAAGCCCATCTCCGGAGGGAACAGAGGCCAGGTCCGAAGCAAGCTTCCACTACCAGACGCAAAATGCCGTGGTGGATGATGACACCTATGCGGAGTTCTCGTTGCCAGGCAGCAATGAGAAACCATTGAGCGAACAGCTAGAACCTGTCGCAGTTGTTGGCATGGGTAAGTTATTCTCGAATAATGGTATGAATTATAACTGACGTCTTTAGGCTGCCGCTTACCTGGTGATGTTAAGTCGGCCTCTGATTTTTGGGAACTCATGATGTCGAAAGGCACCGGCCAAACTCCCAAGGTACCGGAAAGCCGCTTCAACATCGATGCCCACATTCACGAGAACAATGATAGGCCCGGAAGCTTCAATGTTCTCGGTGGGTATTTTCTAAATGAGAGCTTAGAACAGTTTGATCCGTCCTGCTTCAATATCACACCAATTGAGGCCATGTGGATGGATCCCCAGCAACGAAAGCTCCTCGAGGTGGTGTATGAGGCTTTCGAGTCCGCTGGTGTAACTCTAGATACAGTATCGGGTTCCAAAACTGCCGTCTTCGCTGCGAGCTTCACTGCCGACTTCCAGCAAATGGCATTCAAGGAGCCGGCGTTCCGACACTCCCTTGCGGCCACGGGTGTCGATCCTGGCATTCTAAGCAACCGAATCAGCCACGTTTTCAACCTCAAAGGCCCCTCTATTGTGGTGAACACAGCCTGCTCATCTAGTGTTTATGCTTTGCACAATGCGTGTAATGCGATTCGAAACAAGGAATGCGTCGCCGCAGTGGTGGGAGGGGTGAACCTCGTCATGACAGTCGACCAGCACATGAACACTGCCAAGCTTGGTGTTCTTTCACCTACATCAACATGCCGTAAGTGTCTATATTGGTTGCAATATCCCCAATTCTTCTGCGCAGGCTGCCTTGCCCATCTTTGTGTCCGTTTATAGAGCGCAATTCTCTGCTATTATTGAACAAAAACTAACCTCTTCTTAACATGCAGATACGTTCGATGCTTCCGCCGATGGTTACGGCAGAGCAGAGGCCGTCGGTGCAGTGTACTTGAAACTCCTTAGTGACGCTGTGCGAGACGGCGACCCCATTCGTGCCGTGATTCGCTCCAGCGCAACCAACAACAATGGCAAAGTCCCTGCCGTTGGCATCACGCACCCAAACCGCGACGGCCAAGCCGAAGTCATCTCCCATGCTTATTATCGAGGTGGAAATCTCGATCCTCGCATGACGGGTTTCTTCGAGTGCCATGGAACAGGAACTGCTGTTGGAGATCCTCTGGAGGTCAACGCAGTCTCCATCGCCATGAACCAACAGCGAACCTCTAGCCAGGATCCGCTCATGATTGGTGCAGTTAAAACAAATATTGGGCATTCTGAAGCTGCCTCGGGTTTGTCTGCTCTTATCAAGGCTGTACTCGCTGTCGAAAGGGGCATTATCCCGCCGACGAGAGGCGTCGTCAACCCCAGCCCTGCCATCAAGTGGAAGGAGTGGATGGTAACGGTACCTACTGAGCCAACTCCATTCCCAGATCTTCCCTTGAAGCGATTCAGCATCAACTCTTTCGGATACGGAGGAACCAATGCACACGTCGTCGTCGAGAGTGCCGATGCTCTCCTGACACGCAAGCAGACTTACAAGTATTTGTCTGGGGAGAGAAGAGCTCTCAAGAGTCCTCGTGGCGCGTTTAATCGCAGCCGACCCTACTTGTTCGTGTTCTCAGCGCATGACAAGAGCGCACTGGAGAGAAATTTCACAGCTCACAGTACTGTCGCCAAGAGTTATGACTTCTTGGACCTGGCCTATACACTTGGCAACCGACGAACAGTGTTTCCCACACGAGGCTTCACCGTGGCCAAGCAGGAAAGCCTGCTAGACGGAAAGCTGAACGACCTCGTTGTAGGTTCCAAGAAGAAGATTCCCGTCATTGGATTCATCTTTACTGGTCAAGGCGCACAGTACGCCCGTATGGGTGCAGAGCTCATGCGCTATTACCCCAGCTTCCTCCGCAGCATTCGAACGCTTGATTACACCTTGGGTGAGCTGCCCCATGTCCCTGAGTGGACTCTGGAGGATATGCTGCTTGAGCATCCCGATACTTCTCGGGTCAACGAGGCCGAATACTCTCAACCTCTTACGACTGCCGTTCAGATTGCTCTTGTCCAGCTACTCCGTACCTGGGGTGTCCACCCAACTGTCACTTGCGGACACTCATCGGGCGAAATTGCAGCTTCCTACGCCGCCGGTCTCATTTCAGCTAGTGAGGCTATTACTCTGGCATACTATCGCGGCTATGTCGTACGGGACATCAACACGGGTGGATGTATGATGGCGGTAGGCTTAGGAGCCGATGCTGTCCAGCCGTACCTTTCCGGATACGAGGGCAAGATCGTCATCGCTTGCCACAACTCTCCAGCCGGTGTGACTCTATCTGGAGACGAGGCAGCCATTACGGAACTGCAGCAGACATTCGTTGCTGAGAAAGTGTTTGCACGCCAGGTCAAAACAAACGGAAAGGCATACCATTCGCCGCACATGGCGCCAGCCTCGGCTCGCTATGAAACTTATGTCAGACAGGCCAAGAGCAGTCTTGTTCCTTTTGACATGCCTCTTTCTACTGATGCAAAAATGGTCTCTTCGGTGGTCAATGCCGTTATTCCTGCTGGAACGCCCCTGGATGAAACGTACTTTAGCCGGAACCTACGCCAGCCGGTGCTGTTCAACCAAGCCGTCCAAACAATTCTCACCAATTCTGAGTTTTCGGATGTAAATCTACTCATTGAGGTGGGCCCTCACGGTGCGTTGGGTGGCCCAGTCCGTCAGATCAAGCAAGAACTCGAGGCGTCTCACTTGGACTACTTGCCGACCATGGTCCGAGGTCAAGACTCAGCTATGCAGATGCTCAAGCTTGCTGGTGAGCTGTTCCTCAGGGACTACCCTTTGGATATTGATCGCGTCACGTCCATCGAAGAAACGACCTCAGCGGGCAAGGTCGTGTGCAGGAGGGGAGATCTTGTCGTCGATCTTCCTCCCTATCAATGGGGCAAGAAGTCTTACTGGGCTGAGGCTAGGCACAGTATAGAGCACCGACAACCAAAGTATCCTAGGCACGATGTTCTGGGTTCTTTGATTCCAGGTGCTTCTCTCGCTGAACCAACGTGGCGCAATTTCTTGCGGATTCGAGATCTGCCATGGTTGAAGGACCATTCGCTCGGCGGTGAAGCAGTGTTCCCGGCGGCAGCTTATTTCTCAAGTAAGTGGAAGATCATAAGGAACTCGTTGGAAAGAGTCGTACTAATACATGATATCGCTATACAGTGGCCATGGAGGCAGTGACACAGATTACGGAACTGCATGATCCAGACATCGAGGTTAACAACTACGTTCTCCGTGACATCTCGATTAAGAAAGCACTAGTGACTCCAGAAGACGATACTGGCATCGAAGTTCTCATGAACATGCGACCAGCCACATTCAGCGGTGATGGAAGCTGGTGGGACTTCAATGTCTCCTCCATCAACCAGGAGGGAATCACCACCGACCACATGACTGGAAGCATCAGCGCCAATATGAAAACACAACGACCAGCTCCAAGGCCCCGGATGAGCCTGAGCCAGCAGGCTTCCGGGAAGGAGTGGAATCAAGCACTGCGATCGGTCGGCTTTGATTACGGCCCCGTCTTTGCAGACATGACTGATATTGGATTCAACGGCCGGGATTATATTTGCACGTGTAAAACGCAGATCAAACAAAAGTCTGGAAATGTAGCGGGCGAGTCCCGTCACGTCCTCCACCCAGGAACGGTAGACTCTTGCCTACAGTTGATGATTGCCAGTATCTACGCCGGCCGCACCAAAGCCATGGCTGCAGCCATCGCTCCTATCCAGGTCGACGAAGTCTGCATTTGGAAGCCGACACAGGAGCAAATTGGCGACGGTTTCGCGACAGCTTGGGTCGATGATCGTGGAATTCGCTCGTTTGTGTGCGGGAATGAACTCGTGTCCAACAATGGCGAGGTGCTGATGCAGATGAGCAACATGCGAGGAACTCTTTACGAAGCTGCCGTGCCCCAATCTTCTTCCGGCGCTTTGAAGCCAATGCCGTACAGCGAAACAATCTGGAAGGAGGATTTGGAGTCTCTCACCAAGATCGAAAGCGCTGAGGTTCTTGCCGACCTTGCTACATTTAAGAGCCCTGGTGTCAAGGTCCTGGACGTTGGAGGAAAGCATGCAGTCACCCTCCTCCAGACCTCTCCCGAACTAAACTACACTGCGATTTCCGAGAGCCCGGCTCCAGAAGGACTTATCGAGAAGTATTCAAGCGTAGAATGGAGAGTTGTGGACATGCAGAAAGACTTGACAGAGCAAGGTCTAGTGAAGGGCACATATAATGTCACTCTTTCGGAGCCAGACTCCGTCTCAGTCATTAAGAGCTTGATTTCGAACGATGGTAGCCTTTTCATTGCACGAGGAGCGAGTTTCGAGCTCTCTGTATCACCAAACGTGGAAAGGTCAAATGACGAGGTGACTGAGGTTCAAGTTTTGTATCGCCAGGTGGAAGCCAGCCTTCTGAGCAAGGTTCAACGGTAAGCAATATCATTTCCAGCTCACTCCCACCTTACTCAACTAACACAATTTAGGTCTCTTGCCGATCGTGGCTACAAGGCCACACCTATCTCTTTAAAATCTCTTAACACGGTTCAACCCCATGTCATCCTCCTTGATCTTGACGAACCAATCCTGTTCGATCTTTCCGAGCACGAGTTTAACATGATCAAGAAGGTATCCAACGAGGCCAAGTCACTCCTATGGGCATCTGCTGGCGGCCTTTTAAATGGAAAGAAACCAGCCGCAGGCATGATCGCTGGGCTTGTTCGATCCATTCGGGCTGAACAAGCCACCATCAACATTGTGACTATCGACTTTGACCTTGAAACTACCTCGATAGACCAGGCCGTGAAGTATGTTGCTGAAAAAAGCCAGCAGCAGATCGAAGATGCTGCAAGTGTTGAACACGAATATTGCGTATCGGATGATAAGCTATATATTAGTAGGCTTCTACCCAACAACGCCCTCAACAAGGAACAGACCATTGAGGAGCTCCCCTACGACCCAGAAATGCATATCAGCGGGACTGTCCAAAATGGAAAGGTTTTGTTTGAGCAGCAGGTATCTCAGCCTAAGCTAGGCCCCGATTCCGTGGAGATTCGAGTTGCCGTTACCGGCCTCAGCAAAGAAGGCGTCCTGGCTGTTCATGGAACCGATATTTCTACCACCTTGAATCATGAAGTCGGTGGCACTGTGGCACGCATTGGTAGCTCGGTCACAGACTTCGCTGTTGGGGATCGCGTTATTGGCCTTGGATCTGGAAGATTCGGAAGCCGTCAAGTTATCTCAAAGAATCTATTACAAAAGCTTCTTCCAGGAGAGTCGCTCACAGAGGTAGCAAGCCTACCTTTAGCGTATATCACGGCCCTGTATGGTCTGAAATCACTGGCATCTCTCAAGAGGGGTGAATCCCTCCTGATTCTTGAGGGTTCAGGATTCGGCGGTGCCGCAGCCATCGAGGTTGCCCTAACAATAGGCGCCATCCCGTATGTTGTTGCCAGTACTGCAGAACAAGCATCGACAATCATAGAGAGATACGGCCTAGCCCAACACCAAGTGCTCTCATCAGCGAGCCAGGTGGAGGCTATGCTTGCCACGCCGCACCGTACTAGCAAGATCGATGTTGTCTTCAGTTCTGGAACGACACCAGAGTCTTCAGCACGCGAAGCCTGGCGGTATATTAGTCGTTTCGGTCGGTTCATCGAATGTGGTAAGAAGTTGGTACTCAAACGGGGATCCCGGGACCCAGTACCTTTTTACCGCGGTGCTTCTTATTTCTCCTTCGATGTTGTAGAGCTCTGTGAGCACAAACCCGCCCTTGTCTCCCATCTCCTCGATGAGGTAATTGATCTCTATCGAAAGCGCGAGATCTCATCGCTTGAGCCCCTTAACGTTGTCAACATTTCCGACCTAAACAAGGCTATTTCAAGGTTTGACGATGAGATTGGCTCAGACAAGACAATCATCTCATACGAGCCATCAGAAACACCACTCACCATCCTGCCTTCGCTTCAGACCACTACGCTCGATGCTGCCGCAACCTATCTCTTGGTAGGGTGTTTGGGTGGGCTTGGACGCAGTCTCACAGCCTGGATGATGGAGAAAGGCGCCAGGAACTTCTGTTTCCTCTCCCGCAGTGGCGCCGACGCACCGGCAGCAGCTCGACTAATAAGAGACCTTGAAACTGCCGGGGCTCAAGTAGATGTTGTCAGAGGCGACGTGAGTGTGCAGGCAGACGTCAAACGTGCCGTAACCGCTATACCTAGCGACCGCCCACTTCGTGGTGTGATTCAGGCTGCCATGGTTCTTCGGGTAAGTTTATTTATTGGCCTTCCAAATGCTCAAACAATGCATTGCTGACATCTCTTAGGACGGCATCTTCCAGAACATGACCTTTCAAGACTGGGTGACATCCACCAAGCCAAAGGTCCATGGTACGGCCAACCTCCAAGCTGTACTTGGAGACATGCCGCTTGACTTCTTCCTCATGACAAGTTCAGTATCTGGGACACTCGGCACGCCAGGTCAAGCCAATTACGCCGCCGGAAACGCATATCTAGATGCCCTTGCGTACCATCGTCGCGCCAGAGGACAGAACGCATGCGCTGCCGTCGTTCCTATGGTTCTTGGCGTTGGCGTTGTGGCAGAGAGCACCGATCTCGAAGACGCTTTGACACGCAAGGGCATGTACGGCATTGACGAGGAGCATTTGCTTCGGTCGTTTGACGTTGCCATTCGTGAGCAGCAGCATCCTGATGGAATTCATCAGCTTGTTATCGGTCTTGACCCAACTCTCCTCTCCCGAGCAATCAACAATGCTGGACAAGGCGATGTAGACGCCTTTTGGATGGCGGACAAGCGCTTCCGTGCTTTGGTACACAACATCGAGGCAGTCAACGGCGGAGTAGGAGTCGGCGGCGGATCCAGTGCCTTGGGATCCATGTTGGCTGCGGCTTCACCCGACGAGGCCATTAAGTTGGCCCGTGACGAGATCGTGGGCAAGCTTTCCCGCATGCTTCTGCTAGATCTTGAGGTCTTTGAAGGTGATTCGGGATCCATTGCCAGCTACGGAATTGACAGCATGATTGGTGCCGAGTTGCGCAACTGGCTATTCAAGGAGTTTGCGCTTGAGATTCCCTTCCAGCAGCTCCTCGGGCCGACGCTGACAGCCATCAAGCTGGCACGACAGCTTTGTGTCAATCATGGTATCCTTGAGGAATAAATGTCATTTTATAGTATGTCTTCGTTGATTTTAACTCTCCTAGTCTAGATCATTCATTGAATTTAAACATTTGATAATTTCTTGTGGTCAGCGACTGTTACCTCGCACACTGTAGATTTAATCAGCGCTTTGCATCATATCATGATTCAGTACAAGGTCTTCCGAACATAAACGCTCACAAAGTATTAGATCCGTAGCCAAGCTGAGTTTGCTACTGGCTTTCCAACGTCACTTTCATATGCCGAGTCCCTTCTCCCCAACCCCATAACAGCCTTCCGGACCACCTGATCTGCGTCTTTACCTACATTGTTCTTGGTCATAAATCTTGATCGACCTTGAGAAACATAACCCACGGTGACCTTATCTGGTGGCACCGAGGCTGAACCAAATGTCCACCAAAATAAATTACTAACATGCCTGGCATCTACACATTATGTCACCACAACGAACTACCTCAGTACATATCCCTAGTATCCTCATGGGAGTTAAGGCTCACTACTTCTTCGTCAATTATGTCCTCAAAAGAAGTTAGAGGATATATCATCAGGAGGTACATTTGATTGATGCTAACGAACAACAGATACTAATCTAGTTCCCCTCCTCCCTCTATCACTAAGCCACAGACAACTTCTAAAACAGGAAGACTCTATCTATATCGCACATATATCCGAGGGGATCCTCGGATCCTCTCACTCGTCTCTGCTTACGGGAGAGAGTTTGAGTATAAATGTAAAAAAAAAAAAAAAAACAGCAATGCGAAATGCCAGACCCGACATCTCAACACAATGAATTATCTCTGCCTACACGTGGCTTGTGCTAACACTTATAAAGGAAATGGATGCTGGAGGTTGCCCAAACACTCTATAATCAAGAACAATTTCTGGAAATGTCACACGCAATCTTCTCTGCTAGCGCATCTGAATATGTTTGTCAGCTCATATCTCATACGGGTCATCCAGCTGTAATGGGGGCAACATACACACTGTCGACTGAGGATGGCCAGGAGGCAGCATTGGGAACGCTGCTGCATCTACCACACGCAGTCCCTTTACCCCGTACACCCTCGCCTGGGAATCAACCACAGCTCTAGGGTCATCTGGCTTACCCATGGCACATGTGCTAGCAGGGTGATAGATGGTCGTAAAGCTTCTTCGGATGGAAGCTTCAATGTCGGCATCAGACTTTACGTCAAATCCTGGGTACTTCTCCTCTCCGACCTTGAAATCCTTCAGCGCGTTCGCAGCCCAGAATTGACGACCGCGCTTGAAGCCGGCAACGGCAACTTCAATGTCGGCCTCGTCTGTAAGAAAAGCGGGGTCAATCTGGGGCGCAATCAAGGCATCGGGCGATGTTATGTTAACAGTTCCCTTGGATCGCGGCTTGCACAGTACAACAGCCAGAGCCGCATATGCTGTACCGTCCATGGGGTCTGCAACAGATGGAAGCCAATTGCTCCCTAGGTAGGTAGAGAAAGCGATGTACTCAACGTCAGGCCAATCTTTAGGATATTCGTCCAGAATACCCCGGGTTCTCTCGCTCAACGAGCCGCGGGTGCTGTTGGGGAATTTCTCCCACGCTAATAAATCCGAACCTGGGCTTGTGAGAAGGCCGGCAGTCTCCTCATTGTATAGGCGGACCCGTTCGGCGGCAAAGGCAGGGTCGCCCATCGACGAGGTCGTCACGGCGTTGACACCATTGGTTATGCCAAATGTAATGTGGTCCTCCATGTTCTGCCCGACCCCCTGAAGGTCTGCGATGACGGGAATGTCAAGGGATTCGAGCAAACTGGCCGGGCCAACTCCCGAGACTTGCAGCAGTTGCGGAGATCCTATCGAGCCTGCTGATAAGATGACCTCTTTGCGAGCGGAAAGTGTGTACTTCATGCCTGCCGTATCGACCAAGACACCATTTGCTACTTTTTCATTGTCGAAAAGTACTTTAAGGCCATGGGTCAATGGATAGACATAGAAATTGGTGTTGTTCAGGGTCTGCCTCAGAAATGAAGTCTCCGAAGAAGACCGCATCGCTGACTTATCGACTGTAAACATGCTATACGAGTGCCCTTCTAGACTACCGTGCTGGAATCCCTTTGAGGAATAAGGGATCCCGATCTGGTCAAAGGCCTTTGTAGCCCAGGAAGCAAATGCGTACACCCAGTTTGGAATCGTAAGAGCGAGCGGGCCTCCGTCACCAAGTCCTGAGGCATCGTACCTGGGCGTTGAATTTTGAAGCCGAAGTTGATCATTTGGCGGCGTAAAAGTGATGCTCTTTGTGAAAAATGGAAGGAAATTGTCAAAGGTGTAGTTGGCGTCTCCGACTCGGTCCGCCCACATCTCGTAGCTGTCGACGGTGCCGCGTTGATAGATCATGAAATTTCGAGCACTAGAGCCCCCGAGCATTTTTCCTCGTGGAATGTGCAGCTTCTTATTTTCCGCCCCCTTAAGAAACAGTGAGAGTAGTTCCTATATGCATTCAAATTCGAGTCCTGTACTCACAACTTGAGGGGTCGAGACATAACCCCAATCTGCCAAAGGTTGCCAGTCATCCGGCGATTTCCCCGCCCAGGCGATACCGGTAGCGGGGACTTCGCTCAGGTTTCCAGTGGAAAGCTCGTAGAAGGTGCCAGCTTCGATGACTGCTACGCTACCTGCATTCTGTTCTGCAAGCCTGCTGGCTATGGTCAAGCCCGCAGTTCCACCTCCCACCACTACATAGTCATACGTAGCATTGCTGCCGGGGATACCGAAAGACGACCCTAAGGGTCTGCTGTGTATTCGTGCTGCGAGAAGGAGGGCGGCAAGTCCCAGCGATTTGTTCAGGCCTCCCATGAGAGTGACTTGGAAGCACAAAAATGGATCTAGGTGGTATTAGGGATAACGAGTGCATGAGAGAATGCACGAGTAGCCAATGAGAGTAGACGTCAAGCGCGTGAAATGCAGCTCTACCACGTGGCGGATGTCTATCATCAACATAGTGGGACAAAGTGATTATAAACCTATTCAACATGCCCATCGCTGGTCGGCTCGTGGTCCAATCCCATTATATTGTCGGAATCTTACATCCGCAGAGGCGTCAACCTCGGTGTCATACATCCGTCTTCAGCTGTATTGAGAATTCGAGGGCTTATCGGTTGATGCTAAAGATGGCCAAATCTGCTGGGCCGCCTGAAAGTACTGTTCCAAATATTCCAGCACAGATAACATTAAACTAGATACAGCGGACATTGCGTGTGACCGAATCCTACTCGTACAAGGCTTTTAGGCATCACTCTTGGCTAAATCATAGTCTGTCTCGGAGATGCAAGTTCTACGCGCTTATGTTGTCATCACCGATGGTCCTGTTATGCAATGACACATACCTATATGCAGGTATCACACCAATATACGGCACCATAAGCAATAATGCAACCTATGAGGTAAGTATCAATGCAACATACGTGGTGAACGGCGTTGATCTAGAATGCACAAGGAGTACATATTCTCACCCCCATTCCCACCCCCACCGCACACGTTTCTTTTTGGCCCCAGGATTGCTCTCGTCTTCCACCTGTATAATCTTAGCCCTAGATCGAGAGTAACCTGCAGGAAGCAAGATAAGATTAATGGAATATATGTTTCAGGTGCTCAAGGGAATAGATAATCACACCTACCAGAATGTTTCAAGAGGCAACCAACGCAAATGGAAACTTCTAGTGACAGGGTCGGACCGCGGAGTCCGCTGCCGACAGGATTTGTGGCCCATGTGTACTTTGGTTAAGTAAGTGTAATAGTGTGTAGCCAATAATATTGCTTATCCAGGCCAACATTTAGAGCATTGGACAAGATACAGGTACCTATAAATATCTCCTCTAGGCTCACCCATCCCAATTCATCCTCGCCGTGGGAACGAAAAACGCCCTATTAGTCCATATCGAATCTGACACCATCCCCCTCCCCTATCAGCCGCAATCTTGTACGTACATCGAGATGACTCTCCCTGCTAGCGTCAAACGGGCCGTCTTCAAGGAGGTGGGTGGGGATCTGGTCATTGAGAATGTCCCACTGGAAATGCCCCGGTCCGGGGAGATCTTGGTCAAGGTGGAGGCTTGTGGAGTTTGCCATTCGGAAATCCTGGCACAGCATAACGTCTGGGGGTTTGGATTCCCCGTTGTCCCCGGACACGAGATCATCGGCCGTGTCGCCGCACTCGGCCAAGGAGTCGAGGGCTGGAAGGTCGGCGACCGTATCGGTGCCGGCTGGCAGTAAGCGAACCTCCGGCAGGGATCAAATTACAGAACGAGACTGACTTGCGAATCTTTGTCCAGCGGAGGGCATGACAACACATGCGCCATGTGCCAGAAGGAGCTTTACCAGTTCTGCCAACCGGTGATCATCAATGGCATAAGCACGAACGGTGGATGTGAGTTTGCCCCCTTGTGCCGGTTTCCGGAGTGGCTTGCGCAGAATGCCGGGCCGTTGACTCTCGCTACAGATGCGGAATACTGTCTCGTAAGGGCCGAGGCCACAGTCCGCGTACCAGAGGATGTGGACGCGGCCAAGTACGCTCCGCTGCTGTGTGCAGGGACTACCTCATTCTCGGCCCTCAAGACCGTCGACATTCAACAGGGTGACCTGGTCGCCGTCCAAGGGATTGGGGGCGTGGGCCACTTGGCCATCCAATACGCCAAAAAGCTGGGAGCTCGCGTGGTCGCCATCTCGCGAGGTGCCGAAAAGGAGCAATCGATCCGAGCATTAGGTGCTGACGAGTACATCGACGCCGCCGGGGATCAGGATCCTGGCGAGGTGCTGAAGCAACTGGGCTATGCCAAACTAGTGTTGACAACCGCCATGGACACAGCCGCAATGACACCCTTGATCAAGGGTATTGGCGTGCGTGGAAAGCTGATGATTCTCAGTCTACCCCAAGACGGAAACATCACCGTCGATTCGAACGACATGATCACTCGTGGCATCACTATACAATCGTTTAATGTAGGGAACTGCTTTGACTCTCAACATGCAATGGACTTTGCGCATTCCAAGGGCGTTACATGTGCCGTTAAAACGTTTCCTCTTGAAAAGGCACAAGAGGCGTATGGTAAGTCAACAATCCACAGCTGGCGTTCGTATTCCAACTAACCCTTGGTCACAACAGATGCCATGTTGCAAGGAAAGGTTCGATACCGCTCTGTTCTGACCATGGACTAAGCACGTGGGAAACACTATTATGGATGGAGGTGTGGGAGAATATTTTCCTTCCCGTATTCAAGGTAGACACATGGGCCTTTCTATAGTGCCAAAAACCAATCAGAATAAAGTTCCTATCAAGATATCTTCGCATGAATCCTTCCACATTCCACGTTTCCTCCTCCAAGGGGACCAGGGGGCGGATACCTCCAGGTCCGCTCCCACGGCAAGTACGGCTTAAGGCTTAAGGCTGAAGAAAGCGGGCGTCGTTATCACCAAGCCTGTAAGAAAAACGGTCAGCTTATTTGTATACACACGCGTAAGATGATCTACGGTTTCGCTTACCCGACCCGACCGCCGCTTAACGAGGCCTAGCTAGAGTCTAGCGGGCTTTTCTGCATCTCAATCACCTGCATGTAACCCTACAAAACACGCGGCAGGCCTAGGATAGCACTGAGATGTCCTGATTTGCTAGATCTCTCGGCGTTGACTCTCGCACTGATCGGGTGTTGCCAGGAAGCGATAAGAGGCTTTGCAAAGTCCCGTGAGATACTGCGCCGCAAAGATGGCCGGGCGGATAAGCAAGAGACCAAAAAGCCCTGCCGAGGCCTTAATCATACTAGGGGCAGTACCTTTCCAGTTCTGGAGAGTGGATGCCGAAGCATGCGTTGTACTGTTGACTCTGAAGAAATGTCTAGATTAGAGGTTACCTTTGATATGTAGTTGACTTCCACTAGCAAGAGTACAAGAAGTTAATAAGGATACTGGGTAGTAATTAAGTATTTGAACAGTGATTTTCAATCTATTATAAGTATTCGGTTACTGTTATCAATGTTACTAGCTATATATACAATACCTAATATATCTTATCCTGGTTGCTGTTATATATCACATTTCACCTTCTAATTAACATGTAGCAGATACGAAACAATGCATTTGCTTGCCTAGATGAGTCAGCAGCCAATCAGATGCCTGTCACAATGGCCAGAGGCTTAGATTGTCATTACGTGATCAATGATACCCCGCTTCGGCTTCGCTTTCACTCGGTTTCATTTATTACACGTGCTTCTCTTGTCCGCAGGCCCTGCTCATAAGGTTATCAACAACTTACAAGCATGATTGAACCGCGGCGAGCATCCAATATCTCCATCTATAATATCCAGAGCAATTTCACCCGTATGGACGGCAACAGCAACGGACCTTCGCGGCTTACGTAGGTGACAGTGTGCAAATCCGTGCCTAATTTCCTTCGCTGACATGCCATCCTCTAGCTGTGATAACTGCAGGGAGAGAAAGGTATGCCCACCCTCTCCCCAAAGCCCTTCCCATCTATTGACAAAAGACTCCAAGGTCAAATGCAACAGACAATACCCAGAATGCAGCAGGTGCTCTCGCCTGGGCTATCAGTGCACTTATCGGAACCGGATGAGCCACCGTGCCTCCCAGGCTGCCATTATAAGCCGGCTTGAAGAACGCGTCCGAGATGCTGAAGCACGCCTGGCGCTGCAGTCTGCTGGTAGTAGCGATGAGGGCTTGATCCATGTTTCCACCTCCCACTGCTCGCACTCGCACTCGCAACCGACAATATCACCATCTTCAACCTCTAACTCCCACGGAGCAGCCCCAACTTACCTTCCCGAAAAGGGGCTGGGTCTTGATCATCCCCATCGATCTGCAATGCCAGACTTTGATCTTGATAGCCTTGACTCCACTTCATACAATGCTATATTTGACCAGATACAGATAACCGACATGGAAGTTGAGGACCAGATTAATGAATGGCAGACCTACATCGACCCATTACCTATACCATCCAGTCAAGCACAGTTGACATCATCAACATCACTCACCTCGCAGGACTTATCCTATCTGCATCAAGTCTTTTTCGATTCTTACTCCACTGTCTTCCCAATCTTGGCCAAGGATCGCTTCTACCGGGAGCTACGGCTTTACCCAGACTCGGTTGCTGTCAAAAGTGTCGCTTATTCAGTAGCTCTTCTCGCCATCACTATCTCTGACAGCCATAAGCATTTAGAGGGTGCCTGCTACACAAAAACGCGGCGATACATTGATGACTGTGATATTGAGGAGGTGACTGGGCCGTCCAGCAGTATCAACCTTTTGCAGTCTCTGCTGTTCCTGACTCGGTATGAAGTCAGCAAACAAAAGTGTGCCCGCTCCTACCTCACCTTAGCCCGGGCATCCCATCTCGTCAAGATGATGCACTTGGACCAGATGGACAAGGGGGGGAGTTCGCCTGCGATTACCAACACTGCACCCTACATCTCACTCCCGGAAACACACGACGGGATAAGGTTGGAAGAAAGAAGGCGCTGCTTTTGGGCTTGGTATCTCCTCGAAGGTTACAGCGGTGTGCATACCGGCCGTCCAGCCATGCAAGATGATGCAACCGTGAGTGCGATCACCATCCTACCCATCAACATCCAAAGGAGGTGACATACTTACAGACAGCAAACTCTAGATATTTGTTTCCCTGCCTTCCCCAGGAAGCTTAGATTCTAGTCCGGAGCCTTTACCAATGCCCTACCTAACAGAGACAAGCCTCATCAGGAGCCCCGAAATGCTGTCACCGTTTGCAGCAGTGGTGCTCGTAGTCTCAGTAGTTCGCAAGGTGCTCGACCACACGTCGTTATGCACCCAAGGCGGTCGCCAAGAAGAGCCTTCAGGATTTTGGGATCGCCATTACGGTTTACTCAAACACCTTGATACCTTCCATGCCCTGCTTGAACCATTCACAGCAACACTCATACATCGCCACCCACTCGTGTTCGATCTACAGCTTCTTTTCAATGGAGCTGAGATTCACTTCTTGGAGGCTGCCTTCAACGAAGGTGAGAAGCGAGGACTACCCTCCGCCATCAATGAGGAGAGCGCAAATCGGCTCCTAGGCGTCGCTCAAAAAACAGCGGGGACAGTCTGCTCGACGTGGTCTCAACACCGAGATGTGGTGAGTAAAAACCCCAAATTGAGAGAGGGTGTGATATTCTTGGAAGTATGCTTATCATTTAATGAATAGATAAACACGCTCTCCTTGAGCGGTGCCTTCGTCGCCTGGCCAGTGTGTAGTGCGCTCAAGGTCCTTCGCACATCTTTCTTAAGTTGCGACGACGACAGCAGCACTCGTGCAAACATGGTCCAAGGGCTTTCTGAAGCACTTGAGGCAATCGAGAAGCCAGGTGGCCCTTGGCATAAATCCCTTTCAAAGGCCCAGCTTTAAGGCTTCGTCATCACCGGTATGATACAAGTATCAGGAGTCAGGTAGTAGTGAGAACAGCTAGACATCGATTGCAGCCTAGCGGAATCGGAAAGGGTATGACATGACGAAATGAATTTCCTAGAAAATGAATCGCGTAAACGCAAAGGTCATAGATTAGATTATTAGACGGTGGAGATATCACGTTCAAAGGTGGTACTTCAAGCTCCGAGGTATTTTATACGAAGAGCCTCTGGACTTTGCTTCTCCAGATAGAAAGAAGGCGTCTATCGGGTTTTTAAACCCCCAGTATACACATAGCTGAGGGAATACATGCTCTCACTTAGAGTCGTGGATGGTTAGATACTGGCATTGTCATGTGCCATGACACTCAAGATGTAGTCTTTTCGCTTTCAAAATCAAACTCGTTCGATATGTGTTCTTAATTCAATAATGGAGACAGAGTTGACAAACAATAATCTCCAAGCATTCGCCTAACCAGTTATTTATAATATAAGTATGGCTATATATTAACGAAATGGTTATGCTGTTTTAACATCAGATTACATCTAGGCTGCCAAAGTCATCTTCGACCTAGACAAAAGGTGGCATCCATAGGGCTTCCCGAACAATTCTCAGCAACTTCTTGTTATAATCAAGCCTCGCATCCGGATCAAGATCGTCGTAGTTCCAAACTGCTTCCACCAGGCCCTTAACTACATCTAGGTGTCCGGTTCTAGATTCTTTCTTCGATCGCGAGATGACCTCGAGAATGAGCAATCGCGGCAGATCTGACCTGACCTCGCAGGCTATTATAAACAAAGCCCAGGGAGTTTCGCAGGGGACTATGTTGGTCAATACTTCTAGACCTTTCTCAACGAGGGCTTGGTGTGAAGGCTCCGTTCCATCGTACCCCAGCGTTGCGCGATTCATATAGATTAATGCTGCGATGCAGTGAAGCTGAGTGGTCGCATGCAAGCTAGAAGAGGTTTCATTACCATCTGTGAGCTTAGGAAGAGCCGAGATCATGCGCCTCAGTTGCGATTCAACGCCAAGGAGCTCTTGTCGCTTAGAGGACGGAATATCTGACTGCATGGCAATATCAAAAATGGTCGACATGCCCTCCAATATATCAATAGAGCAGCCAATCATACCAGGATCCTACAAGAAATCTTGTGAGATGATGCAAAGGTTATTGAGATTGAAGGGGACTTACTATTTCCGACACGTCTGGGCCTTGTCTCAATTCCTTCGATGATTTTCCGCGACAGACGGGTGAAGGATGCTTCTGTGTCCAATACAATTGCCCAAACTGGGCAATGGTTTCATGATAGTATACCCAGTTAAACACGATTTGGGGGTGCGCAGATCCAGCACTCTTAGTCACGATGTTAGACTGCGCGATCCTTTTGACTCCGCATAAATACACTGCCCAAGCATGTGAGGAAGATGGGTGGACAGTCTATTATTTGTATTTAGCAATCATCGTGAACCCTAAAGAAGGTATAGACGTACCTCGTAAAGATATAGGAGCATGCTAGTGACGAGATTGCTTACGGCAACCTTGATTGAACTTTCAGGGTTCAGCGAGGCTCGGAGGAGCGAGGTTGCCCTTGCTTTAAAGACTGAGGCATATTGATCTCCCCACAAATGCAAACAAGAGAGTGCTAGAATACCGTTAAAGACTGCTCTCGAAGGTAATGAGAAATCTGAGAGGCCAATTTGGAGGAGAAGGCGCGGTAAGGATCCGAGAGGCGGAGTTAAGAGAAAGCGGTGGCCTTCCTGTATATCTTCAGAGCTTGTTAATCGACAATCCTATGATTGTACGAAGAACAGGATCACGTACAATAGTGGAGCAATGTTGACTCGTTCTTCTCTATCAATGAGAGCGACGTGGTCCTCGGTAATGGTGCTTCGTTTACTCTTTGATATGGCGCTATCAGTGTATCATTAGAGTTCTGGGCAGGTAGAAGAAATTCGAGAGAAGATATTGAAGAAGTTTAGGGAGGGTTTTCCTACCCTCCGTTCTCCCTTCCACTAGATTTAACCACGACGATATGTGCCAAGAGTGCATGTTGACAAAAGGCCAGTCTCCCCGGTTGTGTGGGAAGAGATCTGCAGCAAGTGTATTTCTTGACGGGGTTTCTACCAGGATCGTTCTTCTCTTGTCCCCAGGCCGCGGCCAGGACAGACGGAGACCGTATCCCTGGCATTCTTGATTTGCCTTGGCACAGTTTGCGCAGGTGGGCAATCCTAGGTCGCATCGGACTCGTCGGTCTGAGCATGCACATGTCAGCAAGCCCGTCACGCCACGTTCCTCTAATGTCCATTACCTCTGCAAGTCCCGCAGGACCTCCTCGCTAAGGCTTGAGTCTGATCCATGAGTAGTGATCCATAGGTAGCAAAGACCCAGAACACAATTTGATGATGAGGGCCGAGGCCAACGGCCCAGGGCTAACACAGGCGCTGGTTAATAAGCACTGCCTTCCGAGACTCCGTCAAGTTCATCCCCCCTTCGCAAATTCCTGCCTGGGGGACAGACTCATCCAATCATGTTCTGAGCCTTACCTGCACTAGTTCTTTTTTAAGATGGGCGGCATTGCTCTGTTCCACTCTCTCCTAGCGCCACTCTCGTCGTTTCTTGCCGTTGGGGAAAACTAACCAATCAGAGAGGGCATGGTCCAGCATTCCTGATCATGCCTCTCAAAGAAAGATCACATTTCCACTGTCAAGTTATTGATCTCACTACATTACCAAGCGTAATGAGTTCCGATGAGTACCATAAATCAAAGCTCCAGTGGCTGTATTATCAATATTTCCAGCTGGTCCATTTGTCAGCCCTTCGTCAAAATGTCACTGAGCCTTCCTACCAGTGGTACTAATTGCAGCCGGCAATTACGAGAACATGGCTTTGTGATATTAATAAGGGCCTTCCGGGTCAGTTTAGTAGCGTATTGAACTTATAAAAGGCTAACCAGGTGTCACTTCTCTACTTCCACTCGGTCTATCTGTAGAACACGAGCTGTGCGACTTTCAACTTCATCAAAACGAAACGATCAATCACGATGGGAGCGAGCTGGACCCCTTATAGCAATACCCCGGACCTGCAGGGGAAAATTGCAGTTGTGACAGGCTCTAAGTGAATCTTTCAAATCAGCCCGCTTGACGGAACCAACTGACTTGGCTTCGCAGTTCAGGTATCGGCCTCTACACCGCGCTGCACCTGGCATTGCATGGTGCCAAGGTCTACATGGACGCGAGGACCAGGGCAAAGTCCGATGACGCGAAGAAGACAATCTTGTCTCTCCACCCTACTATTGCGGAGGAGCGGCTCATATGGTTGCCATTAGACCTTAGCAAGCTGAGTAGCGTGCAGGAGGCAGTCCAGGAACTGGAGGGAAAAGAAAACAAGATTCATCTTCTTGGTATGTTGCCCCTCACATACCCCCCTTTGTAGTTCATGTCTAACCCACATGAAGTAAACAATGCCGGTCTGGCTACAAGCGAAATCGAATTGACTGACGCTGGGTGGGAGATGACCATGGCAGTATGGTATGATTGCTTCGCACGCTAATCGTCCGCGACTTTTCTAACATTTTAATATAGCCATGTCGGCCATTTTGTCCTCACCAACGGGCTTCTTCCGCTACTGAAGAAGGCCGCGGCTGAAAGGGACTCGGACGTACGAGTTGTTACCGTTTCATCAAGCGCTAGCCATACGTTTCTTCCGCCGGGATACAAAATCGACTTTTCCAAACCAGATTTTCTGAAAGGCGACCTTCCGTATGAACCATGGAAATACCGGTATCTGTTCAGACACATGTTCACCATCAAGATCCTGCATTACTCCCTAGCCAAGATGGCCAACATCATGTTTGCCCAGGAGCTTCAGCGCCGGCTTGACAAACTCAGCGTGCCTATAATCTCGCTCTCTCTAAATCCGGGGGCGGTCAAGAGTGACAATGCTGTCGGCATTTTTTCAGGGTTCCTCCAACCGCTCATGAGACAGGTGATGTTGACTCTCGATGAGGGATCGTTCACCTCTCTTTTCGCTGCCACCGCCCCAGAGGTATGGAGGCAACCCGAGGTGTACAAAGGGAAATACCTTGAGCCTGTTGGAAAAAATCAAGATCCGCTTCGCATTGCGCAGGACGAGAAGCAGGCGCAATCTTTGTGGGACACGACAACCAAGGAGGTCAACAAGTACCTCTTGGAGCATGGCCTTCCGACGCTGCATGACCTGTGAAAATGCTAGCTTCAACACTGCCTTATTATCTACCAGTCGTGCAGTGGCTCTGGTGAAGTTGCGTTTATTTCTAAAGAAATAATGTTTTAGATAAGAAACTTTGTGAGAAAGTTTTGCGGTTTTATTTCGATTCATATATGGCTCTACAGAATATTGTGGATGATGCAATAATGCTTGTTTCTTTTGGTGGATATTTGAGATAATAGATCAACCGCTGGGGATGTATTTCGCTAGGGGAAAGAGAAAGAGACATATGTACTGAATTGATTTTGCAAAGTGCGCCATGTACAAATAGCTCTTTTGCGGGATGGTTTGCGCGATTGATATAAGCCCAGATGCACGACGTCTTTATTAGATAAGTTCTTCGTATTACTCTTGCAATGTATCGTTTTATCATTTCAGGCCTACGGAATGGCTCTATTAAGCGGTAGAAATAAGGACTTGAACACACGTGCATCTAGATGAGTGGAAAATGTAGAGCCCGGAATAGAAAGGGATAACTCAGCTAGGAAAGGTCTAATCATCTTGGAAGCGAAAACAAACGCGCTTTGGACGCGTTTAATGAATTCGCTAGAACTTCGGCTTTTGGCATAAAAGTTTTATGTACCCCTAGATTTATGAAAATGCCGTTGCGCATCTGTGCTATTTTTGAATGGCAAGACGCAAGATTTGTAGTCATTGTGGTTTTTAAGTTGTTCAAACCTAGCATAATCACTCTTCTGATGTCCGTAGACGTTCATCCATCTCAAATTGTTCCGGGTCCTTTCTACTTAGCTGTGAAAACAAGTCTTTGTTTCATTCGGGAAATGTGTAGCTACAACGTGTGTATATTCAGGATTTGCAAGATGAAATTCCATGAATCTAGGCATCCGTGAGCTTCCCTCGTAAACCAGTTAAACTATAAGATATCCATCCAAAAGAAACCCTTTTGGGTGTGTGATTTGGAGACATAATGATGATGGTGCTTATCATTGTTATTGTTCACTGTCTGAGTTATCCGAGGAGTGTAGGGTAGGGTAGATTGATGAAGCCATCGCCCTTTTCCAAGACATACGAACTTGGAGGAATCATGGTGGGGCACTAACAAAGAGGGGCTTTGAACAGGGGGGGCCAGTTACGCGTTCATGAGGAGAGGGATGAGGCGCGTCACACGCGTGCCTCCATGTCTATCTCACGTTACCATCCCCTACCTTACCCCCTCTCACTTACGGCAATTTCTTTGGCCAATTTCCTACAGCGTTGCTCATAAAACAGGATGCTTTCATAATTGTACGACTATAGTGGTCATTAGAACGCGTAATATTGTGAATTACATCTTACACATGTGTGATACTTCCCTCTTTGCGAGGTGTTGTATCAAGAACTAGCTGATATTCATGGTTACTAGATGTAAGGTTTTCCTCTAGCTTTTCTAATGGGTTCCAAAACTTCCATTTTTTACAAGCCTATGATAGAGGCAGATTCCAGAGAAAATCTAACGAGTCAAGATCTAGACCGAGCGAGAGCTGAGTGTCTTGTTCTTGGTTGAAAGGAGCAATGCTGGAGTCGAAAGGGAATGATATCCAGGAGTTGACTGAATCCCCAATCTCAGAATCGCTATAAACCCCAGTCGAGAGATTTGGGATGGGAAGAGGGAGGCCAGTCTCTTGGGACTGGAGCCCATCTGTAGCCGAGACGCGTCGCGTAGAGGCGGATGAAGCCGAATTCGGAACGAGACGATCTCGGATATTTGCCGTGTGTTTCTCGATGAGCGTAGCATATCGCATGGCAAAGTCAGTATCGTCTGGTGGAGATGTTTTTAACATCTGAGTGCACTGATCTAGCGACTCCAATGCTTCGTGTACGTCTGCACTGGATGAGCCTATGCTGAGGGCCTTGAGAAGGAAGACTGAAGTCGAGATGACACTGATCTTTATTCGCGCCGGTGCATACGGGAATTGGGTATGGAAAATTGAGTGTGTAGCGATATGAAGGAGCTTTCTACAATCCCGGATAACTTGCTGCAGGAACTTGGCGTCCTGTGGTTTTAAGTACGCAGCGAGGTTGGTATCTTCTATGCCAGATGCCGATGCCTTTGCAACCACGGACTGAATAGCGACGGCGCCAGTCAGGATTTTAAGGTGGTGGTACTCAATGAGTAGGCAGTCCCGCAAGGGCTGACCTATATCTAGAACCCATTACTGTTATTTTCGGCTCCAGCTGAATAAATGAAAGAGAATTGAACCAGAGACGGGGGAGATGAAGAGTGGAATTTGATACGGGCGACTTACGGTGGAATAATATTTCAGCTCTCTCTAGCCAACGGGACAAGGAACCAGAGAAATGCTCAAGGAGGTCAAGATGGTGATCACCTGAGACAATCGCCTGAAGCTTGGCGGGTGTCTGAAAAAACATGCTGGAGGCTGTATGAGACAGCCGAGTCAGCTCGGAGTTGAGGTCCATGTAGGCTGACCAGGGCCGATGCGACGGAGGGAGTGATTGATCGAAGGTGGACCGGGAAGCTGCCATGACTATATTGTTAGGAAAAGGAGAAGGCATATTCAACTTGATTGCCGTTTGAGAAACATATGTGTAGAGAAGTTTCTGGACACGAAGGTGTCTTTGTCCATTCGGGTCTAACGGGTCGTATACTTTCTGCTGGTCCTGGCTGGAGAATATCCCGATTTCGTACGCGAGACTGTTGGCCATGCCAAGGAGCATCCAAGACATACGGCTCGCTCTCTTGGCTGGCTCAAACACGTCCTCGCGCCATCGAATCAAAGGCTCCTCGCCTTGGTTTCTTACACGATTGGTGCGGTCGTAATCAGGAGAAATAAGAAATACGTCCCATCCCTCCGTTTCAGGTGGGAAATGTATCGCCCGAGGGTGCCAGTCGGATATGAGCATGAGACTTTCGATGGTCCCTACGACTCTCATTCTCCAGCTCGAATGTTTTTCTTGGCCGAGCAATATGCGTTTGATCAGCGATTCACAGAAGTTCCAGAGTCGGTGGTGTATCAAATGAGACCGCGAGAGGCCCCCCGCTCCGGGAAGCATGAAGAAGCGGGATGAAATCATGAGGATTGTGCAGCAGAGCATGGCTTCCTCGGTCACCAATCGAGTATGGGCTGAGTGGCTGCAGAAGTCATCGAGAATGACCGCGGACAAAGGCGAGAGATATTTGTAGAAACTGGTAGGATTAGTATTTAGAGTAGTATATTGAATCTTCAAGCAGCTTAGATTCTCACAGGTCAATGTATGTGACTGCTTCTTGGGCCGTGAACCACCCTTGGCGGACAAACCTCGACCTGTCCCACAAGTCAAGTGTCGCCTCGTTGGGGCTAGAGAGGACCGATACGGTGAATCCAAGCCCCCCGCCAGTAGTAGAAATGACTGTAGGTCCTTGAGCAGGCGATGAGGCCGAATTGTGTGGTAGTAACGGCGTTATCGCCTGGGTTCCCAAATCCACAGATAGCTCTCCTCGTGGAACGGCATCGGAGAGCACCTCTAAGGCATCGTGAGTCCCAGTTAGAGGTGTCGCTATGACCCGATTGTAAAGTAACTCCTGGCTTCGAGGGGAGACACGGCCGTGGATTGCATCCTCTGCTACTCTGTGTGCATCCGTGGTACCATTTATTGGAGGAATTCCAGGGCCGGCGACAAGATCTGACTGTGAAGGCTGGCCGTGATGATTCTGAATCCATTGCTCTCTGTCCTCTGGTGGGACAACAGCCGCACGGTTATCTTGGTTTCTCTTCGCCCATTTGGGAGGTTCTCTTTGTTTCGGTGCCTTGGGCCGATGATCGAATTCGCATTCCCGGTGCTCACGGCGACATTTTGCACACGGAGGGTCGCCATTGATAATGCATCGAACCTTGCGGAGCCGGCATGACACGCACGCTACATAGCTCCTCTTGAACCTGCGGGATTTCGGAGAGGATTTCTCCACGTCATCCCCGGTGGAGCTAAAAGGCATCTTCGGGGAGCTGGTGCCGGATGTTGGCTGATTGGATACGGTGCTACTGGGCATTTATGACCCGGAGAGTCCAAGTTGGCCGTATTCTGGTTGACTGGTGAGAGGATTGTCCGTTACTGTCCGCACCCAACCGAAACTCCGCGAGCATCCGTGATCCACCCGAAATGTTGGCCAATCATATATGTAGAACTGGTCAAGAGTCTAACAGGGATACAAATTCTAGCCCACCCACTTCGTCGGGAAGACGCGGATAGTCACGGACTTAAGACCGGGCCTCATGACATTCCACCACCGCGTTTGTATTCTTTGAGCTATCATGAATACAGCTTGCATTGGATCATAAGAGTCATGGTAACGTTAAGTGAGATGAAGCTGATAGATATAATTAGACCTCGGCCGTCTCTAGATGAAGCTAAATGTATATAAATGCTTCATCTCCGAGTTTCCTCAACGCATCAACATCCTTTTTACATATGTGAAGCCTTATAATGACTTGTAATCAGCCAAGATCTAAAGGTATCTTAGATGCGAACCGGTAAGGCTTACGCAAAGGCTTTCCCACCTTTCCACTACCTAGGTAGAGTTTATGGTTATACTTGTCCAAGTTATAATGACTGTCTTTTTCCAATTGAGGCATTCACTTTTGGGCAGAGAAAGAAAGAGTAATTCATCGCCTATAGTAGAATCATATGGTCTATTTATCGATGTGATTCCAAGCAGAAGTCAAAGACATTGATAGGAACTATTTGATTGCTCTCCGCGATAGAAATAAACCCAGTGTGGGGAGCACTTGACCGGCTGATCTGATCATCTAGAAGCCCCTTTTCTTGTACATTGGCCTCTGTTCCCATTTTAGACATTACAACACAACACATTCTTTCAGCACCCAATTGTATGTCATCTCCAGCTAGAGGAGCCCGACGGCAGTAAGAGCAGCGAGGCCAACAACAATAAGAGTAGAGCCTGCCTGGCGAGAGATGGCGCCGTTGGTAGAGACCGCAGTCTCGCTGGCTCCCCATTTCATGCTGGTGCAGGCAGTGGCGGCCAAAACGTTCGAGTAACCGGCACTGGTCAGGGCAGCACTGAAGTCCTTGCCGCACTCAGTAACAATTTCGGCGTACTCGGACTGGTGCTTCTGGTACCAGCTGGACGCCTGGGACATGTAGGAGCTGTAAGCGCTGGCCCCGTCGCCGGTCACGGCAGGGATTTCACACTCGTCGGTCGCGGTGACCTTGGCGAAGACACTGGCGGCGTCTCCAGTGGGAATAGGCATCTCAGAGAAGAATGTTCCCTTGTTAACGAAGGCGCTGGAACATTTCGACCCGTCCTGACGCGCGGCGAGGGCGGCAGTGGGTTGGGGTTGGGCGACGGCACCGGAGACGGCGACAGCCATGAGGGAGAGCTTGGTGAACTGCATGATGGTGGTTGAAGGGGTGGAGGGCCGAGGTAGTTGACTGATAGAAAAGAATGACTGAGGAGTTGTGAAGCTGTGAGCGTGGTGGAAAGTAAAACCCACAATGGTGAGGAAGAAGCTGCTTTAAGTAGGTATTCACCGACGGGATGGCATTTCTGAATTGGTAGGGACAACGGTGCCAACTGAACTTCAGCCAACAATCAACCAGGTAGAAGAAAATTCGACCATTTTCCTATCTTCTCCCTGGCAGTCTGATGTTCAGCTAGCTGGTCTACTTGAATGAGATGGAAAATGTAGCCCGATTGGGCGATCATGGCACAAATGCTGACATGCGTAGGGCTTGTTGGTAGCAAAAGATCTGTGGCGTATGAGCTGAAACTGCCGTGGCGAGGGCCAACCGTTTATGCCGCTGGGCCGTAAAAGGGACCATTTTTCAGCTGCCAGGCAGACATTGGCAAGTCTTACATCCCGAAGAGGCATCATATGCCATTTATGGTGCTCAGCTGGTAAAAATAGGCCGCCGTAGATGTGCAGAGTTGTTGGCCCCGTCGCCGCACATATACGCCCATGCATCAAGCGATGGTTACAGGTAAGATTAAATACGATCCACCGTGACACCATTGGCTGTTCCTTGAAGGTCTAGACCAGACTGGCAGCCTAGGAACGTTCACCAGGGCTGGGCCGGCTAAGAAGGAGCTGGCTACCAACCGTCATTAAGTCCTGTGGCGATTGATCCAGTCATTACCTGGTGTGAGAGGAAAAGCAAATTTCAGGAGCCAGTAGGTTGTCTAAGCTTCAAATGCTTTCACGGCCAAGACTTTCAACATTAGTTTTGCAACAATACGTTTGTTGCCTTAATAGGCTTCTTGTTGGCCAAAATCAACTCAGAGAGCGCATATGTTCGACAATGCCTAGGTATTGGGCACATATCACGCGGACTGTGGCAGCCACTTTCGCAGGAATATAACAACAAATGAGCAAGGACAGAGCAGAACATAGCCTTACATTCGCCCCCCGACTGTAAGTAACGCGCTGAGCAGTGTGGCAATATCTCTGTCAGCATCGGGGGCCTTCAAGGCTGATAAATCAACTCCTCTACTGTAGTAGCCTCTAGGCAAGAAGGCATCTTCATGGTAATCGCCACAGCTGATACGAGGCAATGTGAGCCTTCTGCTAGCAGGGGGTCCTCGGATGCGAATATACTTGCTGCTTCGTACATGATTGTAAACCAAATGCAGACCTCATTTCTGCCTTGATCAAGAGTTAATGAGGTTCCCTGCACGACCTCCAACAGAAGCTATCCATGGTCGCTTCAGGGACGGGGTGAGCCTCTTCCTTGGTAGTCAAGCCTTTGAACCCGCTGTGTCATGTATAGATGATTCTCGACCCAACACAGCTGGATCATTTCACATCGAGAGAAGAGGTGAGCAGATTTGCTTTGCTCTTGAAGAACTCGGTTAGAAACTGGAGGGGATATGCTGACGCTTATCAAACGTGGCTGATGGAACACGTCTCGTGACTCGCCGTTGTCGAGTATTTAACCCCGCAGTAATAAGATCATCCGATACCCCTCACTGCTTTTCCTACGTCACCCTTTTCCGCAAGTTTCAAGCAATCCATCTTGCCGTGGACTGAGCCAATACCTGTTAAACATGCCGCTAACAACTGAGAGCATGGATGACCAACTACCGCCAGTATTCGATGTGTTCTCGGAGCTGCCTGGCGAGATACGATTGATGATATGGTCTCTCGTCATGCCGCCCCGCGTCCCCGAGGGCCGCACGATAGAAGTGGCTGTTTACTACGACCACCAATCAACCAAACACTCATGTCACATGAAGACTGGAAAGTTCTGCGATAATTACAGTTCTTGTCCTGAATACATCGACGGCCAACCGTTCCATGAGGTTGACACCGTCGTGGATGGTTATTTCGCCCTCGATCCAGATTTCCCCCTCCTCGTCCTCGGCGGCCGGGCTGTGGAAGATCAACTGCGGACCATGAGTCTTGTCTGTCGCGAGTCTTATGATCTCGTGTGCAAACAATACCCGCAAACAATGCGCATTCATCGCGATAAATGGCACGCGGGCGTCGATACACGCACCGTACGCTATAATCCGGACTCAGATGTCCTCATCATTCAGAACATCGACTATGCGAGATCTTACTGTGTCGATCAAAGAATAACAGAAATGCCCGCCGATGAAGCGACAAACCCTGAGCCAGGGACAGCGTTTCCTCGGCATACTGCACCGTTTGCACCTTTTCGACAGACCCTCTCAACCTTTCAAAATGTTGCATTCCGATATGCCAATCCAGACGTGTTGGCGGATAGACTTTTTGGAGGACCTGGCCAGGAAGACCCTGAACCTAACTTTATTCCAAACATTGAGATTATACGCCTCATGACATTCATGGCGTCAATGAAGAACTGCTATTTATGGCTAGACTCTATTTGCTGGCCCGAAGTGCAGATAAATGGCCGTTCTAAAGTCGAAGACTTGGCCATTTTTGGTGAAATGCTCTTCTTTGAGCAGCTCATAGTTACTGAAGGAGCCGACGAGATATTGGAGCAGTATAAAAACCGCGTTGAATCCGCAAGAGATCACAGGGGCCGAAGTGCTGAGCTCTGGTATCCAAGCCCCCAAGACCTGGATCATATGGGGTGCTATCTGCCTCTTGGCTGGTTAGAGTCTACAGACTGAACATCTACGAATAATCGAGCAAATGGTTGACCATTTATTTTGGAAGTTCATTGGTCGTGGTAAGGCGGAATGTGATTTACTGCTTTGGGTGCTCCTAATATTTATAACTGGACATTTCAAAGTTTCCAGGAAAAAGAGAAAAGCGCCCGGTAGAGGTTAGTGGACAGGGAGAGCTACAGGCTACATAACATTATGGTTATGCGGAGCAAAATCTAGGTACTCAGCCCTCACCACGGAATTTTATCACTTGTTCTAGCTTCGCAAATGGGGATGAAACTTGGTGTTATGTATTGCTTAGTGGGCAGTAAGATAATTATTGCCCTCGTGGTTTTATGTCAGACACGATCGATGCATTTGAAAATGACATTAGATACATGTGTATCTAAGCACAGAAAACGGAGTTGTGTGAGGTATATGTTTGAGACACGGCCACGTTGGCAACTGCAAGCGAGGTTAGGGTGTGGTTATGTGCATGGATTATAGACAGCTGTTAGGATGACCAGTTCATCTTGACACCAGATGACTGGCTTGAGCATCTCGATAGTCTGAAAGTACACCCCACAGTCCAGTCAGAGACATCCAATGTCTCATTCACATTCAATAGTATCGGGCCACGACAGCCGTCAGCTAGCCACATTTCGCTGAAATGGTATCATTGCGTTAGTTTCCACGCTTAAAGCAGACACTTACAGATAGCATATTAGTAACGTGTATGATAACCTTACTGAGACTTCTCATGCGGACACATAAAAGAACAAACGGCTGGATGTTCGTCTCCATTACTAAGCTAACACTGAAATTAACTGACATTTTACAACCATGATTAGTGCTAAGCTGGAACCTGTGTCCCCTATTGGTTTTAAGATTAGGGATGCGACGCTCAATGATGTCGGTGATATTTCACGCCTGTGGTTCCTCTCCTTCAATCAATCTCATAAATTCTTTGAATATGCCACTCCAGAGAGCCCAGAGATTCGAGCATGGCTTGAAGAAATACTCGTCATCGGCATCAAGGCTGGACCATCTGTCTTCCGGACATTCGTGGTAGAGGATGTCAACATGAATCACAAACTGGTGGCTTTCTGCAGGATCCACTTTCCTCGGCCAGATGGAAATCAGGAGATTCCCATGCCTGAATTCCCGGATGGATATGATCCAAAGATTGTCGATGGTCTCTGGGGAGGAATGGAGAGGAATAGAGCTAGCATCATGGGCCGGCAATTGCATTGGAGTGAGTCAAACCTTTCATCTTCCTGAAATTGTATATCAGCCTGTTCATTATATCTCTCGACCGAATTTGAGAGCATGGGCTTACCTTCCAATACAGTGGGGGGGTTCATTGGTGTTGATCCGCTGTATCCAGGGAGAAGTTTAGTCGCGCCTCTAATGGATTGGATATGCCGCCAAGGCGACGCAACTGACTTACCCATCTACTTGGACGCTACTGCTGATGCATTGCCAATACACAAAAAGCGGAATGGGTCTACGGAAGTAAAACCTTTGGTTCTTAAAGACCCTAATACATATGGGAGGTTTGAGGTTGTTGCTATGGTGCGGCTACCTAAGAGACCGGGATTCCGAAGTTCTCTTTGATGTCTAGGAAGAGCGATTCAACGGCGGTATTTGAAAAAAGTTCCTACACATGATTTCGTCTGAATTCAACTTAGTCGAAAATTGTATCTTTAGTTTATGGATGAAGGAAGCGAGAATATGTTTCAAGCTCTTGGTAACAGCTAGCTAAGGACATAGTCATAATCGCAATAAACCTTTTTCGTTAAGCGGAGCAGGTTTCAGGTTGAGGGCCAACAGCCTCACAAAAATCAACTACAGGAATCTTGGCATCCTAGAATGTAATGTCAGAGTCCAAACCAATGTATTGCGCGAGAGCGGGAGAGGGAAATCATCCTTACGTATAGTTGAAGTGACCAAAGGTTAGTCAAAGATCCCGCAATCTTTTGCTTCAGCGCAACGCCGACTGAAATTCCAATATTGATACTTCCTTCGACTGCAGTTTGAAACTTTTCGCAGGCAGTACAGGTAGTTGCTGGATAAAAAGTTAGTTCTAGTTAGACTCATGCGCATGACTAGCACAGGTTACATACAAAGAAGGGCCTTGAGAGCGGCAGTTACGTAGGGCAGCTTGGCCTCGAGATCTGCAACGAATCCAGTTTCTATGAAGATACAACGACACGCATTAGTGATTTGAGCTTTCGCTTTTCAGGTGACCTTTCGTACCAAGAGCACTTATCTCCAGTCCTACTGCAGCATTGAGAGCTGCGGTAGCAGTCACTTGAACAGAAGCGTCTGCTTTGAAAGGTGTAGGTTCAAAGATGGGAGTCCAACCCTCCGACTTCGTGTTTTGTTCGTTCAGGAAGTCTAGCCGAGCGGTGGAAGGTGGGACAGTCGATGTACCGCCAACAGTAATAGTCACATTACCTTTGATGGCGCTGACTCCAGCTGACAGGGAGACTCCGACGGTAGGACCAATAGTTAGGATATTCGGAATGGATATTCCGGCTGGTGATGCCTTAAAAAGCGTTAGGCTTCCCTCAAAAAGTGTGTCAGTGAAGTCGCCTTGAACATTGATGTCGATGATTGCAACAGAGTTAATACCAGGGGTACTGAGCTCAACCCAAGCCTCCTCGATCTCAAACAACCGAACGCGGAATTGAGCCTCGACATCGAAGCTACCTGAAGTCGAGCAATTGCTGCAAGACCCAGAGATAGAGACACCGTTGATGTCAAAAGGAAGCTTGGTACCGCTGAGGTCAATGTTGAAGGGAACGGATAAGTCAGGATTGACATTGATCACGCCGTTGAATAGGTCTTCGAACCAGCCCCGGCGGGCCAGCGCCGTCTGGTTTTCGTGCAGGGCGGCTTTACCGATATTCAAGTCGTAGCTATGTATAGCTTGCTTCCACGATATGTGGTCCGCCTGAAGCAGGACGGTTTTGGTATCGCTGTTAAAATCAAGCCCTTGAACCGAGTAGAGAACCCGCTCCGTGTTCCAGCCGCAATCACCAGCTCCGATCATAATCACGAAGCTGTTGCTCGGATCTTCTGAAACCCAGTTCCAAATCTGGCTGGCGGCGCCAAGGTCGTTCTCGTCGACAAAGTCAATTGTGATTTTCCCAGCGCCATCTTGCGGACAACTGATTGACTCAATGCGATCGTCAAAATATTCAATGTCGACAAATGCCTCACTTTTACCGGCCATCTCAAGCCAAAGCTCGGCTATGGTGCCATCCTCACCAGCCCAGTATAGTGTATCCTCTTCTAACAGATCGAACGGGCTTTGGCTATCACGCTTCTTTTTTCCTGCTTTGGAGCTAGGGCGGACGGGCTGCAGGACCACAGGGCTTTCAACAGACTGAGTAAGAGGAGAGTCTCCGGTAGACCTTTGAGCAAAAGAAATCAGGTCGCCGTCTCTCTTTCCAATCTTGGGGTGGGAAGAATATTGTCTTGGGCGCCCGCCAACGGCTTGCCCACTAAGGGCCAGAAGGCTTATGAGTGTAGTTGCCGCATAAGTCATTCTGACTGGGTTCCTGTATCAAAATAGGACAGATAGTTGTATGTGTATGCAAAGCCTTGGGCATACAAGCGAACGTAGAAGCAGTCAGCAGAACATCACAATGAGAGCCGCTATTGTTTTTATGTCCGAATGAATTGTGTCCATAGTTAGTGAAGTAATTGAAGAAGTATTGCAACCGACCAAGTATGTCTATACGACCTTCCCGGATTAGCAAGTACCTAGTATCCATGTAGATGATTCTTTTAAAGGTACCTTCTGGTTCTGGCCATTATCTCCTGGGAGTCCAAACAGAATACCGCCATAATCACAGGCCACGCTGCGAACACAGGACTGTGATTGGTAAATGCTACATATAACGCTCTTCTGATATGCCCCCACATGATAACATGTAGGTGAAGCCGGTAGTTCTGCTCAATTAATTCTTTTGTGGAGAGAACTCGGGACTCAAGCTTAAGAATAAGCCTAAAACTCGCGATATTCAAAGAATGTTGTGTACTTTACTAAATACAGTGCTCATGCGAAGCTAGGAAATAGATGCAATGCAAATCAACAGAAGCTTGCCATTACTGGTGAAACCCCTATTATTAGGGACCCTTCTATATTTGCTTCATCATATCCGTGCATTGTAACATGAGCGGTTGCTTGCGGGGCCCTGAACGCGCCATTTTCTGTATTGCGACCCGTGCTCTTCACTTTTTGGGCCATTGTAGTTGAAGGGTCGTATTGGGGATATTTGGTCGGCTTCTACTCCCTTTTGAGCATGTCGCTCCTGGCCGCACTTGGTTGAACAATAAATCCAGGGTCAAGGAACCCACGTGCGCTGTTTGCGCTTGAGAAGTGGCATTTCGGTTTTCCTCATCTTTCTGCTTTTCTTTTATGTCACGAGAAGTAGGTTGAAAGATGGCTGCTGTTGTGGATTGTGTAGAAGAAATATACTTTGACCACCTCAGCGATCGTCTGGAATAATTGTGATATTTACATCCGTTCAAAGTATGACATAGGCTAGAATCTTTTAATTTACTGTAGATGCCACTTGTTCTATGACAGAGAGAGGCGCCGGGCGTTCTGTTATACTCGTAAACAGCTTGCCCACGAATTCCAACACCGAATCAGCCGATTCTAGTGTCTCAGTTACCGTTATTGTCTTGTACCGATCCGAACCATCCACATGACAGAAATGGGGATAGCCTAGCTCATCGAATGCCGCTTGTAGACACTGTGCAACTCTTCGGACCGAACGCTCATCCGTTCCTCGAATGGACAGATCCCTTTTCTCAAGTTGTCCGATCAGATATCGAGCCTTATGGACCTCTGCGAGGCTTAGTTGACTAGGTGCAGATGGAAAAGGAATGAGAGGATGTGTGACTAAGGAAATAGGTGAAGTTATCCTCGACAGCTGCCCATTAAGACCCATGCCAACAGCCAGGAGTGGTTTTTCATGCTGCGCTTTATAGTCGCGAACAAAGAGACCCAGATCGAAGCAATCTTCGATAACCGTAGAAAGAATGCTGAGCTTTATAATATCTGGTCATATGAATTAGCTTATGAGTATGGGATGTGATGTCGCATGACTGACCTCCGAAAGAATTTGCAGCGACAAATTTCTCCCTGAGCACTTCCCCTGTCCAGCGGACATCACCGGTCCAGCTGTGATAAGATGCTACGACTTTGCTCTCGGATTTTCTTTTGGTGATCTCTTGGATGAGATAGTCTGGCCATTCGATTTCGACATCAATATAGCCCACGCCCGCATCCACGGCTAAGATCATCAAATCTAAAGCCTCTTGAACAGCAGTATCAGGGAATTTCCCTCCTTGTGATCGGGTTCTGATCGTGAAAAGTATAGGCAAAGGAGATAGTGACTGTAGCGTTTCGAGTTGCTTCTTCACATATTGAGGATCAGGTATATTTTCTTCCTCAATGACCCCCGACCCAAGCAAGTCGACTCTCAATTCCCAGATATCCCCTGAATATCCAATTCGAGTAAGAACATGCTTTGCATCGTTCACGTCTTGAAAGGTAAGTGGGATTATAAAAGTCTGTTTGCCATTCTGATAATTAGCGGATAGGATATCAGAACCAGAAGACGCGGCCATAGTTGCTAAGAAGGAGCACAAATATTAATTATAATAACTGGGCTTATCACTGTCCACAGGAGACCCGATTCAAGGGAGCTATAGATCGTATTAATACGTAGCAAGTCTGCTTGGTTATGCTTACGCCTGAAACCTTTTCCATTCTATAGCACCGGAGTAAGACAGCCGACATCCATACTTGCCAATCATTTGAGCGATTCAGTAGACAGACCTCCACAAGCCGAGAACTTTAGTGGAAGCTTTCGCAAGTTCAGCGGAAATATGACGTTGTAGCTTAATAGTTTACCCGTGTCACCAATGAGGGGGCGGTTATGGGAGAGTTCTTTTCCGGTTGCGCCGACAAGCAAAACACGGTCCAAATTAGCCCTTTTATTTTTTTCGGGAAATGCCCACGTATATTTAGTCCTTGAAAGAATCAATTACTAAGTGCCTAGCATGGTACTCGTCAGTGCCGCTCAGCCCAATTCGAGCGCTATCAATGGTGTTCAGGTGGCCGAAAATTGACTCCTCGGGATCCGGAACCGAGCATTCTGAGGTTCTTTTCTAGAGATAGTAACATCAATGAATGACGGAGTAGAGTAATAGTCACAAAAAGTCAGGGCTCAATCAGCATAGTTTCATGGCTCGAGTGTGAGGATTCGTAGAGTTGAAGTTGTGCGGGAAGGAGGAATAACTGCCGCCTATGCCGACAAACCTCGAAATTTCGAGTATAATAATAGTATTAGCGAAGATGACTATTACACTACTCCGCCTTTCATCGCTCAAACGGCCATTTTGCAAACACCTTGATGTGAATCCATGTAGTGGTCATGTGGAAGATATTGATACTGGCTTTCTAGATCATGGGGGATTGGGGATTGAACTTTGGGCAGGGGCGTGAGCTTGGCTATTTCTCGATGCCGTTTAAAGTCTCGATTTACGGCCTAGGATTGAGAAGGATTTATTGCGGGGTTGAAGATAAGAACGTTCTAAAATAGTTCATTTGTTATCTCGCTTTTGTTCAACAACTGCGTTGCGAGCAATCTCTCCGACATCAGGTGGAGGGTATGTGGGTACGGTGGGATGCCTCCGGGAATGCCGTGCCCACACTCTCGCTTGAACCTCGACCAGGAGGACTTCAAGCTGTTCCACGTACATTACACTAGTGGAAATCGCTAGGTATCTCGAGGCATCGAGTTCTAGTTTATGTCCATTCCTGTATATCGCGGTTTGAGACGTTTTGCAGAGTTCAAAAAGATAGAAGCACGTTGTTAAGTGACCCGAACTAGAAACGTGATATCAACTCTTAACAAGTTGGACATCTTTGTGTTATCCAAATCAGCGCTTAGGGTCTTCTACTTGTTGTCTTGTTGTCTCCAGGTTTTCAATTTGCATCTGAAGTGACGATCGACATTCCGACCTTCCAAAATTGGATATGTCGTCAACTAATTCTGTGATTATGTCTTCGGAGGAAAAAGAGACATCCCCGGACGGTTGAATGCTATAAGAAATCTTGGGTCAGATATCACAGAGAGGGGTCTGATCTTCGGAAATGACAAAGGCATGCTGTAATTACCCTGTTTTTTTACACTGAATTGACGCCATTTAAGGCTCAACTGATCAAAATTATAGGAACCCGCCTTCTATCGGCTACATGGCATCGAAATCAAACCAGTCGCCGATTGCCCTCCCGTAATCTTGTGCCAGAAACATACTTTCCTCGTTTCCATATCCACCAAGTCCTTCTAAATTAACATCCCCAATCGTGATTGCCATGTTGGTTATGGCATGCGGTGTCGTGTCTAAGTTATCCTCGTCCAGGTCAAGGATATTCTCATCATCGGGAGCATAGGCAGGCCCCTGGTGAATCATTGACTTATGACCGCTTAAGCCTGCCGAACCAATCAGGTCAAACTCTTCATCCACAGCGCGAGCTTCAACTCCCTTTTCGGGCGTTTTCGAGATCAATGTGCTTCCCAACATAGAGTAGTCAGCTCTCGCATTAACCTGCCCTGCGCGGTCATATATAAGAACATCCCAGAGTAGTCGAGCATTGATTGAGAAAGAAGGTTCGCCGGAAACAATACTCCTCTCTTGGCTAGCTGCTCTTGGCGGCAAGCATACTACGCTGCCTTGTAAGTTCTTCAGGTTTTCAACCTAACATCAACATTGAGCGTAAGTTGCTTAGACTTCCTCGTAAGAAACAAGATTTTAGGTAGAGTTAATTGCATCGGCAACGTACCATAAGAGCTACAGAAGGCCACATTTGCCCCATGCGCTTGAGAAAGCGAAGGCATTTTTCGAATCCTCTAGATGCCTTCCGTTGCAGGACTGGATCTTCCACAAAGCTATGTTGAAGATGAATTGTTGACACAATAACAACGCAATGCGCTAGCACTGGATCTGAAACCTGGAAAGACTTTCTCTCCAGTAGATCTATGAAGTATATGATCCAACCCATGAACCGTGTCAACTGCTCATAGGATTGCTGAATGAAGCTTTCTGGGATTGTGTGTCGAAAGTGGCGCAGTCGCAAAGACAGTAGGAACGGGTGGTTGAGAAGGCATGGAATGGCAGAGTAAACGAATTGGATAAAAATGAAATGTGCCCAATATCCGCGGTTCTGTAGCAACGTCTCACTGTCGTACTCAGCCATGTTGTTTAAGCGGAAGCGGTATTTGACTGGAATCAAGCAATCGAGTTCCAAATGCCGGCTCATGACCTCGGAAAATTCCGACCTTGAGTCCCATGGCGGTGGATCATTTGCATTTGCTTGTGAAGCAGCATATGCTCTCGCCATTTGCCATACATCGCACAGCTTCTCTGCGTAGAAAGGGATGCCATCATCCCTATGTACCTGTGAAGTCCTGTCAATTCGATCCGCGACGTCGCTCTGCAAACTCGAATATCCTACCGGATACAAGGATGAAGGCACCATCTTTTTGACAGAAGGCAGAACGGAGCTCTGCAATTTCTTGAGTACAGAGATGCTTCTGAAACATTTGTCCCTCTCATTATCTTGGCCGTCCGTTTCGACCCAATTAGTAGTGTCTTTGATGTGATCAGCCATGGCAATATTGAGGCCAGCTTGAGTTACTTTTCCGCCTAGAATTGCTTTTGTGAGTCTAACAAAGATTGGAATATCGTAAAATGTAAGGTGACATACTGGTAAAGTTACAAATGCTTAAAATGCATAGACTTTGTAAGGTAGAAAGCTGCACCTCGCCGTCAGCTATCTTGTCCATTACGGCCCTCCTAGATCTTTGAGAAAGAGTCTCCATCAACTCTTTGCTATGATCGTTTAGTGATCTGGGAGGGAATCTCTCAGTTAGAGCTCCAATTGCACATAAAAGCTCTGGATCTCTGGATTTGAGCGAATTGAGAAACGATGTTTCGTCGAACAGAGTAATGGGCTGTCCATGACACCAGGTCAAATATATGCGCCCCATATCATTAAGTTCATCGTCTGTGAATGTTGCACTACTTTTTCACATTCATTAGCTCGGTCTTGGGCAGAACTGGAATTGTAGGAAGCAAAACTACCTTGGAGTTGATTCAATTTCTCTGGCGGGGCCCGGGTCTGACAAGCGACTCGTTTGAGGTGATGGCAGTTGATCTGAAGGAACTGACGCTCGGCGAAAACTCAAGTTCTCCGGGCTTTTGATCATTTAGAGAGTTGAGTTAGTCAGGTGTTTTAAGATACTCTGAGAGACGCTCTTAGATCACACAACTAACCTGAGCTGTTGGATCAATCGGCTCATTTGCCCTTCAAGACTCCCAAGCCTATGTTCCTAGAATACGGCATTAGCCGAAGGATTAACCAAAATTATCGTTCAACTCATCAAGTCTCACTAATTTTCGATTATGTCTAGCTTGAGCGTCTGTGGGGTCGGAGCCGGAGCCGGAGCTGACAAGTTTGTAGACACATTGCTGGCCGAGCCGTTGGCAATACGAGCATTCTGGCTTTTCTCCAGGACATCGTGACTTCTTCCGCCTAATTACTTTGGATCTTAGTTGGCAATTCAACTATCAATCAGATCAAGTGTGTTTCTAACGGGGGTAAAATGTACCTGCAAGGCTCACAGGCCTGTCGCGTGCGCTTCGTGTAGTGTATTTCCTCCATGCTGATGACTTTCGGCCTTGAACATCACCTAGACTGACGGGGTGCTAATCTCAAGCAGCCAGAGATGCAGTGAAGCTCGTGAAGACGACATCGTTTGAGGTTTATAGACGAGGAAAACCCTGCGAGATAACCGAAGGAGCCCCGAGCTATCGACATGAAGAATGCGGGGTGAGATCCACTAAGAGATAGGGCCATCCCTATTGCGTCGAACCAATTGGTCAGCCCAAGCCTCACGTGCATCATACATCGCTTCGTCTCTTATCTACCCCAATATCCGTACGATAGGAACGTGTTAGCGTTCTACGGGGCACTGCTTTCGTTCACACGAGTATAGACGGTAAAGGATGACAATGACTCTCTCCTAGAATCATGAGATTCAGACAATATGTATTCATTAAGCTTCATAATCTTAAAGATAAGATTTAGTGTCCCTTTGATAACAGAGCAAAGTTCCCCGGTACCCAAATTCCGGGTTGTCCGGATGTTTCATCACTCTTTAGTCCACATCTCTCGCACGCATATAGCTGACAAAGTCAAAAAAGCTCTTCTTGTATCTCCTCTCCTGCGTCGTCCTGTTCACAGTCTGGATCCCGAAATGCGCATCATAGTCGCCAAACTCCCAGTTGTCGGCAAAGGACCACGCATAGGCACCACGCACCTCGACCCCATCTTCCCAAATTGCCTTGAGTGTCTCGGACATGAAACTAAGATAATACATGCTCCGCGGCGTATCGAAGAGCTGGTCAGACAGCTGCTTGTCCGCCTCGCCGTAGACTGGGAAACCGAATTCGGCGATGACGACTGGGTGCCGCCAAGTGTTGTATAGATAGTTGAGGTAGGTGCGCAAGTAGGTGGGGGTCAGGTATACATAGGTCTGAGAACGGTAGCCAATGTTCCAGCCATAGACATCAGCCGTGGTTTGGTTGACACAGTAGGGCCGGTAGGGTGAGCTGTAATTAGATGCACAATCGAGTATACTCTGCGTGTTTCCAGGCTCTGGGGCTGTGATGACGGTAGCAGTATATGGATCGATGCTCAGGGTGTCGGCGGTGCCGTTGATGTATTCCAAATCTTCGGCTGTCAAAGGTACATAATCATGAATAGTGGCTTTGTATGCTTCTGGGTAGTCCTTTCCTAGGAAGATGGGGTTGGCAAAAGGTCCCAACTGAAAGGAGTTGAAATGCTCGGCTGCGTAAAGATCCGACTCATTGGAGGGGTCTTTGGGTACACCGAAGTTGTTGTTCATCTTGAATGATATAGCTCCCGTTCCATTGATCTCCTCCTTGTAAAAGTGATAGACTCGAGCATGAGCCTTTATCACATTGTCAATCGATTTTCCATTGTCCGCATACAGAAGCGGCTCGTTGAAGGTGAACCACGTAGCCACACGGTCGCTGTAATGCGTCATGACAATCTTGGCATAATTGACAAACGCATCTTGGAAGGTTTCGTTCTGGTAACCGCCATTCACGTAACCAATTTCAGCATGCTTGAGAGCTTGCGTGAGATTGTCACCGTAAAACTGGATGGGAGTGTCGAAGTGTAACAGAGTCACCTCTGGTACCATGCCCTTTTCCAGGACGAAGTTGATTACGTCGTTGTAATGGTCAATGGCCTGTTGGTTGACTGGAGTTCCAGGGAGTGCAAATGGCAATATACGGGTCCATGCAATGCTAAAAGCAAAGTGTTTGACTCCCATAGCCGCCAGGCGCTCGATGTCTTGCTTGTAGTAGTAATAATGCTCATTTGTGACGTAGTCTGTTGCAACACCGCCGCGGAAATTGATATCCATCAGGGACGGTCCCTTGCCCTCCTCGGCGGTGGCACCCTCAATCTGCGACGCACTACTGGAAACTCCGAATTGGAAACCTTGAGGAAAGTTGTAGCAATCCGTTGGCCCAAAGTAATCAGCGGGTGGGAGAACAAGCTCATTGCTCGGGATCGGGGTTGGCTCTACGGTAGTGCTGTAAATTGCCGTCTCGGTGAAGTTGGGAGGGTTTGCATATTCCCACAAAGCCGTCCAAGCCGCATTGCCATATGGATTTTCCGCATCAGTCGCTGTAGTTGTAGCATTGGGATCCCACTTGCCCCAAGTAGTGTAAGATTGTGACGGGATCAAGGTAGCCAGCGAAACTGGAGGCGGTGCATACGTTGCAGTAGTCGTAGGCACTGTTCGAGAACTGGCATATCTCACTGTCGTGGTCTGGGTATAACTAAAGGGTGTGAAGGTATAGCTTGGGTGGCTTGGGCCCTTGTTTGAGCATTGGGGGCGAGGTTCAGGATCTTGTCCGGGTGTAAATATTTGCTGTGCAAGCACCAACGAAGGTAGTAACATCATGGGGCAAATTGTCTTCATGGTGACGAGTATGACTCTCGGTAACACGGAGTAAACATGAATTCTGCTCAGTATGTGACTCTACACAGGAAACATCGTCAATTCTTATACCTTCACCCGCGAGCTCTCTAGTGGCACATGGCATATGATCTCATTGTGCAATTATTCGGTCCGATACTTGGTTGGAGCTTGATAACTCCATAACGACGGATAAATCCTGCCATCGGAGAGGGGCTTGATGGAGAAGAGGCATTTCACTTGGATGAAGGGCAACGCCAAAGTAGAGGAATAGTCCTCTGCCAAGCTGAATGTTAAATGTCATATCGCCACTCATTTAGTATCCCAAATGATCGCTACAATTCGCAATCAGCAGCATATGGATGGAAACAAGATAATAAAATTTATTCATTGAACAACGTCAACTTCTCCGCATTAGCCAGTCGTGGAGAGAAGATCGTGCATTTAACCGGGGCCCCAGCTTCTGGCTCATTTTCTCTACTAGCTCTTTTTACACGAATGTACAAATTCGTCTACAGCCCCGGAAGAGCCGTCAGTGCTTAATTCTCCGATTCTCCGTGGTTGATTGGATTAATGAACGAGGCATGCTTGCTCGGTCCGACTTTTCGCCCGCTAAGGACAAAGAAGTTCATAGAAGATGGCAAAAAGAGGACACCTTGGTGCACTAAAAAGACTTTAGTTGAATCTATCTGTTGTGACTGGAAATGGCCTGACCAGTCTGATAGACGCCACTCATGACCAACCCGACGGTAGTGGAAGAGCAACCCGACGGCAGCGGAAAAGCAATCCGGTGAACTCCAGGCGGAATCATTACCATCGTCAAATATCCGTCGTCCAGAGAATAGAAGATCTTTCAAAATCTGGAAACGGCCTGAAGGCCTAGTGGAAGAACTCCAGTTAGCAGTTGTTAAAGTACAGTGATAGGCCGAGGCACAGAAAACATACCGATGAATCCAAATCAAGCCAATCGGTGGCCTGCCATTCATCAACCATGGGTAGCCCTTGATATATCGAGTCCTCTCCTGGTTCTTGAAACATACTTCCGATGTCCATAGCTAGACCATCTGAACTTTGCAACTGATCCACACTACTGGCTCCAGAAATCCCTTGTAGTACCGCAGGACGTCCGTGGCGTGCCTCGAGGCGTAGCTCATCGAGGATAATGCTATAGCGCCGAGACGGGGAATCTCCAGCCGTAGATTGAGCGAGGTAGCTTTGACAACGCTCAGCCAGCTCAAATAAGAAAGGGTCGTCAATCGCTAACTCTCCCTTTGATTTCTTTTGCTGGATCTCCCAAACATAGACAACTGCGAGCGCGCAGAACGTAACATATGGCGTCCACCACAACGCATGGAAAAGAGCTCCGTCACATACAATACTGTCCACTGTTTCAAGCGCCATTCTTGCAGCAGTTATACATTCTGTGACGCTTTCACTCAGAGTCTGGCTGTTCGACCTGGTGGGAGATCCCAGAAGAAACGGGCGATTAGCATGCATGACCGCATGACAGTATGCCAGTTTCAGTGCCGTGGCTTGCCGGCGGAAGCTTGGAATGAGGCTGCGTGGCCGAACAGTGCCGAGGTGTGGTGGCAGTTCGTCTCGCCACTCATGTAATGTTCGAACAAGCTTTTGAGCTGCTGCCAATCGCTCGTGCTTTTGGACACTTTTCAAAGAGTACACCTCTCGGGAAATGCTGTCTACTATGCGAGCAATTCTGCTACAGGTAAGCGAAACTCCGCACCGTAGATGCTGGATGTACGTACTTTGCATGGAATATCAGTGAGTCAATATGGCAGTCCATTGAAGGTTCCAAAAGGGAAGGACCCTGAGGAGTCATATCCTCATCGTTAACCTTATCGGGGTACTCCTGGTCAATATCATCGTCATGGTACAATCGTGGTCGGCCTAGAACGACAGAAAGATATTTGTCTATCGTATACACAACCCAAAAAGTTCTCTTACGGCCTTGAGAGGCAATATAGTCCACATTTGGGCTTCGACTGGCTCCGTTTCTATCCCGGCTTGCCTTTCTGTGCAAGCCTAGAGCGGATACTATGGGCACCACACTCCCAAACACGTACCATGCTTGGTTCATCCTGGCCGTCTGCAACAAATAGAGAACCTGCAGAATCCGAGCTTGAACCGACTCAAGCCTTGGGAGACCCTTTTCTTCATTTGTGAGTGCTGTTGCACCACAGAAGAACTGGTCACTCTGCTGGAGGTAATATCCACCGCCATCATCGGTGGACCAATTTCCGGCGACCTTGTTCTGTCTCAGGCTGGCGATTGCAAGTATTTCAAGAATTACTGCTGCTTTTGCATGCCCGATATCATGATAGAATGGAAGGCTGTTCTCGGTGTTGTTAAGTAAAATATCAAGCCAGCGAGAGCAAAGTTGGCTGTTAAGACATCGATAGGTGACCACGCATCGGTCAAAGTAATATTCAAGGAGCTCGGTAACTGACTGGCGATCTGGAAGTCTCACGCCTTGATTAGGATCATATGCAAACGGCCTGTCACCGGCTGACATGAGAGGTTGCATAGATTCAGAGCCATTCAAAACTCCAGGCACGTTGGCGCCTTTGTGATGCGATAATCGTTTCCAAGCTCTGTGTAAAAAGGTCAAATTGGAGGTTGGGTCGAAGAATTGTCCTTCAATCTCGGTCGTATCCAGCTCTGGAGACCCGCGCGATGGGAAGGCCTCGGCTGGGATGGGTTCGACCGAATTCGTGTCCGCTCTTCGTGTGTCGTTGGCACTTGGGGCTTGTCGCCCCTCCCAAGGGTTAGACGGTCTATTAAAGTATCAGTTCTTTGGTGCGGCTTGAGAACATCTGTAGAGACCAGATCCGTGCAATGTCATGGGCGTTATACCTGTCTCCTTCGTCATCATCCTGACTCTCGCGAATCGGCACTTCGCGTTGTTGCGAGACAACTGGCGGCGGGGTCGGCGGCCTGCCACGTCGGTATTGGGCGTCATATTGGCACTCTAGACCTTTCTTGATGCATATTTGGCAGGGGAGGGTGCCTGTGCATCTCAGCTTCTTCAGCTTGCAAAAGTCGCATGCCCTGGATACTTTGTTCAGTTTCCGGCGGCTTCCGGATTCCGGGGCCTGAGGCTTGGTTCGCCTGGATGGAGTAGCTGATGCAGTATTGTCGGAAACCCCACGGCGTCGTTTCGGCCTCGGCAATGCTGATGGGTCATCGAGATGAGCGGGCGACGCGTCAGAAACTGGCGTGGGATTTCCGGTCACACTGAGGCCACTGCTTGGGGTGGCCATGGCAGAGTTGTGTGCGGGTGTATGTCAATGGAGATTCCGGGCGTCCGGATTCTGGATGGCAGTTCAAGGATCCTCCCGGGCCCAAAACGATGCCTGGGGAATTGTTCTCAGGGATGAGCGGGGCCCAGAGTCTCATATGAGGATCAAGCGACTTCACACAGCACGGCTCGGGTTTCTCGCGCTGCCGTACACGCGACGAAGTATGGAGAGGGAGAGCCAGAAATCCGGATTTCCAGGGAACCTCAGCTCAGCTCCGGAAAAACGACTGTGTGCTTTGGGCATAGTCAGACAGTCTTGAGTCTAACCCAATTGGCTTTCGAAACCTCCACCTCTACCAAGCACCAACCACGGTGCCTGTGAGAGTTCAATATTAAGATGTGACTGCTCTTATTTTTGTACGGGACATCTTGTCGAAATATTCTAGCACTAGTTGGCACTTTGTTTGATTGGGAAAGAAGATCCAACGATTACTATGGTAGGTTGCTGTATAGTACATCTATTGACTTCTACCTCCTGTTGCAGGAGATATCATTCTTTAGAATTTTGGGACGCTCCAAGGATATGTGAGAATTCTAGCATCTTTGTTAATTTTACCTCCACAAAGGTGTACTGTCTTGTCGTACCTTGCTGTGCAGTAGTTACAGCATTCGACCGTGGGCTTGTATTGTCATGAACGGTCTCCCAGCCAGAGATGAATTACGGATGTATTATATCTTGATATCCAAGTCTCGACACTTAAGACAAGAGAAATCTTTAAGTGCATCAGTTTCTTTCTGCCACCCTTAAAGTCTATCGATGTGGAGGTGGGGAGAAGGTTTTAAACATTGAATCTATTTGCAGCACAGCAGTATCATTCTGTCATAATATAGATGAAATTTGGCTATATCAAGGGATTGAAGCTTTTCGCGTCTGTCAATGCCTGAACCAACAGTGCATGACCACAAAATTTCGGGTTTCCCAGCTCTAGCCAGAGTTTGTGATTCCTTGATCATTTACCACCACATCCCAAGACCTCCTCTCGTTACAGGTTGTATTTCAAGAGTGGACTCTTCTCACCCAGACGGTTCAGCTCATCATCAGTGTACCTGGATCTAATCTCTTCCTCCGACATCTGAGCCCTCTTTTTGTTGACTCGCTTGAGCATAATCTCAAGCGTGGTCGCAGCTACCATGCCAGCGCCAGCAAACGCAAGAGAAGTTCCATAGCCTGTTGGGTATGTCGGCTTTTCTTTATCAAGATAGATGTAAGAGCCAATAAGGCCGCCAACGTTGCCAAGACAAACCAAGAGGCCAATGCTAATAGAGCGCTTGGCTGGGTCGGGGGTGTTGGCTACATTCCATGCGTTCACTCCGGGGAGAATTGGGTACATCCTAGACGATGGGTTAGTCGAAGCGAGTAATAAGGGATATCATAACCGGCCACTCACCCAAAGCATGCAAGGCAGACAGCAAAATAAAGAGGTGCAATATTGCCCTTGACATTCGTTGACAAGCCAAATAGTATTCCAAATGCCACGATGAGGCACGTCTGTGGGGCAATAATGAACGGATACCTCCATGAGTACTTGTCGGCAAAAATGGCAAAGCAATAGGAAGAAATTGCGCCAATAATGTAAGGAGGTACCGTCATGAGTTGCGCATTTGCTGAGGTGTAGCCCATAGAGGTAAGGATCGTAGGCATCGTAAACTTCATGGCGTAGTTCGGCACAGCGTTAGACCAGTTGGTGAAAATAAGGAGGTAGATCTTGAAATCCATGAAAACGTCTTTGAACAGAGCCCAGTTGAAATGGTCGTCTTCCTTATACTCTCCGGGCGAAGTGACGCGTCGTGCCAGTTGGCGGAGTTCCAGGTAGCGTATCTCCTCTGGCTCAAGCCAGCCTGCAGAGAGAGCCGGGGTGTCACAGAGCAAGAAGAAGCACATTACTCCCACGGCAACGGTGAAGATTCCTTCGATGATAAAGATCCATCTCCAGCCCTCAAGCCCAGCCATGCCGTCCATCTTGGCAATAGCAAAGGCAAGCAGGCCGGAGAAAGCACCTCCAGTAGCGGCAGATGTGTATAGAATCGCGATTCGTGTCTGGGTCTCGTTGGGTAGATACCATTTTGAAATAATCAAGATGGCTCCAGGCAGAAAACCGGCCTCGAAGATGCCCAGCAGAAATCTAATTGCCAAGAGACCTCCGTAATTGTGAACGATGCCGGTCAATGTCATGATGATTCCCCAAGCAAGGACAATGACGCCGATGTAAAAAGACGGTCGCTTGAATTTGTGAAGGATCATATTCGATGGAACCTCTGGAGATATGATTAGGCATTGTGGTAAGGGAATTGCGTTGGCAAAGAGTTAGCTCACCACATAGAATAAAGGGGATGAAGAAAATAGCCACGGCCACATTGTATTCGATTCCTTTCATGTTCAAATCCTCTACAAGCCCCTCTATCTTGGCATTGCCGATATTGGTTTTATCGAGGTAGGCCATCAAGTAGAGTAAAACGAGCATAGGCACAAGCCGCCACTATGATAGTCAACAAATAGTCAATGTCTAGGTAGGATTTCACGGTTATTCTTACATCAACTTTTCGAATAATTTTCTTCTTACGCTCTTCTGAAAAATTTGCAAGAAAACCGGCATCTTCTTGAGATAGCCCTCCCCGCCGGAACTCAGCATGAACGGCGGTATCTTTCTCGGTGGGTACTTGCTCGAGATCTCGAGACCCAGTAGATGCGCGGACAGCGGCCATTGTGAAATGGCTTTCCAAGTCGCAACGGAGAGAAGACGATGCTTGTATTGGACGGAAGACTTTGGCAAGAGTGAGACTTGTATTCGGGAAGAATTGTCTGAGTGAAAGATGAGTTGAAGAATCAAGAAGATGAAGAGAGTATTTAAGGATTTTCAAGATTTAGGGAGTCGCCTAACCCGAAATGAGCTCGTCTAAAGATCCCCCGGACTTTGCAACTCTTGGGGTAGAAGAGAGGGATCAAGTGCACAGGCTTTCTCCAACAGACAACACAGAACATCTCCAGACGGGGAGCCAAGTAGACAATGCGGGGTAAGTGTGGCCTGTTCAGCACGGCTAGCAAGCCCTTGGTTTATGGAGTTCTCCGGATACGTCAGCTAGTGGGAACAGATATTGGGGTTGGCACCTTAGATCAACCCGGATTGAATCCGGGTGGAAACTCGCGAGAGTCAAGGAGCATCTCGCTACCCACATATTGAATCTCGAAGGCAAATCAAGTCAGGAGCAGCCTTGTCCTGTAGCACCCAACTCAGCCCGAACGAGGAGAACTGGGGCGTTGCTCCATAAGATTTGAAGGACTAGTCATTATGGACCGGAACCCATGGATTCTCAATCCGGATATTGTAAGTTCTCGATGGATCCATGTACTAGCCAAAGTCTAGAACTTGCCCCGAGCCCCCTTTATCGGAAATCCACCCCTCTAGCCCAGCAAGAGAGCCCGGAAACATGGCCATGGATGAACATCGACAGGCGACCCACCCATCTTCGACAAGCCACTTAACCCAAATGTTTCCGGGAATCCGAGCTCGGTGACTATGCTTTTCCGAGTTGCTCACCAACCATTCTCTCCTCTAGCTGGCTTGGCTCGCGGATTTTGCTATACATCCAGGTGCACATTGAAGATCTCCGAGTTCCCGGAAGATGATAGTAGCACACAAGGTATTCTCGGCCTCAGCAGTTGAAACCGAGTCGCGAGGTATCACTGGATATATAAGTGGCAGAAAATACAAGAGTAGAAAGAGCTTTTATCACATCCAAAACACACACTTCTCTCACATTCAACCAGTAATCAACTCTTCAAACACATATCAGCCTTTTAATCCTCTCGAATCACTTCAGTTGTTCACCATGTCTATCGATCTCAAGGGTCTTGTTCCTGCCCCTGTCACCCCCTTCACCGAGGATGGCAAGGTCGACTACGAAGCCATCCAGCGACTTGGCTCTTGGCTTGGCAGCTTAGAGGGTGTCAAGGGCCTTGTTGTTCTTGGCCACGCCGGAGAAGGAACATTCCTCACTGCGGAGGAGCAAGTGGAGACCATCAAGGCATTTGTCAAGTCTGTCGATAACAAGATCCCCATCATCGCTGGTATCACAGGTGAAGGCACCGAAGTCGCCGCCCTGGAGGCCAAGCGGGCCAAGGAGGCTGGTGCTCAGGCTGGCTTGCTCTATCCTTCTCACGGCTGGCTTCGATTCGGCTACCAGCCGGGAGCTCCCCAGGACCGCTACAAGGTCGTGTACGAGGTTTCAAAGCTGCCTCTGATTCTCTTCCAGTACCCAGACAACACCAAGGCTACATACAGTCTGCAAACTCTCCTGGACATTGCCGCTCAGCCTGGTGTCATTGCCATGAAGAACGGCGTTCGCAACATGCGTCGCTGGGACACTGAGATCCCCGTCTTCCGTCGTGAGCGACCCAACGTCCCCGTCCTCACCTGCCACGATGAATACCTTCTTCATACCGTTTTTGACGTGGACGGCATGCTCGTCGGTTATGGAAACATTGCGCCCGAGCCCTTATACGAACTGATTCTGGCTGGTCGCGCCAAGGACTACAAGCGTGCCCGCGAGCTCCACGACCAGCTACTGCCCGTCACCAAGGCCGTCTACCACCGGGGATCTCACATGGAGGGCACTGTTGCGCTGAAGCACGCTCTGGTCGCCCGTGGTATTCTGTCTCATGCCACTGTCCGCTCGCCACTGCTGCCATTGCCAGAGGGAGCCGAGCAAGAAATTCATGCCGCAATCTCATCTGCTTCTTTGAAGAGAGTCAACTAGTAGACTACACACTGCATTTAAATTAGAATTTCAATAGACATTATTTTTTGTAATCCTCTGAGAGCCAATGGGGAAATGACTCGTGTCTACCGCGGCCTACCCCTTTCCCACCATCAGAAGACGTATTGTAAACATAGTAAAATGTACCTCCCTCAATACCTAATGACATAGATAATAACATAGCCGGTTGACAGCGACACCTCTTAATCCGGGAGTTGAGGAGTGTGGTTTTTGGAAAATATGTTCAGGGGGCATTTACCGCTATATACCTCCTGAAGCATGATGTCATGGTTTGATAATTGACTGTTTTACAAATTTAGGAGGGCACACATTGAGCTAGTTTCCAAGGTTATGGCCGTACATTCTCGCATGTCCAGTTAATAACAGAGCAATGTTGTTGATAACAAAAAGAAAAACAAAGATAGGACTTTGAGGTCCAAGAAATTTTAAAACTCCAAGATCAGCGTTGTAGACCCATATACTTACTCTGTAATAACACCAAAACTTGTCGTTTGGAGGTTCTTACGCTCAATTCAGGGTAGGCCTTCTTGGAGTGAGTGAATATCGGGAGAGTCTCACCATCATTATAGTCCCTCCACCTGAATGTTGTTCACGGTACATGAGACAATGGGACTGGATAATAGCAGGAATGACAGCTTTGAGCAGATAAGATCTAAAATGAAGCAGCTTGATTGCGACAGCAAAGTACTTGTTTCAAAGGGTAACCTATGAAGTCTCTATTCTCCTATCTTATGTCAAAAACTATGTATGTAACTACGTTCAAGATCAATGAAGTTTTGTCCTCATCAGGAATGATGATACACTTAAGATAGCCTGCGATCATATTCGTTGAATATAGTCAACAGCTTCACATCATGAGCTTGTTCTTTGAGCCATATGTCTCCACGATAGGGGCGGCTGGGGCCATCATCCTTTTCCAATTGAATGATTTTGGCGACATCATCGGTGAATGCTCGACTCCAAGCTTCATCTTCAGGTTCGTCCCAGTGTAATTCAAACCTGGAGAGCGCCGTGCCTAATGGCATGGCGCACTCATCTTGCAGATCTAGCATTCGCCCACCACCGAGGATCACCAGCACGTACATCCTCTTGCGTGCTTCATGATGCTGGACTGATTTGAACTTCTCAAATAGCTTAGGGAACATTGCCTCGCAGGTAGGCTTCACCCAGTAAGAGATGGAGGTAAAGTATGAGCTTGCCATTTCCCGTAGCACTGAAGTCTCCTTCCAATACTTACAAGGGTCAGCCTGTAGCGCCTCAGGTGACATCTCGGCCAACATCCCGCGGTTGAATGATAAAAAGTCAGAGGCCGGAAGCATTCGTATATCAATAAGAGACCCTTGATTCCATGCTGTAATGTCATCTACCAGGGACGTGACTTCATGGCCCAAATGACGTTTGAGGCTATCAAGCGTTTGACTCAAACTGAGAAGACTCACGACATTGAGCGAGCACACAGGTTCAAGCTGATCTGGCTCGAAGTGGAATCTTATAGACACAGAGACATCTCGGGGAAGATTGAGGGCATTCGAGAAGGCGCCATGTGAGACTACTGTATCCAACTGTGTCTGAGAGATACGAGTGAATCTCCATGTGGCCTGTGGTGGCTCTTGAATCAACCGGAGGCGTATTTCAGTCGCCACACCTATTTCCGCCAAAGCTCCTCCTCGCATCGCGAAGAGGACATCGGGGTGCGAGCTTTCGCTGACATCTATGACTGAACCATCCCAAAGCGCGACGCGACCCCCAGTGACATTTTGACACCCCAAACCATACTTCCGAGCAAGGATGAGATCCCACCCAGCTGTGAGGAAATGACCACCGGCACCGACACCGAAGCAATCCCCATGTGGTACCGCTTTGTGATGCTTTGCTAAGATGTCAATGGTCTGCCCCAAAATACAACCAGGCTCCAGGTGAAGGGTATCGTCGGCAACCCATTTCTTCGTCATGCGGGCGAGGCTCAGCATGATGCCCGAGCAGGAGGCGCCATTGAAGTAGCCGTGTCCACCGCTCTTGACTGAAACTGGAACCTTCCCATACAGTTCCAAGTCTTTCAGTAGTTTCAACGCTTTGGAAACCCCCCATTCGCTCTTGGGACAAATGACGAGAGCAGGGATTGGAGCATTTCGGTCATGCATCACAGCCTCCGGTGGGACATTGGAGCCATGAGTCTCATGGAATGCGATTCCGTATTGCTTGAGGCCTCGTAGCAGCTGAGGCATGCGCTGATGTTCGTGGGTTATCAAGTTTGGCTGGCCGTTTGGCTTCAGGTAATCAGAGTTCTCCAATGCCTTTCCGAGTCCTAAAGGCTTGAAGAAATCAGAAGAGGGCACCAGGGCGGTTTCTATAGTTGTTGCCATTGTAGGTAGATTGTGCAGCGAGTTTCTGGAATATTCAAAGTATCTCAAGTGAGTGACTGGAGACGAAAGGGATTGGGAAACGGGAGTGGCCTTGGGAATAATGAGTGCATCAAGGGCAGGATTTACGTGCTCATAGGTTAAGATATATATGTTTACTCTCAACTTCCTTTGCAGGCAGCACTGGTTCCCACGGGCAAATGGATGTCTGGTAAAAAGATTATTCCCGAGATCCCAGAATGTTAACATCAAACTGGGATCAGATTCCTTAACCTCAACACGGCGTTATAAAACAATTAGTCTGTGCCAGATGAAGTAATGGCGCCCGGTATAACACTATACATAACGAGTGGGGATATCCGTAGCTGAACAACTCTTTGTACTAAGTCTATCTACTTCAAGTAATATATAGACTTGGTGTTCTTAATCGACGCATAAAAAACACCTCCTTGAAACAGGAGCAGCACAGACCGGCAGTTGCAAACTAGCGAGCTATGCCGTCAAAAGCATATGGTCCGTGACTTCGGGTCCTATTTGGGATAGTGATCCTACCAAGCATTGTGGAGAACTTTCCTAGTGTAACGAAGGCTCCTCGGTATGTTGCCGCGCGTTGTATTACAAAAGTTCATGGGACAGCCGCTAGTCATTGCTACTATCAGCTGATTGGATGGTTTCCGACCGTGTTCTAACAGGCGAAGCATATAGAGTTCTATGAGGCATTTGCATGATTGTGGCTAACAATTGAACACGTACATGCAAGGCTCACGTCGACATGAAAGTGAGTTAACACAGAGGGCCAAACCATACTCCTGACAACTTGCAAAACCAAATGTGGCGGTAATGGCGCTTGAACATCACTAGAAAGGGGCAAATCAGCTAATTGCCGTTGTGATGCCGGCCACTGGCTCTCAGGGATTGATTCAACGACAACCTTTCTCGTCAACAAAAGATAAGCTAATTCCTTTGGTGGGACTCGTTTTATCGCTATGTCTTAGGTATGCCCTTGGCAGCTAGGAACCCCACCAATGGCCCAGTTTGAGGTTTTGAGGCTCCAAACTTTGCCAATGTCGGCTAGAAGCGAGCTTCGGTACTCATCGCTTGGTCTCATCATTGGCCAGTTTGGTGTTTTAGGCATCTACATCATAGGTATAATTGTGATAATATAGATAACTAATAAGCGAACGGAAATGCAAGTTCCAATTTCCAACAGGTGATTAATATGGATTGACTCGTGCCAATAAGGTCGTCACGTGGCAACCATTATATCTCTCCTACCCCGTTTCTCCAAGTCTTGATCTATGATTAACTATGCTGATTCAAGATTTACGAGCTGCCTCCTTTTGGCATATACTTCTTACTTATGTTAATGTATAGTAAACAATCAATAACGAATTGATAGTTTTTCACACAGGGGCCACGCAATGTGAACACCTGCATCTAACAAATGTGCTAGTAAGCTAGTGGCTTATTAACGTCTTCACATCTCACTGACGATCCGAGAAACATACAGCTTTTAGTTTTCAAAGTCTAGATTCTTTAAGCTCGAGATGGGTTCCAATAAGCTGTAATGTATGCAAAGCTCATGAACCTCATCTTCTGAAATCGCTTGACGGCATTAGCAAGTTTAACTGTCACATGAAAATCAATAGTGGGTTGAATGAAAGTCCTAAGAGAAAGATAAGAACATGACAATTTAACGATATTGATAAAATTCCCCATCCAAGAACATAGAAAATGCCCAGAAGCCAAAGTTTCACCTTATGCTGATCGTGACTTCTCAACCAACCAAACAATAGACCATTGCGTTTTCCCCTAACGTTAGCCAGCACACTCATATGCCCGAATCTTCCTGTTCTATCGAGTTCTCTTCCTCAAAGGTATCCCAATCATTGCATATTTCAACCAATGTTGAATTGTCAACTAGCCCCGGAATTTCAGCAGCTCGCTCAACAAATTGGAGGCCAAATCCCTCAGATGTGTGCCACCCGATATGGCAGTGCATCAGCCAAGCTCCAGGGTTGTCACTCTCCCAAGCCATGACCAGATATCCAGAGGCAGGGAGCATGGCAGTGTCACGCCGAGGCGGGTTGTCTGTATTAAGGGTAACGGATGATGAATAGGTCTCCGACCCTTGAGCAAGAATGAAGAAGTCATGACCGTGAAGATGGATAGGATGATGTATTCCCCCCGTATTCTGGATAACAAGGTAGACCCATTCGTCAGCGTCTGGCAGCTCGATCACAGCTTCTTGGGTTTCATATTCGGTATCGCTGTTCATAATCATTTCTAGGGTTGGATTGGCCCACTCGACCAGCATTGAAGTGCTGTTCAAATTCCATTTGATGAGACCTGAGGTTCTTGATAGAGAAGCAGATTCTAAATCGCTCCAATCGGCAGACGCAACTGTTTTGGATATGTATGGTGTGATGTTGTCCGTCTCGTCATCACAGCCATCCGTAAATGAATAGCCGGTCGTGGTGGGAGTGCCAGCGGAGTCACCATAATAAACGATACCCTTAATATTATCGGTGCTATCGTTTTCAGAACAGGCGCTTTGTGGGATTGCTCTCATCCAAAAGTTGTCGGCAACATCGGCCTGATCCGCAGTGACAATGATGTCGTAGCGCTGCCCTGTTATTGGTCAGTATATGATATAACCACACGAAGAATGGAAGCTTACCCATGCCAAGGCTAAGTACTGTCGTGGTGTAGGGTTCGATGGGCACCAGATCCGAGGCGATAACGGTCATGGTATGGTTATCGATTGAAAACCTCCAATGCGTATCGACAGCAGCATTGACTAGTCGCATCCGATACGATGTTCCAGAGCTAAAAGGAACAGTCAAGCGAGAACCAGTCTGAGATGAGCTGTCATCATCACCATAGACGTTTGTCCCGTTAATGAGACCGGTATCTAGTGTAGGTGGCCCCTGAGTTTGGGCAGTCGTATAGAGCTCGTCGACGGTTTGGTGATCCCAATCATTCAAGAACACCATACCGAGATCTTCATCATAGTTCGCAGTCGCAGGGCCATTGATGACAATGCCACCAAAAACTCCTTGCCAAGCCTGGAGACCGAAATGAGAGTGGTACCAGGACGTCCCATATTGGGTGGCTTTCCAGCTGTAAGTGGTTGTTTTCCCAACGGCAAGCGGACACTGGGTGATAGAAACAACACCATCATTCTGATTGGTGTAATTTTGGCGGATACCATGCCAGTGTATGCTTGTGCCATTCAGGGAGCTGGAAAGGGAATTGGTTACGTGAATGACAACATCATCACCCCAGTCGGCAAAAATAGTTGGGCCGGGGAGAGTGTTGTTAACCAGCATCACTGATCGTGACACACCATCAGGGGACGCGGTCTCATCAGTTAACTCAAGCCAGTACTCGCGGGTGACCCCCGTATCAACAGGCTCAGTGGCATAGTCTGTGTCAATGGAGTAGTCGCACCACTGAGATCGTGTAGTAGCAGTGTTGCCACTGCATGATGCTCGAGCCGAAAGGGCTTCGGAGTCAAAAAAGCCAACAGCAGGCAATGAAGATGCCAAAACTCCAGAAACCCCGCCCATAAGGCTTAGGGATAAAAGATTTAGAACAACCATTGCCTTGATTGCCAACGGCAGAGTCAGGTTGCTAAAGTCAAGGAAGATGGAGGAAAGACCTATGAAGTGTGATGAGATGAATACAAAGATCTCTGGGGATAAAACTTCGAACTGAACTCGACTGAAGTGAGTGTGAATCAGCTTTTAAGTTTTTCCAAGAAAACGAATTCGCTCACGAGGGGTTGACGTTCTCAATCCTATTTCCACCGTTCTTGAGCCCGGCTCACGATTAAGCCCAGTTTCGAAACCAAACAACCACTTCTGATCATGTGCATCCCATGATGTCTATCTCCGGAGCTGTTAACGGCAGGTAGCGATGCAGATTTCAGGTGACGACTACATGATTGCGACGCTATTCGTAATTGAAGTTGCTATGAGGCTGTGTTGATAACGAAGCCTGCCTTTCGCTGTCACTGTAGCGGCGGATCGATGGGGTTTTGACGGTAGCTGAGAAACTAAATTGACGGCTGTAAGTCTAGATTGAGTTTAGTTCTCCTCGGGACTGCCGTTTCTTGTCATACATTGCTGGGGGGTTGAGGTTGTAAACAGCGCCAGCTTGTTGAGTGAGCCTCGCGAATCATACACAAGGGGTTCCAATACAGATGACGCGCGTTACTAAATCCAATACTTTATCAATTAAGGCTATGATCTACACATCAGAGCCCGGGCCGTTTCGATGCTGGTCCATCATGGGGTTGCAGGGGCATTTGATGGATCTATCACGGTGGAAGAGATCAAAGCTTGTATGGCAGAATAACCCCACTCTACCGTGAAATGATAGGCATAGAAGAAACGCCGCGGGTTTTCGGCAATTAAGCTGCCTGTCGTGTTTCATCGGCCTCGTCATTGTCATTTAAGCCCCCAGATTGGCGACCTAGTCAATTACGCGGCCTACCAACCACATGGCATACGCAACCCACTTAACATGTAACCTCACTACAATGCTGTTAGTGCAACCCTTTATTCAAGAGATGTGAAAGCAGCGTTTGAAAACTTACTGGAGCAAAACTATCCTTCCGGGTCCTCCGCCAAGAGATATTTAACAGCATCTTATACCATCCATCAAAGGTCTTTTTATTGCCTCAGTTTGTTTTCCTCCATCAGAAGATCAACTTCTTCATAAATTGCCACAATGAAACCCAGCGCTGTGTTTGGTTTAGGTGTTGGCCACATGGCCTCTTTTGCGACTGCAGGCTCGTTCCGCCGTGCAGTTGATTCTGACGGATTCCAACTGTACGGATACGGTGCCGGTGTCGGTGGCCTCACCTTGTTTTATGCCGGTGGTAGGCTACTGGTTTTTCTTTCTTCCCATTGCAACTCAATGACTAACATTCGGCGAACAGGAACTGCCTATATCGGTGACTACACTAGGATCAACAATCCAGATGCAGCACCTGTCATCTGTAAGCCCCACGAGTCAGATACACAAATGACCACAAACTAAAGTAATTTCAGTCACCGCAAGTTCAGGCTACTTACTGGGTTCTCCCAATGCGACAGCTTTCTCCAACTCTAGCGACGTACCAACCTGGTCGGGAGCCCTTGCTATACCAGCAGTCTCATCCTCCTCACGTGCCGTTGTCTTCAGTAATTCGACCACCGATAACTCCTCCATCATCACTGACTCATTCACCTCCTACGGCGCTTATATTTTTGTGTCTGGAGACGATGGCAGTATGGAATCTCTTTGGTATACAGTGCCATCTGATATCAGAGGTGTTTATGCACTCCAATGGAATCACACAGGAGAGAATGACAATTCGACTATTTCTCTGACATTGAAGAAGACTCCACCCTCCAAGAATCCTTTTCATTGAGATACTCATGGGGGGATTTCACTATTTGTAAATGATCAAATAGATATAGTTTCAGGTCAATTGTTGTTTCGGTAGCTACGTTGGTACACACGTCTTCGGATGTGTTCAGGTATTTTGCTTTAGTGATCAACAATCAATTATTCTCTCATCTCATGGCAGGCGCTCGGACCAAGATAAAATATTCTACAGTATGCATAAATGCATTACATTGTCTCTCCAAAGAGTTTGGTCTTGTAACGAATCACGTCAGGGTTATCGCCTTGCCATGGGTGCCGATGCGAGGCAAAAGCCTCTATCTCAGGCGCCGGAATGCGCGGGAAAATCCCCATTTTCACAATCACCTTCCCTTTCAGGTTTGGATTCACCGACTTTATTGGGCTGTTTAGACATCAGGATCAAGTTCAGCCTCGAGTGGTTTATAGGAATAGAACTCACTTGCCGCACCGGGAACAAAACCACCTTCCCAATGTATTTCCACTCAATGTTTCTCCGTCTTTGAACTCGGCGAGGGTTCCATCCCGGTCCACAATGTCCACTTTATCATCCTCGATGATGAGATTGATAGACGCGTAGCTTCCGGATACTTTGCGGCAATTAGAGCAGTGGCAAATATGGCCACGGCGGCGGGTGAATAGCTCAGAGTCTGTGATAGTGACACTGATGGATCCGCACAGACACTGCCCGCGGAGCGATTCAGCGAACTGAGAGATGGGTTGTTGGTTGGGATCACCGGTTGGTCCGCGGTCAGCCATTTTGAGAAGAAACCAAAAGAATTATATCTATGATGAGATGAGGAGGAAAGCCAAAAAACCACAATTTGTGCCTGTATCAGTCTTCTTATAAGTTTCCTATGAGCGGTTCAGGGGGGCAGAAGCATAACGGCTGATTCGCCAATTGGCTGTCGGCCGACGTCGGCCGACACTCTTCCGCCAGCCGCCCGCGCTGACCAATCAATGAAACCAACGGCAAAAAACGGTCAACGTCACTCAAAGACCACGAAACAACCTACGAGCCAACCCATGCTCCAGCTCGCTTCGGGCCCCTCGACTCGGCTATCTTGGTCATTGGTCGTGAGATAGGGGTGGATTCCCAGGACGCACTGCCAATCAATGGTCGGTGGAAGGCGACCGGACATGATGGCTGACAAGCGGCAAATCCTGGTCTGCATCAACTGCCGGAGCCGGAAAAAGAAATGCGACAAAAGCCTGCCTTCATGTGGCTATTGTATCCAGTTGGTGTACACTAATCAATCCATAACGGGCCCTCAAACTTATTTCATTGACTAGGAAGCGTCTGAAATGTGCGTATTCGAGGAACACCCCCCCTCGACAAGATGAGCCCTTCAGCACACCAGAGAGGAACGAGGGGACAGTCTCACAACAGGCAAACCTCCCGCTGGTTTTGGATATGATTTTATCGGGGCCGAAGAGCTTAGAAATAAGCGTTCACGCCGAGGTCAATCGCTTGATTCGCTCCACTGGCCAGTTCGTTGATGATATCACTGCCCGATATTTCAAAGACGTACATTTGTTTATCCCAGTCATCGCTCGCTCTCGCTTCCACAATGGCCTCATCAACCTAGGAGCACCCCCTTCCGCAGACCTGTCCATCCTCCTACTCTGCATGTGCCTCATTACCCCAGATCCTGAGCGGAGAAGTCCCTCCTCTTCCAGCAAGACGAGTCAACACGTGATGTATCTGTCGACCAGGTCAATCTTCGCACAACTACAGGCTATGATGTCTCCTTCACTAAGCTTCATACAAGCAGGGCTACTTTTGGCAATATACGAGTATGTCCACGGGCAAACCGATCGAGGCCTTGCGACTATATCGAATTCCGCGCGAATGGCTTATGCCGCTCGCATCCATACCCTTAATGTCAACTTGAGACACGAAGAGCGAGCCAGTAATAGTTTACAACCAGAAGAACGTGAGGCTTTAAATACCTGGTGGGCTCTTATTATCTGGGAACGGTTCGTACGCTTCCTTCAGCTGCATTCACCCCGCGCAACTAGTGACATTACAGCTTTTGTTACTAACTCTTCCTTCTTCGTAACTCTTTTAGTACCATGATGTTGGAAGTGGTTACCCAAGATCAGCCATTAGTCACAACTGTCCGTCCCGAACAAGCGGCACTTCCAGCCGAGCCCGACTTGATTGATCAAGGTGATCCAACGATCTCAAATACTCCGGTACCCAATAATCCCCACGAAGTGAATGTTGGTGGCTTTGGTCGTCTTGCCCAGGCAATCATGATAGTGGATCAAATTCTCAAAGCCTTCAGCATATGCGATGTCGCCGCACGACTCTCCACACTTCACAATATTAACACCTCGCTCCAATCATTCCTAGAAGTGGTCGTAAAACAGCACTCGGGGAAGCCCTCATCATATTGTTCATCTGTGGTTATTGCCATTAGGTATGTTCAGCGCGTATTCTCCACTTCGCTTTATCACATAACGGGTTCCTAATATATACTCGTCAGATCACTTTTCAGCCTCCATGGACACATCATTCAGTGGACTTCAGCAGGAATCGCTGAAGGTGACAGACATGTTTATAACAATGATTCTTTTGCTGCAATTCGTACAGGGATCGCAATGACTTTGGATATAGCTGAATGGCACGAAGCACGACCTCTGCACATGGGCCTCATTCTTCCTCCAAACTATGCATACCTATTACGTGCCACACTTTCGCATACGGAACATAATTCGTTCTTTGAAGATCAAAACAAGGCTCAAGAATCGAAGAAATGCCTCGAACGCTCCCTCGCGCAATTCGGAAGACTTTGGGGTACAGCAGCATGAGATCAAATTAAATCCTACCTTGCGGGCGTTCAATGTCGCCACAATAAGCACGGCTCCTACTTTCGGCTGATGCGGGAGCAAAAAGATACTTCATTATATCAAAGTCATCAAGTTGGCTTCATCCATGTTTGCTTGAACTACCTAAGAAGAAATACAGTTACTCCGTTATCTACTTGAGACACATCAATCCAGTACCCAATTCCGAGCAGGCCCAATGATGCAAACTATTTCTGGATATCTTTCTAGCAAGCCGATTGAGGTTTCCCATCCTAATCATAGCTAAATTCTGACATCTCACCTTCCCACAACCACCTGTTATCCGCAGCATCCGGAATTCCGTCAAATCCCGGATAGGTCTCCAAAAGACTGGCCACGGACAACATTTGATTTGGGGAGACCCCTTGGGGCATCAGGGATACATTAACTATGCTGGATGTATCTTGGGTTTCTGGCGCATTGGCTTGGTCAGGGTATTCTTGGCCAACGAGAAGCAACATATCATTAAGACGTTGCAATTCCTCTTGTCGAAAACGAGCCGATACATTCCCACTCGCCATCAGAGCATTAAGAAGCATACTTGTAGTTTCCAAGTAGGAGTCTCCAATTGTATTCGGAAATGGCTGGATTGCAGAGACAAGAGATAGGACGAAGCTGGCCGAGAAAACATGATCGAGATCAAAAGGGAGAAATGTCTCTATGACTCTGATTGAGATTAATTCTAGACACATGAATATATGGGCCCTCTTACCTAAGAGATCTTGAGAATAGAGTGCAGATAAAATCCGGAGCGATTTTGTTGCAGAGTCGCACGATGCCTTGAGTAAAGCTTTGACTGGTCCAACTATCTCACGGTGAGTTTTATCTCCGCGGGACCTGGTCTCTAGTTTGTCTCGTAGGAGGCACATGAGAAGCGGGCGAGTTGCGAGAACAATGCACTTCGGGGAGGTCAGCAAATGTGTCAATCGAGGATTTTCTCCAAACCCATACCTGGTGATAGCAGAGGTTAATTGTCGCAGACACCCGGGATAAAGGGGTTGAACTATTCAAATCCAACTCGACGGAAGAATTTAGCTCTTCGCCTAAAGTCGCAAGCTGTCGGAGCATGTCCTGAACGTTCCGGACAAATGATGAGTCCAGCCTTCCATCTACGCCATACACGGCTTCACGTCTCCCACATCAGCATAGCTTCACCAGAAGATATCATTATTTTGACTTACTATTCAGTACTTTGGCGATAAGTCGTGAGAGTTTAACATGCATCTCTAATGTTGTTGACTTCTGGATTGATCGGTTCGGTTGTGGGAAAGGAACGGATATGTCTTCATCGTGAAGAGAGTTCGGTGCACCCATCAAAGAGGAGAACTTCCGATCTAAGATATAGAGCGTCCACCATGCACTCCGTTCCCGAACAGCCTCCTTGTGATCTCTATTCTCTCCCCCAGGATCTCTATGAAGGCCTTGAGATAGGGCAATGCGAAGTCCAAGACCAAGCTGTTGAATTCGTCAGGAGTCGCTTTGTAAAGGCAAGTAAGTGACGTACATACATATGTATAGGCGCTGTTGCGATGATCTATTGATTGGAGGTACAGAGCCAAGCCACAGCATATTTCAATTGCAAGAACTGTATCTTGATATAGGCCATTGACGTCTGGAAACATCTCCATAGCTCTCATAAAATATCCGCCCCCTGGCGGGTTCGAAGCTGAGAGACCACGGACAAGCAAGGCTTTTCCAAAAGCCATAATGATGAAATATTGGACATACCATAGTCGGGCTTTTCCATTCAGTGGGCGCGGCCCGTCGTTGTAGAGAGAGAAAAGGCCGTTGAGGAAACTCTGTTCGTCAAATAGATGATAGGTCTGGCTGATGTGAAATTTGACGGTGTTTGTCAGATAAATGGCATAATCCAAGGAGGGAAGATCGTCCATCGAAATAGTGCCTCCTAGTTGTTTCTCGCTGGGAAATTCCAGCGGCAACGCTTGTCCATCGGTGTTTAGGGGCACGAGAGGGGATTCATCTTGGTTAAGATACTCTCTTATCATACTCATGACTTGACGTCCATACGCCCATGTTGACGAGGGCCCGAGAAAACCTATATCGTAGCTGCGGTCAGGAATATGTTCAGCTACGAGCACAATTGATCCCATTACTCACGTCTTCGTCCCTGAGGGTCCGTCACAAACTTTGCTGCCGTTGTAGTGAGCGGGTTACGCATCCGGGGTAGGATGTCTTCTCCGCGCCCGTCATTACTTTCATTATTTTCCTCAGAGTTCCTATTGTCATTTGACTGTTTCTGGTGCCGCTTTCGGGATGAGGGTGAAGAGTCTCTTTCTGCGAGCTCTACTTTTCGCTTGAGCTGGTTCAAAAGTCTAATATTCCACATCAGTGAAAGGCTTCCAAAGGAAATATCGGAACCAAAGGGACGGGCGGGGACATGCCTTTCAGAAACCAGAACCTTGCGGTCCTCCTGATCAAATACACATTCTGCTGATCGTCGTACGCAGTTGGTACAAGGGCACGAGCCAGAGCAGCGTACCTTGCGCTCACGGCACTGGAGGCAGCTATAAGTTACGTCAGCTCGTGGACCAGGTCAGACCAAGGACGTGATTCTAACACTTACGCGGTGTTTGTTTTACGGGCGCTTGGCTTGGGGGAGATTGGATCTGTATCTGGTGGATTCTTTTGCGAGGCCATACTCTTGGTTTCTCTTTTCCGTCCTTGATGATTTCCACGATTGGGATCTAGAAGTGAGACGCCCCAGGATATCAGGTGGAGGCGATTGAACGAAATAGAAGCTGGGGTAAAAAGAGAGGAAGGGATGAGTGGGTCGCCGATGTTGTACAGACATTGATAACTGCCCGACGACGCCGAGGTAGGAGTGGAGACTGACAGGTGGCCCTGGAATTTGGAGTTTCCTTCATGGCTGTGTTATTCAGTTTATACATTGGACTTGTGATCTGCCCTTTCATGTCCTAAAGAAACAGTCATTACTCGGAGTAGTGTATCACACATATTCAGTGTGTCCTTCTATTCACATGAGGTGGGACACACCATTATGACGCAAGGCGTCTGGAACAGAGAATAAGTCATGTTTGCACAGCTCAAAAGGATTCCAAGACCCTCACTGCCGGCATCTCGGAACAGAGTAAACTTAGCCCATAAACTATGAAAATCCCGAGCGAAAGAATTTGAACATGAAGATTTATATGATACACAGAATGAAGATAAATAATTTATTCTTGCGAACCTCTTCCCACCAACGAGCTTAAATTTCTCCTCGATCGCCTCTGGCTGCTCGGGGACCCAGACCGAGGTGGGGAAAGCTAAACAGATCCACTCTCAAAGCTCGGCTGGTAGATCCGAACCACACATGCTTACCCTAGAGGTTCGGTCGGATTCAATTAGTTGAGAGGAATGAATTCTTCTCAGTTCCCAAGGCATATCTAAAAAGCTTGGTAAGCCTAGATATAATAATATTAGCTTCTAGTCTCTGCGAATAGCCAGTGCTCGCATGATTCCATTCTGTTCTTCTTACGACCGAATTAACCACCTCGTAATGTCATATCACGATACCCATATAAACAAAAAAACCACTCAACGAGCCCTAGCCGTCTTTAACTGTTGGCGGTTCAAGTATATCAACGAAGCTCAAATTCATCAATTTCAAATTAGCATAGCTCATAACGGTAAATGGGAACAATCAGAGTACGTAGTGTACACGGATTTTCTCCTCGTCAAACAGAGACGTAGGGTAGCTACTAAAAATAGAACATCGGTTGATGTTGTTGATGTCGTAAAACGCGCTCGCGTCGCGTCAATTTAGTGACCAGTTGACCTGGGCTGGCATTCTCCTTCGCTATTCAAGTATCGATCAACTAGAAATCGTCATACGTTGGTTGTATAGGTAGACAGGTATCGACTGAGGATATATCAATGTCTACTAATGTGAGTTCCCAATGGAAATCACCGTGCCTACACCTCGACGAATTTGACCCAATCCAATCACTTCTAAAAGTAGACACTTATTGTATGCCTAGATACATTTCATAAATTACTACATTGCCGTTAGGCTGGAAGTTTGCCTCTTAATACTCCAATGGGACTGGCCCAATGTAATCGACCTGTGTCGACCACCGAGTATCTACTTTCCATATTTTCTCATCTTCCTCCTTCCTATGCTTTTCTTCCGCCAACTTCCATTCCTCAAACTTTCCCTCCGACTTTGCCTTGACTCCCCTCTCAGCCTCCAGGACGTGCCAGAGTGTCGCAACGTCGACTCCAGGCCTATTCAGCCTCCTTTGGTCTTCGTAGAAGTGGACCGAGCCAGTGGCCTCGTTGACAGCATAGACAATTTGCCTCCCATGACGGTTCTTGACCTCAATCAATCGGAAGATCCTCCCATCCTGTTGTTGCATGCGCCAAATGGCAGGATCGTCACCATAGGGCAAGTCCCCAAGCCAGGTTGCTCCAAGCGCGGTACATGTCTTGTGGTACTTCTTGACGAAGTTGACATAATCTGGCGCAGATTCAGAGGTGCTGATATAATCCATTCGATCTTCCAAGTCGATACCAGCCAGCCAGTTCCAGACACAGGTTGCGCAGACACTCTCTTTGAGTTCGGTAACACGCTTGAAGGAATCCTTTTTGGGTAGAACATCCGGCTTGTCCTCGAACACTGGTCGTAGATCCTCAGGGACGAGTTTCTCCTTGAGCTGGTCGAGAGCTTGGCTAACATCTTTGATCAAAGTAGGGCTATCGGGACGTCCTTCGAACGTCCACCCCGCCCTGTCCATGTTTAGTAGCGCTTGGGCACAGTCTGAAATATACCAATCTTTGCCCGCGACACTACAGAAAGCGGTTCTCTGGGCTCTGGATTTGTAAAAATCGGCCACAAGTTCGCGGGTTTTCTCTGTCGAGGCAGCTGCGTCACAGATGGAAACCTTATCCGCATTGATGGCTTCGTTGCAATCTGAATCACAAAAGGCTGCGCGGAGGCGTTTGGAACCCTTTTCCATCATTGAAACGAGCTTCTCGTGCGAGAGATTGATATAGCACTTGGAATTGGCATATCGCTCTGACAGGTCTTTCAAGCAGACCTGCGAAGTCTTGATTGGCCAGGCCTTCTGTTGGGGATGATTTTTTAGGAGTTCCATCTCTGCATTGATGGTAGAGATTGGAGCATCACCCGAAGAAGGCCCATGCAAGATGAGATAATCCAAATCTCCAGATGGTAGAGCAGTCTCCCAGTCTGTTGGCAGAACACCCAAGGCCTGGTAGTGCTGTAGGCCCTCCGAGTACATCTTCTTCCACCTGTCGTTTGGTGCACATCGTTCACCAGCCGTTCTCACACGACGGATGAATTCCGGGAGGGAGACTGGCTGATCATTGCTTGGGTTAGATATCTTGCCCTCAGCCCATGAGGTAAGAGTTCGGTTGAGATAGTCAAAGGCACACCAGCCGCAGGATGTATCGCCAACTCCAGGACCGTAACGCTGTTCTCTGACCTTGTAGTGGTACTTATAACTGTACTTGGAAGTACCCTTCTTACCATTCTTCCAACGGCTTGGTTCGACCCGCTTCTGGTCTGTTTCATGAATGAAGCTCTCGATGCCAACGAGGTTTGCATTGAGACCATCAATGAGGGAGAATCGCTCGAGCATCTCGATAGGGCAGTACTGATAATCGCTGTCGCCAGTGGGACTCGCGCGGCATTGGTAATCCGTCCTTCGAAGTAGGGTTTCCACAGCCTCGACAGGCCCAGACTCGAGGAAATCAGTGTTGAACATGCCTTGGTAGTCATCAATGAGAAACGTGTCGCTAGGTGAGCATTGAGCTGAGAGATTTTCGTGTGCCTTCCGAAGAGAACTTCTGCACTCTTCTGTGCAGATCTTGGGCAAGAAATACATTGGGTCCCAGCCGAAGAGTCGCAAGGTGCCGTTATCGTTACCCCGATCAAAGACCTTGTCGTGACATGGAACCATTGAAAGCTCACCCCATGCTGCCTGGCATTCCTGGCTTGCTCCGGTGTTGATTTGGGGATACAGAGTAGGGAAATCCAATTTATACGGGATGGCCTTCGGTTTGCTTGGCTTCTTGCTCGGCTTGTTGCTGTGCCCGCCCTGGTGACCTCCCGGCGTGGTTGCGTGTCGCGTTGAGGCCAAGCGGGATACCAGTAGCAGAGCCACCAGCAGGAGTCCAAGAAGCGCCATCACGGCTAACAGACACTTTGAACATCTTGAAAACAGCTTTGACCTTCGCTTCTGAACAGGAACGTCGATGATCTCCAGTTCACGGTCTTCATTCAGCAGCGTATTGTCAGGCGTGGCATGATCCGATTCTGGGTCCTCATCGAGCGGATCTTCGTCGGTGTAGGGAACAACCTGTTCAAGAACATCTTGGTCCTTCATCTTGCACCGCGTATTGGCGCTGGAGGACACAGTTGAGGAATCACACGGTGGTAGAAAGTTGATTGAAGAGGTGAAAGGAGCAAATTCCGAAGGAGCGTGAAACGTGATTTCAGCAAGGGGTGGAGTCTTTCCTGCTTACGTTCTGGCTCCCTCCCACTTGCCGGGGATAAGCGGATATTGGTCGACACCAAACCAAGATTGCACCTGATATCACTAAAAGAGAGGGCTTGACGCTGCTCATGCATGCGGTAAAACATAAGAGGGTTTTCGATATTCAAAAGTCCCATATGGCCATCCTGTTTCTCGGGCTTTAACCACTCAAGACTCGGTGGCACCGAGAAACCGCCACATCTCAACAGCCTGAAACGTGCTGCCGTAACCGTTTTGGAAATAGCTGACCACTGGAGGAAAGAAGAGATGTGTGGGTCTTGAATCCAACTCTTGGCAGGCGAGCAGGGTTGTCTGATCAGCTTCAAAGGAACCAGGTTACTATCATAATACGCAACCTTTTCTCGACCCTTTCCCGTCCCTTCTCAAAGAGTCTATTCTTCCCATTCTCTTTGAGTTTATTTTATATTGATAGGACGAATGTTAACTCTTTGATTTTACTTGACATCTAAATATGCCTCGGATAACCTCTGACCCACTGCTTCGTAGGCTTGGCCAAAATGGGCCTCGGGTTCCTGCAGTAGGTCTTGGTCTCATGGGCGTGAGTATGGGATACGGTCCCATTGAGTAAGCTTGTGTCTCCTGTCTCTCCTTTGATTTGCCATATATCGACTGACCAGGCCCTATATGTACCCAGCTCCGATGAGCAACGGTTGAAGTTGCTTGACCGGGCATGGGAGCTCGGCTGCACCAGTTGGGATACCGCCGATGTTTACGGTGATAGCGAGACTCTTATCGGGAAGTGGTTCAAGCTTCACCCTGAGCGGCGCAAAGATATCTTTCTCGCGACTAAGTTCGGGTTGAAAGAAGAGCCATCTGGTGAATTGACAATTGATTCTTCCCCCGAGAATTGTAAGAAATGCATCAAAGAGAGCCTAAAACGATTAGGCGTGGAGTTCATCGATTTGTACTACCTACACCGCCCTACTGTTGAGATACCCATCGAGAAAAGCGTCGAAGCGATGAAAGATTTGGTCGAGTGAGTTCGAGTAGAAACACTAGACATAATCATATGCTAACACACCTTCAGACAAGGACGGGTAAAGCACATAGGGCTTTCAGAAGTCTCTTCGTCGACTCTCCGGCGTGCGAATGCGGTTTTCCCCATCTCTGCAGTCCAGGTGGAATACAGCCCCTGGACAATGGACATCGAAGGCCCATCGGGAACATTTCTCCTCAAGACGTGCGAGGAACTCGAAGTCAGCGTCTTCGCTTTCTGTCCACTGGGTTCTGGAATAATGACTGGCCGATACCGTTCAGCCGCCAACTTTGGCGCTGATGACCTCCGCCCTTCGCTGCCTCGCTACCAGGAGGAAAATCTTCGAAAGAACCTGGAGCTTGTAGACAAATTTGGCGAAATCGCGAATAATGCAGGCCATAAGCCAAGCCAGATGGCGCTGGCGTGGCTTTTGGCGCAGAGCAACAACGTCTTTGTCATTCCAGGAACGAAAAAGATTCCATACTTGGAGGAGAACTGGGGTGCAGCTTATGTGGAATTGGCGGCAGAAGAAAACCAGCAGATCCGACGATTGGTGACTGAATATAGCATGAGTGGCGAGAGAGATAAAGAACTGGGACATTACCTTGATACAGTCCCCCTCTAAGGGAGGGTTTTCTCGGAGTTTCTACACCTTGAAGGTCTAATTTACACTATCCCTCCACTAGGTTGGAGGAAAGAGGTCATGGCCCTGGATCAAACAACTCATTCTTCACAGCACTCGCTCAGTAGTTGATTCTTCTTTCTTTAATTCCATCATAACTTAATCTGTTGGTAGATATGCGCATTTTGTAGGGAAATCGCCAGTCATTAGTCGTGGTGTTTCTGGTTCATCAACTATCCTCTCTATTTTCTCTCCAAATGATTTAGAGCCTAGGGATCTTTATCTTTCTCATCCGCCATCGCACTACTCTTCCCAATGACATCTTCTCTACGAATGATGCGTTTCACCTGCGCCCTTAAATCATTCGCCATTGCATCAAATCCATGATGTTTGGCCAGGTCAATGGGTGTCCGGCCGTCTGGAAGCCGCTTTCGTGGGTCTGTAGCCGGTGATTGAAGTAGTAGGTTGACCATTTCTGCATTACCAGCTTGCGCAGCCAAGTGTAAGCATGTCCAGCCATCGTAGTTGGCAAGATTTGGGTCAATAGTAGGCTGCTTGAGCAACAACTTTACAACACTGCTCCTGCGCCAGTTAACAGCCACTAGCAAAGGTGACCAACCGTCTGTATCTTGTGCATTCACATTATGCTCCCCTAGATCAAGGATGAGTTCAGCTAATTCCAGTGGCCCCATGTAAGATGCCCACCATAGGGGCGTCCTCTGCAAGAGGTCTCCCTCGGTAAAGTCGATGCCTGGATGAGATAGAAGAAGCTTTATGATGGGGATATTGCCTGTAGAGAAGGCTTGTTCGAGTGGCGTATCTTGAGTTTGACAAGTCCTCCGGGTCTTAATATAAGCTGGTGAAAATGTTCGGTTTAAGTTGCTTAATTGCTCTAAAGCCATGTAATAGTCTCTACGCGGAGTTGAACGACGATTGAAATCGATATCAGCTCGCTCTAGAAGACGTTGAACCATGTACTTATTCTCGCGCCGGACGGCAGAGGCCAGAGCAGTCCCTGCTGGCCCGGTAATATTGATATCAATATCATTGCGGCGCAATAGAAGGTCGAATATTTCCGTCGAGTTACAAAGAGTCGCAGTGCAAAGTGCGGTCCCATGTGATCCTGGTATATTGGTATCAACATCAGGTTGATCAAGAAGGATCTGGACCATGCTCAAGGAGTTCTTCGATACTGCAAGGCAGAGCGGAGTGCTATGTGAACCAGACAACTTCCATCGAAGATTCGGGTTAACGTGCTCGACTTGTAATAGCTCCTTCACGACGGCAATTTGATTTTTAGCTGCTGCTTCGCATAAAGGTGGACCTCTGCACTCACTTTGCTGGTTGGGGTCGTTCTCAGGACGCAAAAGAAGTTGGCGCACTGCCTCAAGATCCCCGACCGACGCAGCCTGATTTAAGCATGATCGGTCCTTCTCATGAAGATCGCTCCTTGTGTCGGCGCGGCCGAGCAGCAACTGAATCGCCTTTCTATTCTTCAAATCGTATGCTATCTCAAGTGGGCGCAAACCGAGAATTATGCGATTAGGGTCGAAGTCCTTTCTTGCTATTAAGAGTTCCAGAATCTCTAAGTGATTTAGGGCCTTCATGAACGGTGCTACACCTTCGGAAGTCTTCAAGTTTGGATCTACCTCATTACGCTCAAGTAGCATGCGAGCTAGTGCGGCGTTGCCTAGAGCAATTACTTTGCAGAGCAAAGTGTGCTTATGCCTGAGAAAAGTGTTGGGATTGAAGGAAAACCGATCCAACAGGCGAATGACCTTGTGTGAATCACCTTTGAGCGTGGCAAGCCACAAAGGACAGAACTTGCCACCACGCAACGTAGGCTGCAGATCTGTTCTTTGCAGTAAAAGGTCGAAGATATCATCGAAACCACCTCTCACCGCTGCTGATAGTGGGGTGTCTTCCAATTTGACTGTTGGGTTAGGGTCCACATCTGGTGTCGAAAGGAGAGACTTCACAATGTCTGTCCAACCCCATTTCACGGCCCAGAGAAGAACCGTGTGGCCATCAAAGCTTGGAATGTTTGGCTGGATTTCGGGGTAGCTAAGAAGAAATTTCACAGCCTTCTCTCGTCCCATCTGAGCCGCAACTAGGATAGGCGATCGACCAAGATTGTTTCTTTGATTCACATTTGCCCGATGCTGAAGCAAGAAAGACAAAATATCAACATGACCGCCGTGTGCTGCAGCGTGTAATGGGTACCCCAAGAGGAAATGGAAAGAATTTGCATCTGTGCCCTTGATAACCTGAATCAACTCTTTTACAATCTCGATCTCTCCGCTGACAGATGCGAGATGTAGACACCCGGAAAAAGGCCCCGGCTCTTCTTTTGGTAACCCTATATGTTCTCTCACATCCGAGGGGTAAATGAGAGATGATAGAATATACTCATCATCTTGCTGTGATCCGATGAGGCAACATGCGTCTTTTAGAAAGTTTCGATAGCTCCCTGTTATGCCCCTCTTCCGAAACCTGGGCTTTAGTATGTGAGATACTGAGGCATAAATATGGTCTAGAACTGCATCGTAACCCTGCTTATTCCAGTGTAATTTTGTGAATAGAAGCCACTGGACGATGGGACCGGATGGGGGTTTGGTTTCCCTCAAGAAGATTTTGGGAGCCGCGGCTTCAAAGGCGATCCGTGACACAACATCATTGGAGCGTCCTGCGCAAGTTGCTCATTAATAACATAGACCTAACTTAGACATGGATTTTATCTTACGATCAATGAGTCTCAGTTGAACAAACTGAAATTTCGCCAGGGGCCAGGACGATTGGAAAACATCTTGCAAGATGTCTTCAAACAGTTCGACGGGCAGAGTTTGTAGACTCATTTTCACTTAATAGCCTCAAAACCGGTAGTGTGGTAGAAACTGAGGGAATACGTTGTTCGTCAATCGAAGCCAAAGGATGTCGTCTTTCAATAATGTGCTTGTGCTAGATGTGGTTCAGTGAGGAAGAAAATTATCTCACCCGACCCCAGGTTACATCTCACGGGACCTGTAACCTTAGTCATCACCTCGTTCTGAGACCAGGCAGACCCTTGCAGAAAACACCAGCTCGGGGAGGTTCCTGATCTAAAGGTCGCAAAGTAATTATAATATTGTGCAAGGGCTGATTTTGCCCTGCAGTTCAAGACGCTCCGGCCCATGTATCAAGAATGGAACTTCTACCTAAGTATCCGTTTAGTCATCAAGCTCTGAGATACTCCATCAATCAATGCTTGAATCTTTAGCATTCATTGATTAAGTAAATAAGATGAAATCTAGATGATATTCTTCGTTAAACGGTACTAGATAGCTGAGGTCATAGACAGAAAGATTCCGAGTTTCATGAATTCATGATGAACTAAATAGCATTGTGCTGCCCCTCAGAGATATTGATTTCCTCTCCCAACTCTTCAATTTACTTTCGCACCCGCCAGTGGATTTCGAATACCCCCCCAAATCTTCCCCCACAAAATACTGGGTATTTTCTTGCCTATTTCATAGATAGATCTAAACAAAGTAAAGACCTCCAAGACTATGGCACTCCATATTATCAACAACATGGGTGATAAGATAGACCTATGATAGTTAGGTATTAATATTAACGATTTTTAGTGTTCCTCAGGAGTGGATTGCTTTTTTGCAAGCAATTGGGCGATTGAGATTTATGGTCCGTAAGAAAAATGAATGCGAGTTTAGAGCTGGTACGTACATAGTATTGGCCGCCAGAATATTTGCATGCTTGGAACTCATCCTGGTAGCCCCATTTGTTGCCGTTGGACACAAGCCTGTTTCCGTCGGCCAGGGTCCAACCGTTTTCGGCCGAGCTGGCAGTGTTCCTGAAGGCGAATGACTTCTCGTCGTCGTAGTTTTCTTGGATGTTGAGGTAAAATCCTGTATCGAGATTCGTGATTAAACCGTCTGATCGGAGCTCAAGGCGGTGACCTTGGGACTCTGAGCCGAGACGGGCATAATTTATAGCTGTCTCTAGTTAGCGATCGTTTAAGCGTTTGGAAACCTTGAGGAGGAGGTGATTCACATTCGCCGTCATTGGCTTGCTTGTATACATAAACCGTGCCAAGTTCGGGGCTCTTGGCTTGGAGACGTCCGGTAATCTGTACATTCTGGGCATAGCCAATCGCTGCAAGTGCAGCGCCGACGGCGAGAGTCTTGAATGAAAGCATATTAAAAATCTGTTGAGAGGAATGAGCCTAGCCGAGATGTGGGAGGGCAAGACTGATGATGAAAACTGGTGGAATTAGCTAGCTAAGTATGCAAAGTACTTATAGATTTTTCTTAGCAGAAATACTCTCCTGAATTTAGGATAAAAAATCTGGAAATCATACCATGCATGGGTTGGGATTTGGAAGGTAGCAGCATTGAGTGTTTCATTGACTGGATGAATTCTTCCCTCTTCAGAAACATTCCCCTCCTCCGATCCTTGCCATTCCGCACCCTACACATATCGGCATTTCGGTACACGTGTTGTGAGACTCAAGTACCTTGGAATATAAGCATTTTGGGAGCTTGAACAGGGGATGTGCGTACGTGCTTGCCAAACTTAGAAGCTCAACCTCGCATTCTTTAGTGCCACTTTAGAGATGCCCATGGGATACAGAAATATCCCTTGTGAGCTATGCTTATTCAAGCTGAGAAAGCAAACTAATTGCTCAACATGAACAACATGACTGGGTTACCAGTTTTGGTAATATGGCTAGTTGCAAGCGCCTTTACCTGTGATTGAATGTTGAGGAAACTTTACTAAGAATATAGGCGGGAATGAACCAGAGGACGTTCATCGTAGTCCGTATGTAGGCCTCTTTCCCCAAAAATTAGTGAGTTACTGGCTCAACGGCTACAATTCACATCGCTGCAGTGAAAGGCTTTCGACCAAGGATTAAAACTACCAACAAGAACGAAAACGGTAGGTATGATCAATTGCAGGGATCATTGAACTTCCAAGCGGAGGACTTAGCTCCAACGCCGCTGACCAACTTGTTTGCTGACCGACAGCTGAAAGCTGGCTTTTCCCTGACCGCATCTTGAATGCCGTGCTTAAATGCCGGTCTCCAATAGCGTTTCGGGGCAGAAGATGAGTGAAACTTCTCGTATATCATCCAATCAGTTTAGAGGAGAATCTCGCTCTCCAGGATGCCCTCTTACTGGCCGCGCTGACTGAGACGGCACTGCTGACAGGTGACTCCACTTACTGCTTATCCGTCGGTCCCGGCAGTGCACACTCAGGGATCGGCCGATCATCTAAATTTGGGAATGTTCGGTCTTTTAGGAGTAGGTGTAGTTGCCAACTTTGATGGTTAGCTTTTGGGTACCAGGGGGGGCGTTTGGCGCCTGATGTTATGGGCTCTGCGCAATGAAGGAAGTTCTAAACACAGGCTTGATATCCATATCCTTGACCATCCGGCATCCAAATGTAAGCCTATATGCAGTAATCGAGCTTGTTCCATAAGCTGAATTACTTAGGATGAAGATCTACTCAAACTCTATGCATAATTCAGAGAATAGTTCCAAGGAAGATCAACCTTGGGCTCTCTTACCTTTGTTGATAGGTATTTTCACTCACTCGCAACTTTTTGCATCTATGGTAGAGATAACAACTGTCTTCCTCAATCCAACGAAGCGTCATGGACCTTCCATAGCGTCATTTTGAACTTTGGGTCAAGGGTGGAACGATGGAGGGAAGGGATACGGCATATGCCTCGGCTAGATTGATAACATGCCCTTTCGGCGACGGGGAATCAATGGTACGTACATATCAAGTTAATTGACGCAACCCGTTAATATTATTATACTCACTCAAAGCTTAGCTCGAGGTAGTCGTTCAAATCTAGCTTGAACATGAGTTCCCGAGGTAAAAGCTCATCTCTATCTGTCTTCATCATAGAACGCACCGTTACAAACATCTATATTCAAGGCCGAGTTGGGAGCAAATCTGTGACATGACAATGTTCGGAAACCCGCATCGAGGACAGCCCAAACATTGATTCGAATTGATACGAGCAGCTCGGCCACCACCCCCGAGTGGTTTTTAAGCCTCCAGATGCCTGTTTCTTTTTGTATATTGTCATTGTTATCGAGAGCGAATCTCAGCATGTTGCTTTTGATAATTGCAATACACACGACCTCGTCTAGAAGCTCCCACGTTAGAGAACAATAAAAGAGTTATTTGCCGAGTAGTTTTCCAATTTCGTCGGGTGATCATGGCGATTACAATGCGCTGAAATGTCTATATCTATACCTAAAAGGAGACAAACTTTCTATCCTGCCACGCTAAAGGAATACATTAAAGACAACAATGCTTGCTATGTGACTCGCACTACCTCAACTCCAACTCACTAATCAAAGAAGGGTAATCGGAGGGAAACATTCTCTTCCCTAGACCACCCAACCTCTGCCGCATGTTTTCAACAAAGTTCTTGACGAGCGTTCCTTTTGGATGTATAGAAAACACCTCGTAAAAGGCGCTTGCCTCCGAGGATGAGAGGTCGCCATCAATCTCTTCTAAGTACGTAAGTGCAACGATTGAGGGGAACACGGCACCATGTGTGCCATATATCCCAACGTGAGGGTGCAGGAAGGTAGGGACCATTTCCGCAATCTTGCGGCAGAAGAACCGCACCGGGTCCATCGGGTCGAAAGGAGTAGGCGGGCCGCACGTGTTGGATGCAGCAGCTAATACGGCGTGTAAATAGATGCCGATGGCGAAGTAGCCGGACATGACGTGTGCTGCAATGAAGTGGTTGAAGACGGTGGCCGCTTGGGCCGTTGCTGGAGCGAAAGGGCTTGTTGCCGGTGCTTTTTCTTGTCCCCAAGCAGTCCAGTCGTTCAGCAGCCACGAACACTTCTGGACGAGTTCGAATCGTTTAGTTCCTTTGTCCGGACCGGGGTGGGACGCTATGAGTTCGTCCAACTGTGCAAGGAGGCCGGGGACTTCGGCGAAGATATCTCCCAGCAAGTCTTTCGCTGTCTTGGGAACAAACTTCCACGGAATGGTTCTCCATTCGGGCGAATTCAAGGGCGAGGGAGTGCGGATGGGTATCGATTGTGAGATCTACAACAATGAAAACAATAGTGGGTTAGTCTATCAAATCGAAGACATCGGGGGAGGAATGACAGTACATAAGTCCATGTCCGTCCATCTACGAACATTTGGTGTGCAAAACCTGTTGTGAAGCTCTCCGGGCCACGAGAGAGGATGAACCCCAGCTCGCCGTCAATGTGCAACTTCCAGTTCATCACCTGGACCAATCGGTCCCTTTGATCGTGGCCATGGAGAAGCTACTTAATCAGCATTCGCAACAATGGCGTCTGTGTGGGGATGGGTCTCACTTCGTATACGGACAAAAGTCTCGAAGTGGCCAGAGCATTGCTGTCCACCTGGAGGATATTTTGTTTGATCTGTTCTGCCAGGGTATTCAGGCAGCTACCGTACAGCTTGATCCCATTCTCGACCATCCACGGCTTTTGATCTCGACGACCGACGCTAGAAAGTGAAATAGCCAGGAGGATCCTCCTGATCGCCGTGTCCTCCCTCCTATGGAATAGTCCGTGCAGCTCATTCATCCAGAAGCCAGTGTTGAACTGCGCCGATTCCACGGGGAAGCTGCGGCCATTTGGGAGATAAAAGTCCCAAAATAAACCCAAGTACCTCTCTTGATACGCGGAGCGGGCGAGTGGCTCTGCAAGGGTGATGGTGGCTGAGGTGCCCCTGATTGGACGTTTACTGCCTACAACCGAATCTGGAGTCAAGTTTACCCACGGGACACCTTGCCTATACGCGCATTGCTGGGCAAGTGGCGGCTTAAGTCTCTGGCATTGGCCACAAATTG